TGTCTCTACAGTGGTGCCCGAACTAAAAGGGTGGTGGATGAGGATTTCTCCCCAACCCAGGATTTGCCGTTTGGGTCCCCTAAAAATCCCAGTCGCCCTTTAAAAGGGGGAGTATATAAGGTATTTCTTCCACCTTCTTGGCGTAGTGGTTCTGCACGCTGGTCCGGTTTTTATGTATATTTTTCAAAATATTTCTTATAACATTATTTAATGTATATTTTTATGTATAATGATTTATTGTATATTTCCAAATTTCATAGTTATAAATTTCAAATAAACATGGTCCCACTGAGTTAGCAATAAAGTCTTCTTGGTGGCACAGCTGCTCACCCAGTGGTCTCCTGTAGGAGTAAAAGAATGCATGAAGTTTTCAACTTCTGGGAAATATGGAAAGTGAATACAATCTTCTTATTCATCTATCCTATCCAATGTCCAATAAGAATGCATTTAGTTCTCCAAAGATATGTACGATTGCAAAGCAAAATGTTTTTATAAAAAAATATAATACCTCTATAGCACAGAATATCCTCAGGATGTCCTATTTGAGTCGCAATATCCCGGGGCATACTTAGGATATCCTGAGTTTGTTGATTCTCAGATGTCCCGAGGACACTGTAATTTAACATCCCGAGGATGTCTGGTTTAATTCGCTATGTCCCGGGATATGTGAGGATGTCCTGAAGATGCTGAGTCTCAGATATTACGAGGGCTTCGCAAATTTCACATCCTGAGGATGTACCTACTGCATTTTCCGGAGGACTTCGTTAGCATTCATTTTGAGGATATTTGTTATCAATTCTACCCGTTTGGGTTTTTCGAATTTGCTCATTTCAAAATATGCATATTCTTTAATTTTCATACGTATTTTGCTTCTAAATATTGTTCAACAAAAAAATATTGATACCCAGATTAGACCTTGTCATTTCGTAATTAATTTTAAATGCTATTTTTCATGGCATTTAAAAAAAAAAAAAATATTTAGGCATGGAAAGATATTTTCAGTGGATTAGCTGTTTTTAGAATATTTATTAAATTCTAAATAATGTTCGACAATCCTGCGGAAGACCTAAAGAATGCAAAAGAGTGAGTTTGAAACGGATTTGCAGTGGAGAATTCTACTTTGACTCAATTTTTTGCTTTGCATTTAATTTTGCCATTCGTAATTGTTTTTGTTGTTTAAGGGGGCTCCTACACCTTAAACCCCTTATGATCTTCGGATATATGAATGTTGCAAGAATTGGGGTATTTTATTTATTCTAAAAGCAATTACTTCCAACTTTTTACCAGCTGGCTACATAATAAAGTTGCTTTGGTAACTACTAACAAGACAGTTTATGTTGCCACAAATATTTTTTTAATTTAATCCGCTTTGTGACAAAATTTTTCGTCATGTTTCCACCTTGCGCGCATGATATTTTTAAAATGGCTTATGGAACATACTTAAAATTCGATGGAATTCTTTATATGGGCACTATTTTCTAAATGAATCAAAAATTTGATGAATATTTTAACATTAAAAATTTTATGCCCCAAAACATTAGAGATTTTTTTTAATAAAATACATTTTATAAACTTAACTCTAAGTAAAATAAAAATTTAACATGAAATTCTTAGAATTTTTGGTTCACAGTAGTTTTCAAAAGTTATAAGTGCTATGTATTAAATAGGAATTAAATTATGCGACAGAATGTTTTAAACCGTGCGCGCAAGGTGAAAACATGACGAAAACTTTTGTCACAAAGCGAATTAAATTATAAAAATATTTGTGGCAACACAAACTTTCTGATGACTATTTCACAAAGCAGCCATATTATGTAGTCAGCTGTAAAAGAGTTCGAAGTAATGGCTTTTAAAATAAATAAGTTATTCCAATACATGCAACAGTCACATATTGGAAGATTTTATGGGTTTTAAGGTGTATGAGCCCCCTTAACATTTATTATTTCTTCATGAAACTGGTTCAGGAAATCATACTGGTCTAAGAAGAGATGTAGATAAGGTTGTATTTCATCCTTATTTTTTAGAATTAAGGATGTATGTGGGTTGATGGTTGTATTTTTATTTTATATATTTATTTGCTTGGATATGCCTTATGTATTTTTTTATGGATGTAGAAAATTTTATTCTTCCCAAACTCATACTATCTACTCAGTACTTCCTCTTTTCTTTAATAGCAAAAATTTTCAACATAACATCAGCTTCAAGGCTTAATTTTTAAAAGTAGAATTGCCGGAGCCGTATGGAAGACCGACAGGAAAGAGAAACTAGAGTAAATAAATGAATAAAATGACTATTAAAATCGTTAAAAATTTAAGAGTTAATTAATAATTATTTAATTGTAGAATTGATGTTAACAATGAATATTTATTAATAATTAATTTACTATTGTTTATTAAAATAATTGAATAATTAAGGATTAAAGTAATTAAATGATTAAAAATTATACAAAATGCAAAGAGGTAAATTAAAATTTAATGACTAATTTTTAATATAATTTTATTGCTAAAAATAAAATTTTCGAGATCGCATTTCTACTGAAATTGTTGTTTAGTTACATAAAAGAAGTGCCGAAAGCCTTTTCTTATTAAGGGCTGCGGTGGGCTCCGGCTAGAATTAGAATTTATCCCAAAAACTAAGAAGCACCGGAGCGGTCCTCCGGCGGGCTCCGGCGCAATTTAAGCTCTGATCAGATTTAACAGAGATGTGTGGGAACAGCTTATCCAAAGACCTTGAATGGAATGAGAGATTCCATTCAAGTTCTTTGGTGTCGCAAACTGTGTATTTTTGGTTCTCCAAAAAGCAGATGTTCTATCTGCTCAGTTTAGCTTTTGCTTGGAATGTATAAAAAAGTGGGAGTGAAGATAAAAAGGACAATAATGTAAAAGTGTGTCCCGGTAATTTAATTTTGGAATGGGGGGGGGGAGATACGCCTCCTAACATTCAAAATTTAGATGATTTTAAAGATTAAGAATACTTAATTTTAGTTAAAACTTGTAGAAATTCTGAAAAAAATTCATAAAAAATTTCATTCATAGAAATCCGCAGAGTTTTCTAAATCTTATTCTCCTGCAATGGAAGTTCGCTATAGAGGTATAAAATAACGTACCGTGCATAAAAAATAAAGCTGATAAGATAAAGTTCATGGGAGATATATTTCTGAATAGCATGATTTGCCCGAACGTAATTATCAGATAACAATAGACAGCGGATGCTCTTAATAAATGTTTCCTAATAAATAAAAGACCTCAATACGCTTAGAAAGGTAATTTGTTTTAATCACGAAATTTCCTTACCCCCCTGGCCTAAACGATATCTGCCAACTGCGCGAGCTATAGTAAACAAGACAGTGCCATGCCATTCAGTTCAGCCGTGTATCCGAACTGCTGTAAAATGTATACTTTTCATGACACATATATTTCAGTGTAATGAAAGGAATTGTGAAATAATAAACAATGTTTAGGTACAAATGGTAATTTTAAGACGTCTAGGGTGTAATCATAATCAATTGATGAGTTGATAAAAATAATCGCATGATGGGTATAAGAGTTTTTAATTCTTTATACGAAATTATATTTGAAACGTGTGAACGTAACTTCTGATAGTAATTTTATGCACAAATTCCTCACCACGAGTCAAACTCGTGGCTTGTGTTTATGACACAAATTCTTTATCACGAGTCAGACTCATGTCTTTTGTTTATGACACAAATTCTTTAGCACGAGTCAGACTCGTGGCTTTTGTTTATTGCACAAATTCTTTAGCACGAGTCAGACTCGTGGCTTTTGGTTATGGCACAAATTCTTTAGCACGAGTCAGACTCGTGGGTTTTGGTTATGGCACAAATTCTTTAGCACGAGTCAGACTCGTGGCTTTTGTTTATGTTTTTAGCACTCGCTTTGACAATTCTTTAGCACGAGTCAGACTCGTGGCTTTTGTTTATGACACAAATTCTTTAGCACGAGTCAGACTCGTGGCTTTTGTTTATTGCACAAATTCTTTAGCACGAGTCAGACTCGTGGCTTTTGTTTATTGCACAAATTCTTTAGCACGAGTCAGACTCGTGGCTTTTGATTATGGCACAAATTCTTTAGCACGAGTCAGACTCGTGGCTTTTGTTTATGACACAAATTCTTTAGCACGAGTCAGACTCGTGGCTTTTGTTTATGACACAAATTCTTTAGCACGAGTCAGACTCGTGGCTTTTGGTTATGGCACAAATTCCTTAGCACGAGTCAGACTCGTGGCTTTTGTTTATTGCACAAATTCTTTACCACGAGTCAGACTCGTGGCGTTTGTTTATGACACAAATTCTTTAGCACGAGTCAGACTCGTGGCTTTTGTTTATTGCACAAATTCTTTACCACGAGTCAGACTCGTGGCTTTTGATTATGGCACAAATTCTTTAGCACGAGTCAGACTCGTGGCTTTTGTTTATGACACAAATTCTTTAGCACGAGTCAGACTCGTGGCTTTTGTTTATGACACAAATTCTTTAGCACGAATCAGAGTCGTGGCTTTTGTTTATTGCACAAATTCTTTAGCACGAGTCAGACTCGTGGCTTTTAGTTTCAGCACAAATTCTTTAGCACGAGTCAGACTCGTGGCTTTTGTTTATTGCACAAATTCTTTACCACGAGTCAGACTCGTGGCTTTTGTTTATGACACAAATTCTTTAGCACGAGTCAGACTCGTGGCTTTTGTTTATTGCACAAATTCTTTACCACGAGTCAGACTCGTGGCTTTTGATTATGGCACAAATTCTTTAGCACGAGTCAGACTCGTGGCTTTTGTTTATGACACAAATTCTTTAGCACGAGTCAGATCGTGGCTTTGTTTATGACACAAATTCTTTAGCACGAATCAGAGTCGTGGCTTTTTTTATTGCACAAATTCTTTAGCACGAGTCAGACTCGTGGCTTTTAGTTTCAGCACAAATTCTTTAGCACGAGTCAGACTCGTGGTTATAGACCAAAGGGTTAACAATACACAAAAGTGCTGGATTTTGTGGAAAATGAATTGAATTATAGGAAAAAATATAAATATTTCGAGTTCATAAAATTAATTTATAATTACTTCCATAAATAAAACAAGTTAATATATTTACAAAAATGAAGAGGTTAGAGGCAAAAGCCTAAAATTTCTAAACGACGATAAATTTAACTTTCCGGGACGAACTGATTTCTAAACGCCAAAAATATGTTAATGAATATTTAAACATAAACAATATAAACCCATTATTCGTAAAACAAATTTATTTTTATTTATTTATTTTTAAATATTCTGATACATTGCTTATAAGAGCAGTAGCACAGCACAGAAACATTTCAGATACTCACTAGGCGACTGCAACAACAATATTTGTATTAGAAACTTCAAACATTAGAAATAAACTTCAAAATTAAATTTAAAATTTACACCCCCCAGCCCAGGAGATGGAAAAATTTTGCAAAAGCCCCTCCCGGGTGGCACTATTTTCCTCTTAAATAATCTCCTACTTTTTTGGGGCTATTTCGAGTGCCACCCGGTTATTTCCTTGTTCCGTGGGGAGCCCCTCTTTCTTTCTACCTGCAACTCATAACACATTGTATTATTACTTATTTATTAATATACCATATATGCTTCTATTACACATTATTTCGTGTTTAACTATCATAATTCAATATTACTTACTTACCGGGATAGAACTTCAGACCTTTCTGTTCAAGGAGAGTGTCTTGCCAACCTGTCTCCGGGGCCCCGTCAAAACTTGCTTCTCTTACTTTAACTAGTGTAAAACGTTTCCGTGAAATCTTTTACTTTTTTTTTTTTCCTCTTAGCTGCCCTGAAGACTTTCTACAACATTTCCTCCTGCAAAGCCAAGAACAGATCCTTTTTGTATTCGAATGATATCTGCTTTAAAAGCTCCGGATACAGGGTAAGTTTATGTTTCACTGTTAAGACAAATATTGAAAGAAAAGAAAACTATGATTAGTGGTTAGAGTTTTGAACCAATGTCTAAACACCTACATTATCCGAAAAGTGAAGTGAAGTGAAACCGAACTTTTTTTCCCCCTCCCATGAGTTAACGCTTCAAATATTCTAAATTATGCAATTAACAACGTGTTCCACAAGGCACACGTGCTGAAATCTGAATATATAGCCGTGTTTAATTTAGATTTTAAGGGTAATTATTTCTCATAAGCCAAAGCCGTCAAGTGAAAACCAAAACTCACAATTGAGAAAAAAAGAACTAAATAAATGAAAAGAAAGAGACTTACTAATCTGGGGTGTTTCTGATTCTAATTTTCAACAGACTGTATTAAATTTCCGGAATAGAATCAATCTTCGCTTGGGTTGGGTAGACCGCAAAACTTTTAGTCCTATTCAATCCAGATTGGACAGTGACAAAAAAAAGTCCGCTGCTTCAATATTAGAGATTTTGCGGAGAAACTCCCAACCTCCGTACTGTATAATGTATTGGCAAAGAAACTGAAATTATTTTGACTATTCGTTTACTTTCCTTTTATTTAAGCCATTCCGAATATTATTCCTTAGAAAGCTAATCTGTGTAAAAACACACCCATTTTTGGAAGTTTATCTATACTTCAGCAGTTACTGCAACTATACTATTATAAATATTCATACATATACTCATAATATAAGCATAACGATCATAATAATTGGGTGGGAGGAAAAGAATACCCGAATGTACTGGAATTTTCTACGTTTTCGCAATTCTTGGCCAATAGAACGACGTGCACCTGTCTGTACTCTCGCGCGTACCATAGGTTACGTTAATACAGAGGAAGGGGGAAAGCAATTTTCAGGAGTATGATTCACCATCTGACGTTGCATATAAGAAAGAAAAGTTGTTTATTTAGTTTCGGCTTTGGTACGGGGAAAAAATGAGCGTTTATTAAAAACAAAGGATTAAAAAAAAATAAGGGCTTTAAAGAAAAAGTAAGCACCTATAAGGGCCTTTATATTTTATTTTCAAATATAAGGACTTGTAAGCACTTGTAAGGACCGCTACGAACCCTGATAGAATACAGCAACACAATGAAAAAAAACCCCCAGTTGTAACAGAGTCCATAAATCTAATTAATATATCTCTTGTCTCCCAGTAACGCTCGGCGAGAAAAGTCTTGCGCAGAGCAGGGCAGTGGAGTAAATGTGCGGTGTCCATCACCTCACCAGAGTTGCACAAAGTGCATATTGGAGAAGGAACAATTTTGCATCTATGAAGATGATATTGTAGGCAGTCATGTCCGGTGGCAAGGCGGTATTCAGCGACCGCTCTAGGCCTTGGACCATTACACAAATTCGGGATAGCATTCTTCCAAGACTTATGAGAAACACGATGATAGAGATCTTCCCGAGCACGTACTTTGAAAGATCTTTTAATAAGATCACCAACAGCATGGAAAGGCAAAGGACGAGAAATATTCTGCATAATTAAAGCACCCCTTTTTTGACAAGAAGTCAGTATTCTCGTTACATGGAATTCCACAGTGGGCGGGAACCCACTGGAGGACTATAGTTTTCTCAAGTGAAACCAGGTTTTGTAGATAATGTCGACAATGCAATATGTCCTGTGATATGGGATTTTTTATGTGAAACGATAGCCAACAGAGCAGCTTGGGAATCCCTGAGTATAACAGCTCTTGTGAATTTTTCCAAGTGGCATGGTAGCTGGTACAGAGCTGTGCGAATCGCAGCAATTTCACCGTCAAACGCAGTACCTCGGCCCGCAGGGATGTAGAAAGAGAAAATTTCCAGTCTTTTAAAGTTAGAATCTAGATTGGTGGGTTTCCGAATGTGTGAGACGGCAGAAGCATAGATAATGGTCTGCATCTCCTTTGACTCCACACACGCCATTGTCGCTATTGGAGAGGTTCCTTTTCAGAAAATAATCTGGATATGGGACATGACCAGTGAGGTAATAAGTTAGGAAGGGCTTGGAGCTTCTAATACCTGTGCCGATTTTTGGGAAAAACCAAGTTGAACGGCGACGTAGTTCGTATCCGTAAGTCATCAGATTCTAAGTATAAATCATTCATTACGAGAGGCTAGTCCCTTACTATGGCCATAGTGTATATAATGTAAATAGATCATGGTCCTTCGGGTATATGAATTTGTAAATGTATGCATTTATTTATTGGCTTGGTGTTTGATTTGTTGTACGTTATTTATTGAAATTATTATTTTAATATTGCGTTGGTGTTCAGTTATTGATTTTCCTTAGTTGTAATTATGGCTACCTGTTCGGGAGTCTCACTGCCCGGGATATGCAGTCTTTGGGAAGGGGCAATGCTATGAATTTTGTACATATGGTAAATAATTTTAATGAACCTATGCGTAAATTCTAGTACCTCCTGTAAATTGTAACATGAAAGGCCTCAGAGGGCGAAGCATCGTCACGAAAACAGGGCTACAGGGTTAAGTCCATTTAACATTATAACGTTTGGCTGTCTTGCCAAACTGGCGAAATAGCGCGAAGCTGGGAGATTGTCGCCAAGCTTAGCGACATTTTGGTCCGATTCTTGTGTATAGATCTCTGTGTAGCTCTTAACTGTCTAAACCTTCCAGCAATTTCAAGAAATCGAAGGTATTGGAAATTTGTCGGCGGACAGGGAAAAACTATATAAAACTGGAGATGAAGCATTAGTTTTTCAGTTTAGCTTAGAGTTTAGCTCAGATCACTCTGCGAGCTTGTAATATTAGCAGTCATAAAAGTGGCTTGCAATCTTAATGATAATAATGGATTTACTTTTGTAATATTATTTTATTATTTAAATTTTATTCCCCTAAATGAGCAGAAAAAGCTGAAGTTCCAGAACTGTAAAGTGCTTTTGGAAAAATTAATTTCAACAAGCTATCATCGGTGCGCACATAATAATATAAAGAAGAGTGTCCTTTTGTTTGTAATTCATACAAATCTATATTTTTATTCAGTATTTCGTATTTGTACATGGCTGAATTTAGTTGCCCAACATGTTTGATAAGCGAGAGCTGTCAGGCCAGTCAAGGACATGTTGAAGACATTGTTGGAAAGTCATGCTGTATGTGGCCGAGCATTGTCCTGTCGGAAAACAGAACCTGGACCATCAGCTAGCACAGGCAGTACGATCGACTGCAAAATTTCATCAACATACCTTTGAGCAGTCAGAATACCTCGCAGCATGACTAATGGTGAACGGCTGTCTCATCTGATCGCTCCTCAGACTATCACACCCTATGTTCTGCTCGGTTACAAATGGTACATTAGATCGCTCACCTCTCCGTCTTCAAACATGTACACAGCGTCATCATTGCATTGACAAAAAAGTGGGATTCATCACTGAATATCACTTTCTCCAATCGGACACTGTCCAGCTTGAGCGACAGCGGCACTATGTAAGACGATACTGCTTATGGTGGAGTGTCAATGGTAAGCATCTTAATAGACGTCAGGATCACATAGTCTCCTGCGAATCGTATCCCTGGATATTCCAGAATCCCTGCGAGTTGGAAAATGGCATTTAATCGGTGATAGCATAACATAACAACGACCACATCACTTTGACCAATATTCAGATCCGTTTGTTTAGCCAACCTGCATCTTTTAGCCCTATGATATGACCCTTCTCAAAGTCTGACAAATGTTTGTAACGTCGTCGAGTACGTCTTAAAGGCATCTTTCATTACAATGCCACATTACAAATTTATTACAATGTATCCAAGCCGTCAGCGCGGTTGTAAATGCTCGTCCCTCATCACACTTGCCCTTTAACATTCTACCAGCTGCAAACTTCAGATGCGCATTGTATCGCTCCACAATTCTGAATGATGCTGCACATCATTTACTTAACAAACCACATTTGCATGCTGTATTTCGAAGTTGTAGCTCAGTTCCCCCCTCCCCAACAGTATATATGTTCACAATGTTCCCACTGAACATAAAGACAAAAGATTTTTCGACCGTTATGAAATTTCTTTTAAAAGAGATGACGCATAATTCCATGAACCAAATCATGAGACTATGGAAGTTTCCTGCATCGTAGCTCTCGAGATAACAAAGCAGGGGAAAAACATACAGAAACTGAGGAAAATTTTATCAAGCCGTGCGACCTGAAAATTAATAGATTGAGGATGTGGTGGAGTTCCTGGTGCATAACCTGAAAGATTATATGGCCGAATAGACCGTAGAGGCACTAGGTTGATTTAAAGCAGGAAGAAGGGGAAAATGAGCACTGTCATTGTCGGGACTCGAACCACGGACCTTTCGAATACGCGCCGAAGAATTCAGTAATGAAATGGTATAAAACTTTTACCAGCTTTCATTATTAGACAATACAGACCAAAGAACGATGAGCGGTATGGTCATGGATGTCAAAATGTTGTGCAAAAGACGAAGGCCATTTGTCTTACTCTTCATTTCAACATGATGACAGTCGTAGAATTAGGTTAGTCTGTAGCACTGTTTCTATTTGTGTTGATTTATCTTTGCGGATCAGACGTTTTAAACGGATTTAGATACAACTAGTTTGCAAAAGAAAATGAAGCATCAAAGTAGACTGGAAGTTAAAAATAACCTATACCTACTACGCTTTCTCAGATTTGGTGGGAAAATAATAAGTGCAATTTTCCATTAATTTATCCAAAAATAAATAAAACAATGCAAGCATAAACATAAATAAGCATCTCATCATCCTGCTTTGAGGCTGCAACAGAGTTGGTCCAAGCCTTTTGTTGTTGTTATCAGTTGTAAAAAACAACTGCAAACGAAAAGTTAGAGACGCATTTAAAATCAATCACTCAAATGAACTACAGTTCTCCAGATGAATGAATACGATAATTTTAAAGAATAACAGCTATTTTATTCAGTTAAAATGTAGCCTTAAATTAGCATTGCTAACATAAACATCATCAAAATAAGCTGAGAACACTGCGTTCTAAACATTGTGTAAAAAGGGGGAAAATTTTTTTTTTTCCTTAACAATAATAATAATTGTTGCCATTCAACTACAACAAAAGTAAAATTAAAAGTATAAGTTGAAAATCACAGGTGAAGTAGTAGTTAAGTTTAAATAAGTTAAATAGTTAAGTTCTGAAGTTGCACAATTTCGTGCTTTAAGAGGAATTCTGTGTCAACCGACAGACTCGCTCTAGCATGTCATCAACATAACATGGCAAACCGCCAGTTTTCAAAAAGCCTGCCATTCCACACTCTATAAGACCTTTAATGTGTGTGTTAAATTGAGACATTGCATTTCTTACCTAATTTGCTGATTTAAATGCAATGTATACTTATTAATAATTTTAATTTTATCTTTAGTAATATCTGTAACCGTGTAATTTATAATACATGGAAATTACATGGAGCTCACGTGATTTGTAATTCACAGTGAAAATATTCATAAACATTTGCATTATTGAAATAAATAAAATATTTTTCTTACACCATGTATTACATATTTTGGTATGGAATAATTGTTTGCATGCCCATTTGCAACCAAGTTTTCATTAACTCTTTGACTACTAACAGAACATGTATGTCTCCCTGAAAGTTTAAAAATGACTGCTGGGATAAAAAATACTTAAAATCTTCTCACTGTTGGGGGATTGTCTTCCAATAGTTGTAAAATCGAGATGCCGCCATGCTCGTTGTACACAAATGAACATAGAGAAAAGAATGATGTGTAATGTTGGATTATGCAAAGAACGATGTGTAATGTTGGATTATCCAATGTGTAATGTTGGATTATGCAAAGAATGAGTTTTGCCCTGTAGTGTTCCATGTAAATCTATTTCATATAATAATGTTTTCCAAAATAATAGGTGTGCTTACAGTAAGTCGATCTCTTTGTGTGGGACATTTGTATCCCACCGTTAACTATGGCTGGGACATATGTGTTCCAGACTTTGCCTTGAAAACCATTTGTCGAAAAAATTCCAAATGCTAAATTTACCTTATTTATCATATATTTTGTCCACTTGGATAGAAAATGAGGCAAAAACTATTTTTTTAATTTGTAGTCAAAGCGAAATGCCCAGCATATAACTTCTGACAAGCTTAAACTGAAATTATATGATTGAATGAATCTTGCTTATATATGACTTGCTTATTATATGACTGCTTGAACTTCTTTTTTTTTCTGAAGCAAATTTTTATTTTCCTTAGGTTGTATTAATACTCCCTCATTTGAGGCCTCAGTATTACTTCTCTAGCGACAGTGTCAAGGAGTCAGCAAATGTGATGGGAATGGTGGCCATGGCCATTGCATTACTTCCACCTTCTATCAACGAAGTAAGATTGGACAGCGACATGTTCGTGACGCATCTCACATTCGAATTTCGAGTGGCACACTGTGAATCCAGATAAGAGGAACTTGAAAATAAATTTCAGAAATTACTGTTGCCAAAGTTGTATTCTAATTTTCCATCATTTCTTCCCAGAGTGTTAGAACTGTTCGATTACATAGCTGACGAACTGACGGGTAAAAATATGTACGCACTTTGTCATGGACAGAATGTACAGAGATTAAGGAAATGTCACATTGACCATGGTGAATAAAAGGTTTTTCTTGATTCAAATCCATTATTTCTTTACACAAAATTATATGTATAAAGCTATAAAGAAATAGATTTTTGTGTATTATCAATTAATTTGTAATTGCAATAAAATATATTTTCGAAATCTTTCTAGTTACTTTAATAGAATACAAAATGAATGACTTCAACTTAAAACTAATACAACAATCAGCGACTTCAAGTTAAAACTAATACAACAATCAGCGGTTGTAATAGCAGATGCCTTCTGACCCTGCATAGTTCTGTTTCACATATCGGGTCAGTCCATGAGTTTGTGCGCATTAAAAGTGTGCATAGAATTCACTATGACGCATTTACTAAAACAATACAATTTTGAACCTGTTGAAACTTGTCATCGTTTGACTCACATATTATTCAGTTCATCACCAACTTTCGTAAATATCGAGCGCATTTTAGTACCCCTAGTAGAATATAGATAATCAGTACAAACATGCCGTGCTACATTTTTTATTTTCGTGTGGTGAATCTGCCAGGTTTGCAGCGATAAAAATTAATAGTGTGCATGGTGAACATGCTATTAGTGTAAGGGCTGTCCAGAAATGGTTTAAAAATTTTAAAGTTGGAAAAAGCAGCATTGATGATGAACCCCATTCAGGACATTTTAAACTATTAGAATCAAATCAAACGATTCATTCAGAAGTTTATAGTAAACAACTTTGCCGTCTAAACTCAGAATGGATCAAAAAGCGCCCATGATGGGTGAATATCAAGAAAGTGTTGTTTCATCGTGATAACGCTAGAATGCATACGGCTCGAACAAAAGCTGCAAAAAATGAGTGAATTTAATTAGGAGCTAGCTCTTCCCACATTTTGCTTACTCCCCAGATATTACCCAAAGTGATTTTAACTTATTTCGTGCCTTACAAAATTTTTTACTGGGAAAAACATTAAATTCTAAACAGGATGTACAGAATGAACTTTCAAGTTGTTTTCAAAACCAGAGTCTTTCTACAGCAATGGCATAAAAATGCTCCCTGTAAGATGATGAGACATTGTAGATAATGGAGGAAAATATATAATTGATTAAAATATTAAATTGTGTTTTTTATATTTAAAAATTTAGCAAAAAATGCGCACGAATTTATGGACTAACACACTATATTTTTTCTTAAGTTCCTGCATATCTTTCTTGAACAATACATATTAAAAAAATTGCTGATATTTTGAAATGAACATGCATTTTTTCAGGGTGTTTCCTTGAACTATAGGCAAAATGTCTAAAGCAAATTTTCAGTAAAACATCATATACTAACTATTATTACATCATAACTATTATATACTAACTTAGATGCTGATGTTTTTTAATAATAGACTAAAGCATTATTATCTGGGTACTACAAGAAACTATTAGGTACAAATATCATAAATTATACAAAAATAGAAAGAAATTTCAGTCTTTCAACTGAGTCTTATGAAAAATATCTCATGAGACAGCTAAAATGTTTAAGATCTGCAATAAAAATGAAGTGCTTTTATAATTTTGTTGTTGTTAACTACTCAATACAATGAATATAAATACAATTTTAAAAGTCTCATAATCTAAGATCACACAAACAATCTAGAATTATCTGACTAAATTATGATGTCAAGAACAAAAATACGGAATACAGCAATACAAAGCAATATCTTAACTTTACAATACAATAGAAAGCAATATCACTTTATGAGTTACAACTTCGAAATCAGATATAAAACGGCATGATATTTTAATTCCAGGCATAACTTGCATTTAAGTAAATGGCATAAGTAAGTGGCATAACTTGCATTTAAACACAGCTAAGTTAATATGTATATACAACTCAAACTGTTACAGATGGGGTGTTACCAATACCTTTTACATGGTGTTACTGCCTGAACTGTGGGGGAAAACTTATCACAAAAAATTTAAGTTTTCCAAAATAAAATCTTCCATACTATATAGTTAACTCTCCCTGATACGTGAGAAATTCCCAGATACACACGATACTAGCAGTCCAAACTTTGAATATATTCTGATATATTTCTGAATCACTACAGGGCCCAGCAAAATGAAGAAATACACGAAAACTGCAGGAATTATTGAGTATAATTCTACAGTCGAAAATACCTTCAAAACAGTGACAACTACTCACCATAATGCCCACTAATAATTTTGTATATATTCTGTATATTTTTCATTCTACTCTAGAATTAGTTTTTTTCTAAACCGCATTGATTCAGCATTTCTCCTACTATCATGTCAATGAGATCTTCATGTGGGCGTATGTAACAGCACAGTTCTATACACAGCACATTTCTTCTATGAGAAATTTGAAGGTCATGAGTTCTGTATTTGATCTCGAGAATTTTGTGTTTCAACTAGTATTCTGGACATATATTTACATTATATCTAATGATATAATTTTCATTTATTTATATTCTCTGTCTGTGTTTTATTATATATATATTTTGCATTGAATTATACCCACAAGTGGAGTACTATCACAATTCACTTTCGAGCCAACAGAGGGCAGCACTAGCAATCACAAGGTCTTATCCTGTACCTTGCATTCCTTGACTTTGTCACTCTTATGATATTCTATTTCCGTCCATTTGGATGGCTGTACGATTGCACATAATTTTTAAATAACTTAAAAGGCCTCACGGCACACATTAAGATGGACTATGAAATATATCTTGATGTAGATGTCAGTAGAAGAAAGAAGTTCTAAGGCAGATGTTAGCTATAGCGAAAGCAACTTACATCCGTGCATGCACTTCACAGTAAAATATAAGTATTGAAACTTATGACAGTATATTAGCATCGTATATTAAGAGAAAATTAAAACATGTATTGCTGAAACTATTGAACTATTGAAGAACAATTGAAGCTGATACATGATTAAAGTATCATGAAAACATGCTGTGAGTGTGTATATCATAAGCTATGCAAAGATGAACCAGACAGTGATATAGATGATTCCACAAATGTAAATGAAGAAGCACGACTGATAACAGATGATCCAAGAAGATTAATTTAATTGATAACCCGAAAACATTACAGAGCAGATGAAAAAGAGTTTAATTGAAGAAATGTTCATAAGCAAAACAGGCAAAGTGCAGAATCGTCCACTTATTTGTTTGGCACTTTTTACAAGATTAAGAGGAATTGGATTTTTGTCAATTTTCTTTGACTTTTTAAGTGAAAATAGGTTGATGTGTACATGGATAAAGCCAAGGGAGTGCATAGTGCCATTTTTGTGCAATTCTGGCATTTTTTTTTTTTTTTAAGTGAAAATAGGTCGATGTGTACAAGGATACCGATTTTGTGCAATTCTTAAAAACGCAGCAAGCAGTGGATAATTCTGCCCTTTCCCCAGCAAAACTTCTGCAGACTTTTTGCAGTTCAATCATCACCAGAGTGCACCTCTTATAGTGAAAGATATTCTGACCAAAAAAAATTATTACCGAGTTAGATGATTCTGCCTACTCAATCTGACGTAACTCATGGTGATTTCTCATTAAATTCCTAAATTAAAAGCTTCCCCTAAGAGACCTCGATTTCCTAGTATATATCTAACAGAATGGGAGGCTACCTAGTACATATATAACAGATCTAATCCTAGTACATATCTAACAGAATGGTTTCTGCAGGCCCACATTCTTCATACAAAACTATCCTACGGATTATGAAACGCTTAAGGGAGATAGGCTGAGTGACTAGCTGACTTTGATCTGGCAGTCCAGCTAAGGTAAGGCGAAAAGTGCAACCGGAAGTTGTTTTATCATATGGCCCCACATATTCAAACAGCAGCACAAGAAAGATAAGTGAAAAGTGTGGTCTCTTAAAAAAAGTTGCTTGAAGAAAAATTGGAAAACCATAAATGAATTAGGTGCTCATCCATATCGACCAACTCCCAATCAGGAATTACTGGACGGGGATGCCGAGAGACATTTTGCATGGTTCAACTTCATCATGAATCAGATAGAGGTCCAGTCAACATTCTTGGCAGGTATAGTGTAGACGGATGAGGCATGCATTTTATAGAATGAAATGTACAATAGGCAGAACATCCATTACTGGGCACTGCCGAAGTTTGACATCATCAGTTTTTCGATTAATGTTTTGTGTGGAATTTATAATAACGGGCTAATCGGCTCAATATTTTACCAAGTTACCTTAACAGAACTTTTCCTGTTATTAGATTAATAATCAGTATTGAGAATAATTCCATTTCAAAATCACTTTTGGGGATGTGAATTCTTTTATTAAATGGTTCTAAATTTGGTGATTTATCAACATTTTGGAGATTTTGAGATCAGTTTCTGTAGAAAATTTTTATTCCGAGATCTGGGAATTTTTCGACGATTTTTTTTTAAAACACTGTAAAGTTGATAAATTTCATTAAAATAATGGTAACACATTGAAATTATCTTTAAAAAATAACATTAAAATAAAGCAATTTTATTTTTTGCTGTCAAATGACCTTTAGGCCACTTATACAATATTTTGAATCTGAAAAATAAACAAGGTATAAAAGCACAATTTATGAAACGGTTCTTAGCAAAAGCAAAATAGCTATGTAATTAATTTAAAATATCTTCTTTTTAATTTTCTTATGGTAAGAGTTTTTCCCATGTTATTGTCTCAGAATATTCAGAATTCTCAAAATATGTATCAGCTTTCTCTATAAAATTAATTTTGCATTTTTTCTCTCTGATTTCTTTCCCCAAAATATTTCTGGCTTTTTGCTGTTATAGAATTCGTAGGAGTAATTTTTCTTTAGGATTTTAGGTGGTGTGATGTATTTAATTATGGCAAAGCACACTAGGGCTATCTGCCTAAGGGGAGGGATGCCTTCGTGGAGGACTTTCTAAGGGAAACTGGCTCGTATACACGTTACACATGGGGAAAACCACGAAAACACCCATGCAGCCAGCCCGTTCATGGGATTCGAACCTCGGACCGAACTACCAGTGTTCAGCGACTTTACCGCTCGGCTGCTGGTGGGCCGCCTTTAGGGTTTTTGACACTGCAGCTTAGAAAGTTTAGCAAAATTTGAAGGCAAGAATTATAGACCCATGATTCTAGAAGATTACATAAAAATGTGACAAAATGAAAAATGCCTCCATGGTATTAACATGTAATGGATAACAATGAAAACATAATATTTGAATGTTTTACTTCCGAAACGAAAATCTTTTTCTTAACATCTTTATCTTTCCCTTATTTTCCCTACTTTTTACTATACCGGAATACAAGCAGGGAAAATATAAAAAATGCTTCTAATCTTATGACATGGACAGGCATTATAGAAAGGAATTTTATCATTAATAAAGAAATTGAAAACTGTCAATTTAACAGATTTATCTATTATGTCTTAATGCATCATACACAGAGCTGGCGCTAGGCACTTTCCCACCTAATGCAATCTCTGCGGATTCTAAATTCTGCTCCCAGTGCCTGTTCTAAATTCTAAAAGTTCTGTCATTTCTAAATTTTATTGCTTGGTGTGTGATTAAAATCTAAAAATTCTGCCACACCAGCTCTGTAACCAGTCCTTACCATATATATTTCATATTTCTGACTAATGAAATAACATTAGCAGCTTTTTCTTTACATTCTAAATGCATTTAGTTTTTTTAGAATAATAGAAATCCAAAAATTCTAAAATGAAAAGAAAATGAAAGAAACTGAATACATAAAGAGAAAGAAAATTATTCTTCAAAGATATATACAATTTCTATTACGTAAATTACCCAATTGTTTATAATTTCTCATTTTGAATTCCTGACCAGAATGCAATCACCTAGACAGGTTTTAAACCGAGGTTTTTGGAGTGTAAGACAGAGTGTGTTTCTGACCTCCATTTGTTCGCTGCATTATTTCCTGCCAGCTCTGATCATTTGAAATTATTCGTCTTTGTATTATCACTGCTGACATTTCAATCATCACTGCTTTGGATTATCACTGCTGACATTTGGCGACGATTACACACTTTTTGTTGGAGGGGTGAGGGCAAATGAAAGACATAAACCAAAATATTATATTTAACGCTGTTTCAATTGAGAATAAGTGACTTATTATTCAAACAAGTCTAAGTTTGTCACCACACCTGGTGGCAGAAATTTTAGAATTTGGAACAACAAAATTAAGCAATGGCTAAATCTTTAGAATGTAGGGAAAATACTGGAATACAAAATTTAGAGTAAGTAGAATGTTTAGAATGAAGAGAGGCACTTGGCAGCAGAATTCAGGACTCACACAGACTGCAACGGGCCACAAAATATCGGTACTTGCATATTTATTCAACTACCTCACTATACACATAACCACTCCTCTGTCAACCATGCTCATAACAGTGCTTCAATCAAGCAATGCCACTATTTTTGCATGCTTTCTTTCTCACTGTATTCCAAGCTCCAATGTTTTTTTAAACAAATTATGGTATTTTTTGCCTTAGTTTTTAAATGAGAGCTTGTGAAATTTGCCAGCAATAGAAGGAACTGCTGCAAAATTTCCGCAGAAATACAGAATTTTGCTGAAAATGCTATAAACGGAACAATGAGGAAATCCGTAATAAATAATGCAAGATAACCACTGTTTCCAACAGCTGTATGATGCCAAGTCTCCACAATTCTCTGATGTTTTTGGGTGAAAACAGATTGCTGTGTACTTCAGGAAAAGAATAGTGCCAAAAAATTACAGAAAGATTTGAATAAGAATGCAGGTATTTAATTTTTTTTAAATGTATCATGTAATCCTTGTTTAATAATTAAAATTTGCATTTTAAACTGCTAAAGTATGCTTTCTTTTCATATGTTGATAATGACATTATCTATCAGTTGAACCGATGTTATTTAATGTTTACCAACTTAATGTAAATATTGATAGTTTGGGAAACTTTTCAAAAAATGACATGAAAACCACCAACTAGACTCAATCAATAACTTCCACCATTTTAATCTATAAAAAATCACCAGACAGCACAGAGGTGGTTGACTTAAGATGCAAGTACCAAAATATCTAGTGTCTACCCTAGATATTTGTTCAGAACTAAGATAAATCATGTGTGGGAAATAGATGTAAGTAAATAAGTAACTAAACTAATATAATTCAGGCTTAACTTTGTCAGCATGTGATAGAAGCAAGAAAAAATTTAGCAGAAGAGCAACTCTTTAATCACCATGCTCATGATACATTGCCAATAGTGTATAGCAAATAATAACTAAGCTTTATGATAAGTGTCATGAATTTGAAGGTATCCAGATATCGCAAACAAAAATTTGTGAAGAAGTGATAATAATTGAAGATGACATCACAGAAGTTTTTCACTGCGATAAGAATGTCCCAATCGATGAATAACTAAAGTAATATAATTCAGACTAAACTTCGACAGCACAGGATAGAAGTAAAGCAAAATTTAGCAGAATATGTCTTTAGTAGCCAATTTCATCATATATTGCCAATAGCATAAGCTACCTAAACTTTATACAGGGTTTGTACACATTTCTGCACACGAAAAAGAAGTACTTTTAAGGACCATTTATGAAAAAAAATTAAGGACCTATGAGCAAATGGGAATAAAGAAAAAAAAAATGGAAAATAAACATGTTAAGAAAAAGATTCTAGTATCAGAAGTAAAAGATTGGAATATTATGCTTTTATTGTTCTTCCAGACGTTCTCCAAAAAGCAAGAAATCCATCGCAAACTTTCTGTAGTATACATCTGTTATGAGTTAATATCATGAAGATATTTTTCATTTTGTCACATTTTCTGGAATCTTCTAGAATCGTGGGTCTATAAATCTTGCCTTGAAATCCTTTTAAACTTTCCAATTTGCAATGTCTAAAATCTGAAAGAAAAATTACCCCTGCCAATTCTGTAACAGCAAAAAACCACAAATATTTTGAAAAAAAAAAAAAAAAGAGATAGAGGGAAAAAGTGTAAAATTAATTTTAAGAGAAAACTAATGCATATTCTGAGGCAATTACATGAAAAAAACTCTTATCATAGAAAAAATCAAAAAGACATTTTGTTTAATTAAACAGCTGCTTTTGCTATGAACTGTTTCGGAAACTGTGCTTTATAGAGTTATACCTTATTCATTTTTCAAATTCAAAATACTGTATAATATGCGGCCAAAATGGAACTTTATAATATGACAGCTGTTACAATGTTATGGTAGAAAAATTCCCAGATCATGGAATTAAAAATTTACTTCAGAAACTGATCTTAAAAATCACCAAAATGTTGATAAGTCGCCAAATTTAGAGCAGTTCAATAAAAGGATTCACATCTCCAAAAGCGAAAAGTTGTTTAAGATCTCTTCATTAGAAAAGTGAAATAATTTCAAAATGCTTATGTTTCCCTTCTTGCTCAGAAACTAGAGTATCCTACCTTTATATTAGAAATAGGAACAAATTATAACCCATTCAAAAGATAACCATATTTATCAGTGAATCGCCAAAAATATACCTCCAAAATGCTAATTCACACTCAAAATGGCAGTTGTAAAAACAAACAGAAATTTCACATGATTAAAGACCTTTTTAGAAATTAAGGACATTCTACCGATTTTGGGCGAAATTAAGGACTTTTAAGGACCAAAAATCTATTCCAAAAAAACTTAAGGACTTTTAAGAACCCACAAGGACTGTATATAAATTTGCATTATTATCATTACTATTTACTTATGTTTGATAAATAATTACCAAATAAAATTTAAAGGTTGGTTTTAGAATTTTATTCTGTTAAAGAAGCCTTTTAACTTTTTTAAAGAAATATGCCATCCCTCAGCTGCTTTTTGAGCGTACATTCAGCACACATTCAATTTATGTTTCAGACCACTGCTCTCAGATGACAACATCCACTGAAAATCAAATGGATCATTTCTTAGAAAAATTTAATTATAATTATACAAACCTTGTTCCTTCACTCCGCTTCCTTCTCACTGAAACAAACAAACAAAAAAAAAAAAAAAAAAAAAAGAGAGAGAGAGAGAGAATTAATTTATTATCAGCAATTCAATTAAAGATATATACTGATTTTGAGTTTAAAAAAAAGATTGAAAGGTTTCAGATTTTAAATTATGACCAAAGGGGCTCTTTTTTTTTAACATTTCAGTTGTTACCTTTATTTATTAAATATCATGTTCTTCGCACTTAAACCACAAAATTCAGTTCAAGAGCAATATTGCAAAATAACTTTAAATTGAGCATATCTTGAGAATTTCTGATACACAGTCTCAGGCGCTGGAGATAAAAAGTTTTTTACCCCCTCCTGTAGAGTGTTACCATTGCTTGCTTTGAAATCATTGAGTTTGTTAATCAAAATTCATTAAAGTTTTACAAAATATGAAATCAATAATAAAACAAATTTCAAATTTGGGATTTCAGATGCCCATATTCGCAGTAGGATTACGTCATTCAAAATTGGATGGCTCTAAGTACTGTTGTTTTATCACAATGCGAGAAACATACATACATTTGTGCAGCTTCTTCATTATTTAATTTCTTCAAATATAATACAGGTGATAATATTAGGTGCCAAAAGTTTGAAGAGTGAAACAGACATTCAGGGTGATTCAACGCAAAATGAAAACAATATTTCCTCAGGGGCCCCTTTGGACTAAAAAGACTTATTTTCCTACTTAAAACATTTGTATGCAAATACAGAGGCCAACAGCAATTGGCCACATGTAAAAAATCAAAGTTTTGTAAACAAAAGTAAACACTGTTCGAACATGCTAAGAGTTTTCTTTAAAAGAATGACAACTGCTGCTTTAAAGAATTAGATATAAATACGATTTGTTAATTTTATAATGGAAAGGTAAAAGTGAAATCAAAAGTTGACATTTTTAAAGACTAACTGAAGAATGTATAATTGATATTATTATGACGTCTTTCTCCACATAATATGGGTGTTATTATATGCCATTTGAAGCGTGCTTTATAAGTGACAAAGACTTTCTTAATAACAAGGATCTGGGGCATGCAAAAACCAATTCTAAACATATTATAGCTCTCCTGGAGGAGAGAAACAAGGAATCCTCATGTTGTAAAAGGCCAGAACGAAGCTGTCGTCTATGTTAGAAATATATACCTTACATTGTATAAAACTCCGATAAACAGAATTTTGATAGCGAATTCTATGCTCTACAGCAGCAGTTCCCAATCTATGTTCCATGTGCACTTCCCACACGCTTCTTAATTAATCCAGGAAAATAATATGAATAAGAACTGAATAAAATTAAAGATTAAAAAACAAAAAGAAGAAACAAAATTTTTAAAATTTAGAAATATTTTTCTGAACACAGAAATTTCTCGAGTTTCATGTCTCCTCTAACAGACCATGCTCGGCTATTTCTCTGAACCATACATGTAAGAAGGTTCTTGTTCTCATAGTCAGTCTTCCCAGAATTCCAGGGATCTCCTTGGAGCTACTCAAATCTTAGCCACACATAAATATGGTTTTTTTGTGTGTTTTACTGCTTCTTATGCTTCTTATTATTATGACGTCTGCTTCTTATGCTTATATATAAATACTTTGTGTTCCTCTGAATAACATAAATATTTGTATTCATAACTATCATTGAAGAATTTACTTGTATATATTATTGCAGCTGATGGAGTATAAAATCAGATGGGGTACAAAATAATAAAAACATCTGTGAAATAGGAGAAAATATTTATTATTAGGGGTTGGATCACTCTTTAATACACTGTACACAATTCAGAGTGGAGGCATTATACTTTTGCACACTATCTGAAGGAATATCAAGCCAATTCCTCCTGTAAAACAGTATCCAATTTTGAAAGCATAACTGGAGGCTAATTTCAAGCACAAAATTTGAACACCAAATAGCCTCACAAATGTTGATTAATGTTCACACTGAAGGATTAGAGTGTCCAGATACAATGTCCTATTTCATAACCATGCACTTCAAGTTCTGTTTGAATAAAAAAACCTAAATGTGGGGAGAACAGTGTTGCCATCTTGACAGGCAAGTTGCTGACCAGGGAATAAAGTGTAGAGGAAAGCATGGCAATGATCACTCAAGATACTTTGTTTACATTCAAAAGACTGCAAAGGGCATCACTTTCATACTTCATAGTCAAAAAGACATGCAGGCATAAATAATTATCTGGGCATTCTCAAAACCATTAATTGCAACCATAGTCTGGAATCATGAATACTGATTTATGTTGCCACTGCTTACATGAGCAAACCCTGTAGTACTCTGCCTTCATGATGAGGCTTGAAAGCATTATACGACATCCACAATGGTTTATAAATTGCCATTCTACAAGAAATATGGAGTTCCGTTAAGACAATTTTGATAGAGTCCTGGAGGTGAGTGTTCATTTCAAACGTTATCTGTAGATTGGCTTTTGGGATGCTATGCCCTTCAGCATCTATCTATCATTATCAATCAGCTTTGTTTTCGCCACTGTCATCTTTTGAAAACTTAAATATTATCATTTTGTATACACTGCTACAATAAGGGCCAATATTATGCTCCCTGTACAAAATATTTTGTTGTTTTTATAACTAACTGAAAGCACTCCAATAATCACACATTTATATAATTCTGCATGGTCTCGCATTTCAGCAACTCTCAGAGGGCACAATGCGTACATGCAACATCTATATCACCTGTTGAAAGACTGACATTTTCACTTTCCTCTTAATGGTCACTAGGTCCACATAGTCAAAATTTCCACGGCATTAAATGGCCATACATAAATTTTTTCCACAGCTGTTTGTATTACACCCTCTTCTATGTATATGGAAACTTCTATCTTAAACAGCTGCATAAATTACAATACTACATAACCATCCAACAAAAAATTTGTATATGGTACTAAAAGAATGCTTTAAAAAATACTTTATAAAATAAAAAAAAAATGACTTTTACAATCAAATCCAGAATATATTTTAAAAAAAATCTAGAAAATGTGAATACTCACCATCTTCCTCCATTTGCAAGGAAGATGCTCCCTCCTATTACAAAATACAGTAAAATAACTTAAGAACATTTAAAAAAATCCATCTTAATCAATAGTATGGAGCACATGAAAGGAAATATAGAAATGAATTTTACACAAAAATATAAAATTCTAGAAAAAATATAATTAATTATAGCAAACGTATATCTACACTCAAAATCGTAGATAGGGCTTTTCCTTAAACATATAAAGTTCTAGAAAAAACTTTATTTTACAAAAAAATTTACAACAAAAATACACTTAAAAAAGTTAATGCTTGTTGTTAAAATGTTAAAAAAAAATAAGCATATTTTGTAACACCATAAAGCTAACCACGGTCTACAACGAGGCATATAATAACTTTTAAACAGCATCATTTATTTCTGAAGGACAATAACATTTTCAAACAAATGAGTGAACAATCATATTTAAGAAAAAATAAGCAATGGTTGTTTAGTAGGTACAGAGACTAACTATGGGTTGTTAAAACTGTTTCAAGCATGCAAGTTCAGAGCCACGAGTGCACCAGGTGGTAGGATTTAGGAACAACAGACTTTATGGAATTTAGAGAATAACTGAACAGCAAAATCCTGCAGAGACTGCAGAGATTGTACTGGTAGTAAAAAACCTAGCACCAGTTCTGCAGACTAGATGTATGTTCTATCCTAGACAATATTCTATAGATTGGATGACTAATTTGAATGAATACTGAGTTAAATTATCTAAACTAACTACAGTATAAAGCTATTATTAAAATATATTTTTGTTTGGATATAAATAAGATCCTATAACTCAGAAAATAACCTCAGTTTGAGTTTTACTAGAAGAAAAATGTTTTATATTTAAAACCCTAATGGCTACTGTCAAACTCTTTAAAAATAATAGTCTATTGCTTCAAATCCCTTTGCAAAGTGATGTCTAAAACTGACATAGTTTGGACAATGAAACTGAAATGTCTGCATTTGGAATTCATTACGATATTTATAATTAATAATATAAGGTTTGGATTTGGTTACAAGGATAGTTATTCAATTACAATACCAATTAAAGTTATACAAGGATTTGACCCAAATGTCTCCAAATTTGGTGATTTCCAGCCAAATTTGATACTTCAATTATACTGGTTAACAAGGAATTTAACTTTCAATTAAAAATATTGTAATGAAGAACAATTAACTTAGTATGTAAATGTAGCACACTCTTAATGTGGGAAACAAATAATGTAAGAAAACATGATTTTACTCCTCTGGTTAAAGGCAATTTACAGCAATGTCTTATTCTAATTTTAGCTACTTTACTAACGTTAAAATCTGAATTATCATAATAATGATATAAATAAACTTACTGAGCATTCCGTTACAATTTCTTCTTCTTCTTCTTCATCCTCTTCTACAGAAGCTAAAAATGGGATAAAACAAATGTATCAAAATTTTCACTCATAACATACGACAAGAACAGAGAGAAAAACTATGCACAATTAGGAGGTAGTGAAAATCTAAATTTATTAACAGTGTTTGTATAACGTCTCAAATAAGACTAAAAAAAGATGGGAAGAACAAAACAATGCTAAATTTCTTATTAGAAAATACAAGCATGTCTAGGAGGGGACAAAAAGAAAAACTTGCAGTTTTCATTGCTATTACTAGTAGTCAATGGGAAAAAAATAATTAATTTATTCAGACTTATCTATCAAAAAGATTTACTTTCTTTAGAAGTTTATGGATCTACTGCATAAAGAAAGCTTCTGTGCTGAACGCATATATAATTTACATTACAACATCATGTACGATACATCAACTATTCCACTAAAAATGTGTTTATAACATTAAAAGAATAGTTTTAAAAAATAAAAATATATATATCCATAATCTGATTTAAAAAACATCTAAATATCATAATATATAATGATATAAAAAATCATCTTGGCCTTACGTCACTACAAGGGCTGGATGTGGTGGCCAATGTTGCCTGCTATGAAGGGACAGACAGTTACAACCATGCCTTCTCCGGGATTCGAACTCAGGCTCACCACTATGGCAGTTAGGGTCACTAACCACTATACTGGCTGGGCAGCTGATATTTTATCCTTAGTATCAGTATCCTTAAAAAAACCTCCTCCAACCATCTTTCTTCCAGGATTCCAAATAATTTGGGAAAGCAGGAATAATTGCAAGCTTGAGTTTTACATTCCCAGAGTTGCAACTTACTAGTATAAGCTGTGATGGCATCCCGATGATAAATTATGTTCGAATCTCCACCTTGTAATTTCAAGTTCAATGAGTTCAATGAATCGAAAATACCTGATAGATAAGCCAACACAGTTTGAACACTTGGTTTTCGGAATTCCATACACAATTCAGTTTGATTTTGAATTTCGAAAAACTGAATCACTTTATCCCAAAGTTCAAATAATCTTGCTGACATATTTCCTTTTGAGAACCAGCATACTTCCACATGAAATAACGGTATTTTCCTAAATCTTCAAAAAGGGCCATAAAATGTTGAGTATTCAAAGCACTCCTTTTAACATAATTGATGATTGACAGTTTTGATGCATAATTTTCAGTTATCGTTGAGTTCATTTGGAAATGTCTTAGCTCCTAAAAGCTTGACGAGTGTATAACACAATAGCTGTAACATTGAGGCTTTTTTCTCTGACCATATGTACGAATGCTGAGCGAGATTCAAGCATTAAACGATTGCCATCTCTGCGTATCTATCAGTTTCTGCCATGAGAACTCATATTTGCAAAAGAATTCAGAAATTGTTGTCATTATATAAACTGCTTTTGAAGTAATCGTTAACTATGCAGAAAACAGCATCTCATCTTTAATTGTTTAATTTTATATGAACTGAATGAAAACTAACGGTTGACAACATTTTGCAGTATCTCTACTCTCGTCTAACTTTGCAAAAAAGTTTTTTTTTTTTTTTTTCTCTTTCATGGCCTGCACTAACTGATTTTTTATTTCTTCTGTCGTATCATCAATGTGACATTTCACAGAGTTGTCAGAAATTTATATTTGTGAAAGCTTTTGTTTACCTTTTAGTCTAAGAACAATAGCATCTGCTTTCAAGAGGCAAGGTCTGATGTCAGTTTTTATGAAAACATGGTTTTTCTTGGCCTTCGCAATAAGTAGGGATAACTCATATGAAGCTTCCAAGTGCTTTTTCAGATGACTGCACAATGGATGCAGTATAAACCAATTTCAGACATATCAAATTTCCACATTTTGCAAGCCAAAACTCCTTCAGCTTGTCTTTTAAACTGCTATGTTTTGTCAGCAAATGTCGCTCCAGACTAGATGTCTCATAGCATCATTGCTCAATACTTCATAACAAATACCATATTGCGTCTAATCGACACCATTTTTTTGTATAGCAACAAAACCTTATTTAGTACAATCATCATTCCATTAGCACTTTTTCCCCAAACTCATAAAGGAAGGAGAAAAAATAACAAGTCAACAGTTTATTTTCACATTAAAAGCACACATAACTTGTATATCCACAATTCACCTCTTAACAAATGTGACCTTTGTTACTAGCTCAGCTACTATTTCTTGAATGCGCAAAAGTGCATTAAGGGTAGATCGGCTTTGACAGCTATTCACTGGTTTGCATGCACAACAAAAAAGGATGTATTAAGGCTGGATGGATAGTCCTTGTGAAGTAAATTCGAAGTATAATATTTCATTCTGCGGTCTGATGCAGCCACTCCTGCTTTGGTAAAGCTCTCATTCTTAAGATACATGTTCTTTGGCCCAACTAAGACATGAGTGCAGCATAGCAGGGTTATGTAGTAGGCACAAACCGTGAAGTTCTGCTCACTTCTTTAGATGTCTCTAAAAACCAATGAATTAAGGTAATGCATGCAGGTGCTATCCATTTACAAAAAGAAATGCCTTCGTGAAGAATTTTGTAAGCATTACTTTAACAATTGTGGGGGAGTGAACATGCAGCTATCTCATTCACAGGGATTTAACATTTTAAGCAGCTAGTGTGCTCATCTATTCAGCCATTAGCATGTCTTCCTAAAACTTGTATTACATATATTATGAGTTATTCAGCTTTCAGAGTCTGATACCAATTTATTAATAAGTGTAAGAATATGGTAATGGGCAGACTCTGCACGTTGTATAATATTACAAACTGCAGAGCCAATCTACCTAATGCCACAAAACAGTCATACAATAATACAAACTGCATAGAGAGTCTATCTAATGCCAAGAAATTATATAACTATGATGCCATTGGGCATTATATATAAATATTAAAGATTCACTGAAAACAGGAATATAATAAATATAAAAAAATTCACTTAATGTTATTACCAATGCGGATATGTAATTGTTTGAACATTACATTCATCTTTCCATAAATAAACTGCTAACTTACAAACAAGGTATAATTTTATAGGAAGAAAACTAAACATTTTATTAAAAAGAAATTTTTTTTGTATGATTCCCAATGTTCATGCATCACTAAAGCTTCATCTGAGCATATTAAATATTCTTTTCTTTCAGAATCTTCAAATTTAATTGAAACAACAGACAACTGTTCAATGCATTCTCTTCCTGCTTTGTGATTATCACAGGCATTACTCCAGTTATTTAATTTTTTATTAAAAATTAGAAAATGGAAATCTTGATAGAATGGTGTGTGTCTTTCCACAAAATGCTAATTGTTTCATTAATACACCACAAATTTAGTAATACTGGCTTGCACTGTAGAGACATTAGGTAATTTTCGGAAGCAGAAAAGATGAAAAATTAGCAACACCTTTGCCGGGAATCGAACCACGGACCTATGAAATATCGGCTCAGTGTGCTGACCACTACACCACAAAGGCACGCTAAGAAGGCGGGGAGAAATACCTTACATACTCCCCTTTTTAAGGGCGACTGGGGTTTTTAGGGGAACCAATCGCCAAATCCTGGGTAAGGAGAAATCATCATCCACCACCCTTTTAGTTCGGGCACTACCGTAGAGACATTAGGTAAATTGGAAGCAGGCAAGATGAAAAATATGCAATGCCTTCGCCGGGAATCGAACCGCAGATCTCTCAATTACGCGCTGAGCATACAGACTACTACACCACGAAAGCTCGCTAACAAGGCGGGAGAAATACCTTACAGTACCTGAAGCTTTGCAGATGACACCAGCATAGTGGCACTGGTATCTGTTAGATGTCATACTCAAAATACCAACGTTATGATGCAAGAACTACCAGTTTGGCACAATGCTGACATAGTGCTGTCCTATGCTGGGCAATATGTTATTATTGACAACAGCAGATTAGTTCATACATATTAGTTCTTGCACTTTTGAACAATACACAAAGTGTGATTAATTAGTTCATACTGGATGCTTGCATTTTTGAACAATGCCCAAACAGATAATCCGATTGTATAGTTAGCAGAAATACTGTGATCCTTTCTCCCAGTGCATACATAACCCTAGAATTCTGCACCAGAAGCAGCAAGGAGATACAATGAACAAACAACACATTACTTCCCAGTCTATGTAAACATTCATTTCCCAAAAGATTTAATACCATTTAGCAGCTTAGTTGCTGTCTGCATATCCTACCCAAACACTTACATGCAATTTTCTGTGATATATAACTTTTAAAATATAAATAATTAATAATGACATACATTCTGAGAAGGCATATAGTATCAATTGATATGAATCAAATCTTAAAGCTGACACGAATCTTAAAAGTAAAAATTTTATGCATACCTTGTGCTCCCTCTGGAAATCGTTTTCTCCAAGGATGCCTAGCAGTATGGGCAATTCTACACACACTCTAATTGGCCCTATTGGAGGTGGAGGTAGAAGGTCCTCTGCCTGTAACAATAAGAGAAATATGTTTAAAAACTTTAAAAAGTCACTATTCATTTATATCTTACATTTACAATCTGATGTCAAAAGTCATGGGATAGGAGCATTCTGATTTTTGGAAGCTGCTTGAATCAAATATAAAAGCTATTATGAATTACTAGCAGCTTCACTGCCAGCCTTCATCTGGCTTTTAAATGTACCGGAAAAATGGCTGAAGGAAACACCAAACGTTAAATTTAAAAACTGCATAAAATTTTACTCTGCAGAACAACTTCATAAAAAAAAAAAAAAAAAAAAAAAAACGTTATTACATATAACAAAATTAGGATGAAATAAGCAATATCCCTTAATACAAACATTAATTATCCTAATAAATAAATTAACCAACTTCCCTATGCAAAATCTTAAGAATTCAAATGGTATAAAGGAGGTTAAGAACTTGGTTTCCTAAAAAAATCACTCAAAACTTTTCAATATCTTAAAAACAGTGAAATGAGCAATAAATAACATAAAAGAATACAAAAAGCAAAAAATTCTGAAAAGCAAAGTATAATTAATGATATTTCATCTTATATTTTCAAGAGGAAAAAATTACAAATTAAAATTTACTATGTATGCCCCAAGGCAAAAACTAAAAGAAAAACTATGTTGATATTTTCTTTTCATTTCTTATGACACATATATGGCCAAGTGTTTAAAAAAGTAATAACTGAGATGAATTCAATACAAATGTTTAAAAAATCATAAACAACCATTTGAAACATTTGCTAAAAAAAAGCAGATGTTGAGATTTTTTTCTACAATATTATATTCTCTGGGATCAGATAAAGGGGCATAAAGAACAGTCATCATCTTTAAACAATTTTAGATAAGGTTACATCCCTCATAGATTATCAGCTGAACAGAACAGTCCCCCCCCCCAAAAAAAAAAAAAAGCTGCAGAACAGTTTTATGATTTTACAAAGAATTTTTATCCAATTTAAAACTAATATAAGTCAAGATGAATTCGACTGTGTAAAGAGAGAGATTGAACACAGCCGTTGAAGCAAAGTTTTAAGCAATTTATATAATTTTACATATTATTGTGAAACTTTACAGAGAGCATACAAAAGATGTTCCATCCTGTGCAAACATTAAATGCATTTAAGAATGGCTGAAAAACACTAACATCAGCAAAAACGATTTTCTTTTAAATCTAAAACAGCATTCTGCTGTTGTTACTATACCTTCCAACTTCAGTGGCCAAATAAATATACAGTCAAAAGTCGTTAATTCGGACACCCATAATTCGGAATGATCTATAATCCGGACCTCAAAACTAAAAACTTTCTGCGCATGCGCCACGTTGACACATGCGCAGAGGCGTTCACGCGTGCGCGTAAGACCTTTTACGACTGCGCATATGAGTGTGCGCAAGTGCAGAATACGTTTTCGCGTGCGCATTTTATGTATAATGGACGTATAAGCTAAAATTATCTAATTATCTATCTCAGTTAATGTTGATGATTGCGTTGTTCCTTAATTTTCGAATTGCATCCGGCTTATTATTTTTTGCAGACTGTAAGAGCAATTTTTATAAAAGTAAGCTTAAACTTTCGATTATATCAAATAGAATTTCCGATATATATTTGTTAATATGTAAAGGATCTAAAGCGAAAGTATGTTTTGAAATCCGAAAACTGTTTATCAATTTCACGCTGCTCGGCGGCGGGCGCCTAATGAATTGGAAGTTGATTTGTCAGCACTATCCTTATCTTCAGAGCAGATGTTTTTATTTTATTTGGCTTATAATTCCTTACCAAATGTAGTATTTCATCTCGATATGCTCCATCTTTGATATGATTTAAAACAAGTTCCTCGTCATTATAATTTGCTTCCGATAGCGAAGAAAAGTGACAGAGGTTATTGAAAACAAAAAAATTTCGATTGACAAATTAGTCGGTGTTCTTGACACAGCAATTATAGGACTTGAATGGCGGAACTTTGTAACTGAACAAGAAATTATGTCTGTTTAATAGAATTAAAGAGAAAGTATTATCACATGAAACGAAGCAAAACTTAAACAACTTACATTGAAAGAAATGTTTAATAAAGTAAACAAATAAATATTAAGCTTTTTCTTTTTGCAAATTTTGATACCCTTTAGATCATAATTGTTCTTTATTTCATAAATTACGGTTTCATATTTTTAATTTTAGAATTTCTGCATGCCATCTTACGAGATTTAAACTGATGATCTATAATCCGGAAAAATCGATAATCCGGAATCGCCGAAGTCCCGACGAGTCCGGATTAACGACTTTTGACTGTATACAAATTTTATCGCAGACATGAGACTAAAGTTGCATCTGGCATTAGCTTAGGCTTAGTGCACTTTATGGGCAAGAATATGGGTTTATATCATGAAATATAAAGAAGGAGGTGAAACTTCCATTGTAGAGTCATTAGGTAATTTTAAAGCAGAAGACATGAAAAATTAGCAATGCTGTCACCAGGACACGAACCTGGACCTCTCGAATACACGCCGAGTGTGACATTACACCATGAAGGCATGCAGGAAGGAGAGAGAATATACCTTATATAACAATCCAGCACACCCAATATGGAATACCAATTCAGCACACCTAATATGGCTGCAGTATCACAAAAATATTTAAAAACATCATATCTTTAGAATTTCCAAAATACAGTGTCACGTGCTGGAGATAAATATGTTTTTTCTCATATTTTGTTGCCAATGCTCACTTTGAAATCATCGAGTTTGTTAAAAGTTCTACAATACATGTAATAGATAATAAAACAAATTCAAAATTCCAAGATGGGTTTCCAAGTGTCCCTCTCGGTTGGAGGACTATGTTATTCAAAATTTGATGCCTCTAGCTACTGTTACTTTTTCACAATGAGAGAAACTTCCATACATTCATGTAGATGCTTCATTATCCAGTTTTTTTAAATATAATACATGGCAGTAATATTTGGCGAAAAATTACAGTTTGAAAAGTGAACTAACACAGAAAGTGAAACAAACAAAATGCTGTTTTGAAATGAATAGCCCTTTGGATTAAAAATATCAAAATCAAAATTGACATTTAACTTTTATAAATAAGAATAACTCATTATGACAGAAAAGAAAATTTAAAGCACAGAATTCTATAACATTCATTAAAATTTCGCTACAGTTTATATCAAACTGAATTAAGATATAAGTATTCAATAAAATGAGAGAGAGGACGAGCATAATTAAATTTAACATTTATAAATATTAAGCATTATTGTTAGTAATATGATTAGTTTTCTAAGAGGGGATTGAAAAAGATATTCAGATTAATCATTCAATAAAAAGTACAATGATCCTTTAAGGTTTATTTTTTCCTAAAGTTCAGAAATAAAAAGTGTAAAGTGAATTCTCAAGAGAAAATTGATATACATTTAAATATTCCAACATAACTTAATTACATGGGAAAAACTCTTTATCGTGAAAAATATAAAAGGAAAATGAAATTAATTAAAAAATAATTACAATAGCTTTTTTGATTTTGTTATATAAAAAAGTTTCAGAAACTGTGCTTTGTATTTACAGCATTTAATACTTTATTTATTTTCCAAAATCAAAATATTCCGAAGTCACAAAAATGGAAAGAAATCGTAACTTTAAAATAGAGCAGGAAAAAATAAAAAGGTTTTAGTTTAATGTTATTTCTTAAATATAATTTGAATATGTTATCATTATTTTATGCTAATTAACAGTGCTGTTTTGTTTGTAAAAAAAAATGTGAAAATCTCTGGCTAAAGAATTTTGTATACAAACTAAATGTTTATGTTTCAATTCGAGGCCTAACCTCATGCTTGAAACTTGAGTAGCTGCCATTTATATTGAAAACTAGGGAAGAATTCAAAGGTTCACCCATCAAATACATATTTATGACTACATTGCCAAAAAATATTCCTCCAAAATATTAAGTTACACTCAAAATTACCCCTCTTTTCTACCACTAAAGAGGGGTTTTTAGCTCAACAGTAATTTAAATCAGGGGTCCGGTAACAGAGTGGGTATATAAATACTTTTGATGTGGCAGATTGCGACCAAAAAGGGAAATGCACATTTACATGTTATAGCAGTCCCATGTACAAATTTTTAACATTTTGAGGTTCCTCATTTTTGAGTTATACCAGCTACATGCATACATACATACAGATGTCACAAAAAAATATCTTCTGAATCCATTTTGGGAAAAAGATTTCTTTATTCTGTCCGCACATACAGATGTTGTGAAAAAAAGAATCATTCAAATGGATTCGAGAGCGGTCAAAATGTATATTTTCGTTGAAATATGAAATCCAAAATTTTTCACGATTTAAAAAATTCTCATTGTACTTTTTACAAGAATAAAGATTTCATGTCCTATCTTTCCTACTTTCATAGGAGTATTCTAAGTTGGTTCACAGAAATTTTCGGTAGTGATTTTATTTAAATTTTAATTTTTGCTCTATATATGTTGTAATTTATTTTAATTTTGGAGATTTTTTTTTTTCCACACAAAACTTGTTCAAAATATGAAATACTTATGAGTGAAATTTTGCACCTGATCAAAATGCAAACAAAATGTACTAATAAATCGATTGAAAAGTAAAGTACATACTAAACTGAAGAAATCTCCACTATTCTGGGACAAAAATATATTTTTGCAAATGTTTAAAAACAGCTTAAAGAAATTTATGTTAGGTGAAACTGCATGAAAGTCTAAAACACAAGGCTCTTCATAAGATCATAGGGCATAGGCCAATCACAGGAATCTCACGGTCTTGTTTAAAAACTTCTATGTTCTTCATCATAGTTGCATCTTCATGGTGTGATGAATTAACTGGAACATGGCCCTCCGAAGCTTCCTGAATTAGCCAAAACAGCCCACAGGCTGAAAAGTTTGGAGACGCCTGATTTAAATCCTTTTTTGCTGATAAATACCCCCATCTGTTCTCGCACTCGAACATGGATTCGAAGAAATGGAAATTGATTGCTGTACCACCATCGGCTTAAATATTTAGGGAACTAATTTTTTTAGTGCTCAAATTAAGAAACTGCTCTGAAATTATTAGGGAACTCCTTCCCTTCTTTTTTTTTTTTTTTTGGTGTGTGTGTGTTATGTGGCTGTGATTTGTTAGTGCTTTCTTTTATTTCATTTTATTTCTTTTATTTCATTCTTTTTCTTTATAATATTTTTTGGCATTTGTTTTCTTATTTCCTCTTTTTTTCCTGGCATTCTCTCAGGTGCAGCCCATTTCTGGCTATAAAGTGAATTCATATTTGCTAGGCAGACTGCACTGTGCCCGGATTCTAACTAACCATGCTAACAAGGCTGTAAAGTCCATAAATGATCAGCGAGTGGACAACACTGATTGTCCATAGACAATAAAACCACACATCTGTAACTATCTCTCCAAATCTACTATGAAAATGGCTTTTCTTCTCTAACACAGAAAGAGTTAATTGAGTCAGTCACCAAATGTTTTTTCCTTTTGTACCTTAAAAAAGGCTTATGAACCACCTTATAAAAGTTCTTTTCCACTCTTCAGTATTTTAGATGGTGTTCATAGCTAAAGCAGCTCACGTTATTTCCAGAATGCTGAGTAACTATGCTGACTAACTATTTTCAGAATGCTGACTAACTAACTCGGTTATTGGGTTCAACTCTCTTTGGAGAAATCACCGAATGTATTTTTCTTTCTACCTTAAAAAAGGCTTATGGACCACCTTACAAAAGTTCTTTTCCACTTTTTACTATTTTAGATGGTGTTCATAGCTTAAGCAGCTTACATTATTTCCAGAATGCAGTGTAACTATGGTTACCTCGGTCATTAGGTTCAACTTTGCTTGCAGAAAATTTTATATCAGTCTTGAACAATAAAGCTGGCCGTCTATAATTCTGGTGTGAAAATTCTACAGCAATAAGCAGTGCCATCTATTGGCAAAAGGTAAAGTCTGCTTTTCTCAAAATTCACTCTTTAAACTGCACTGTATACAATGTCTTATTCCATAACCATGCACTCCAAATCCTGCTTGAAAAAAACAAACCTAAAAGTGGGGTGAGCAGTGTTGCCATCTTGAAAGGCTCCAGGGAATAAAGTATAGAGGAAAGCATGGACATGATCAGTCTGGATATTTTGAATTTCTGTGTAAAATAACAAGTGGGCAATACTGCAATGAAGATATTGCCCCCATACATAAAGGGCATAACTTTATAATTCAAAGTAGCAAGACATACAGGCATAAATGATTTTCTGGGCATTCTCAAAACATATATGCAAACGCAGTCTGGAATCAAGAACAATAATTCAGCAGTTTGATAGCTAATTTATAGCTAAATAACTTGCATTACATATGATAACTCACTATAACATGCAAAGTTTGTATGTAACAAATTATTAATTAAATGTAATGTAACAAATAATTAATCAAAATGTATATAAAACATTTTATAGAAGAGATAACTGTTTTACTAATTTCATAACTAACTCTAGAATATGATTTAAAAAAAAAAAACATGAATACTTACCACCTTTTTCATCTTTCGTGGACGGGTCTCCTGCCTATTAGAAAATACAGTGAAATAATTTAAGAACATTAAAAAAAAATTCATCTTAGTCATTACAGAATATTACATGAGATAAGCATCTAAACCCCTCAAAAATGCAGATAGGTATTTTACACAAAAATTAAAAAATTTATAAGAAACTGCATATCTTGCAAAAGGGTACTACAGTCAAAAGTCGTTAATTCGGACACCCATAATCCGGAATGATCTATAATTCGGACCTCAAAGCTACAAACATTCTGCTCCTGCATCGCGTTGACGCATGCGCGTAAGACCTTTACTGCTACGCATATTCGTGTGCGTATGCACATAATACGTTTACACATGCGTGTTTAATGTATAACGGACGGTATAAGCAAAAATTATCTAATTATCTATTTCAGTTAATGCTGCAGATGCGTTGTTCCTAATCTTTGAATTGGATCTGGCTTATTATTTTTTGCAGACTGTTAGAGCAATTTATAAAAGTAAGCCTGAACTTGATTATGTCATAGAATTTCCCATGCTGGAGCTCCCAAAGGATCTACAAAGCGAAAGTATGTTTCGATATCCATCAACAAAAAGTGGAATTGCTGCAAAACATGGATAAAGGCATGAAGAAAGTGACAGAGAGGTTAGTGGAAACGAAAAAATTTCGATTGCGAAATTAGTCGGCATTCTCGGCACAGCAACTACTTCACAACTTGAACAGTGAAACTTTCTAACTGAACAAAAAATTATGTCGTCTGACTATAGAACTGATGAGAAAGTATTAGCACAAAAAAGGAAGCAACTTCAATGAATTACATTCAAATTTTTTACATATTAAATGTTTAATTAAGTAAACTTTTTTTTTTGTAAATTTCGATACCCTTTAGATCATAATGTTCTTTATCATAAATTATGGTTTCATATTTTTAATTTTATGATTTCCACATGCCATCTTATTAGATTTAAACTAATGATCTAATATCCAGAAAAATCCCAAATCCAGAATCGCCGAAGTCCCGACGAGTCCAGATTAACGACTTGTATTCCGTTTTGAGGACCGTAAAAAAATTGCAGCGAAAATGTATGTGCAAAAGCACCAGAACTAGCCCATGCACCCATTTAACAACTCGCCAAATCTAGCCTACACACTGATTTCAGATTGCATAAGTTTATATAGTTCTATATTTCTTAAGATGCCATTGAAATACTAGTTTAATTTTTAAATCCATTTTTGATTTTAAATTCTTTTTTGATATCCTATGGATTTAACAATTTGGGAATTGCCCATGACAAAAAGTCTGCAACAGAATTTTGGGTAAAGTACAGAATCATCCACTGCTTGACACACTTATAAGAATTGCACATACTCGGTATATATGTACATATCGACCTATTTTCACTTCAAAAAGAAACCCCAGAAATGCACAAAAATGGCACTGCACACACCCTTGACTTTATCTATGTACACAACGACCTATTTTCACTTAAGTAAAAGAAAATTGACAAAAATCCAATTGTTTTTACCCTTGTAAAAAGTGGCAAACAAATAAGTGGGCGATTCTGCACTTTACCGATAATTTTTTCAAAGAAAAGGCATCATTCATTATAGAAAATTATGTTTGAACAACCAACGGGATGAAAGTATGCTTTAGCGATAACTCTGTAGCGAAATAGCGATGCAGTCATCCTTTCAGTTATGTTTAGCAATTTTTATATAAATTATAATATTGATCTGAAATAGTTATTTACTCTTATGCTTCCATTCAGTCATGTTTAGCCTTTTTCATATAAATTATAATAATCAAAAAGTATTATATGAAATTAACCTTTCATCTAAATTAAAACATCAATCTTAAATAGTTATTTACTATTATATTCCTTTCTTGCGTTAGGGTTGCCGCAATTAGTTTTGGCAACATTGGCATCAACAATAGTTTGTCGATTTTTTACTGCCCTCAAAACCGAATAGTACCTGCAAAAGATATGTAGATACAGTTGAACTTTAACAAAAAAAAAAAAAAAAAAAAAAAAAAAAAGATAATTTAATTGGAAATTTTAAGTTTACAAACTACAATAAAAATTTACATTGTGCCAATGTGAAGTGAAGGAAATCACCTAGGCATTTTGTCATTTTTAGTTTTGTCACAGCCTACCAAGAGAATGCTTTACAGTGTATTGAATAAATAGTCAAAGTGACGCTTGGCTTCCTTTTGAGTAACACATATGTTATAAAAAAATTAAGAATGCATGCCGGGCACAAAGGCTATGAAGTACGAAATCAGATATTCAGCAAGATATCTGAGATCACATGACAGACTTGAATAAATAAGAATGTAGCAAAAAGACAACAACAATTAATGAAGTGTAGCAACAATTTTATAGGCTTTCGATGTGTCTGTCACAAAGCTGCAAGCATCTGAGGCTTCAAGACTATCTGCAGTTAAAATCATACCACATTTATTGCCCTCTTCCCTAGCACTACAGAAAATATAGGTTTTTAACGAAAGTTTCTGCCACTGTAAATATCATCTGTGCAAACATTTCGCGTTAGCGTTTTTAATTATATTTTGTCAAACAACTTTTGGCATTTGAAAGAAAAAGACTTGCTTTTAGAACACTGCGTTGTGAAATTTGTAAAAAAAAAATACCATTATTATTAAATACAAGATGTCTGAAATGGAACCACCATGAAATTAGAATAGAACCATCATTTACTTCCAGTTCTCTTATAAAAAGTCAGCTACAGAATGTCACCAAATCATGTGTACAGCTTTAGGTACTAATGTTGTATCATATGACACAGTGAAAGGTTTGGTACCAAAAGTTCAAAAACAAGGACTATGACATTCAAGAATTATAGAGCACTCTGGCTGGCCTACTGATATTGATGAGGCCTGCCTGCGAGAACTGGTGGAAGAAGATCAGTATGCAACCATTCGAGAGCTTACTAAGGAGTTAGAAGTTAGTCTTAGTTAGTATGGTCTTAGTTAGAGTTAGAAGTCCACTAATCATAATATACATCGTATAAACTTGACATACAAATTCAATCGCTGGTTACCGCATGAGCAGACTCCAGGACATAAGGACAGACGTGTTCGGGCCTGCACTAATTTGCTCAAATATAAATGTAGGGACAAAGTTCTGGACCAGATCTCACTTAAAGTGGATCATCACAAAAGTTGATTTACTTCAACAACACAAGCCAAAAAGGGTGTTGGTCTGCAACCGGTGAGCCTGCCAGCAGTGTCGCAAAGTGCAATTTGACTAACGAAAAGATCATGCCTTGTATCTGGTGGGATTGCTGTAGTATTATATACAAAGACTACCTGGAAAAAGGTAAAATGCTCAACATTAAGGTGTATAGCGAGATGTTAGCTGTGTTGATGCTGCTATCAAAGAAAAACATGGAACTGAGTTCTGGTGCAAAAAGCCGGAACAAGATAATGCAAGGCTACATGTGTCTGCATTCACCAGCCAGATCTTGAAATGTGATTTTGTGTTGAAGTCATTCAAGTCTCTGGCCATTTGGAAAAATATAAGATATTTATCTTTCAAATTTAATCTGTGTGCTATTGATAAATAAACTAAGCTGATTAAAAGGAATAGATGCAGTTCTTAAAAATATTACTTTTTTACTTTTGAATCTGATTCAGTTAAATAAAAATGCATTTAATTTGTGATACAGCTAATTAAAAACATTAAATATCCTTAAAGAATTACATTACACACTTTTTCACTTTCAAATATATGTAAAATACTCAACATTTCCATGTTAGTGTAAATGTATATTCATCTAGTATGCTATTCTACATGGGTCATCGCTATTGATAACCTATGCTGATAAACCACACTGAAATTCAAGAGTCCTTTTAACCCGCGAGCACACGCGGCGGGTATGTCATACCCATGTGCATTTTTCGTGTTGTATATTTCTCACCCATTCTTTCATAAAAGGACAAAACTTGGTGTAGCTGAGTTCAAGGTCACATACTTTAATGGGGGAAATTCCTGAGGTGGCAATGCAACGGTTTTTTAGGACCAGCATTGTCAGGCATTCATACCCGCGCGTGTACTGGCATTTCTCAGTGAGTCACTTTACATTCTCGTTTTCAAGCTTTTAGTCTAAGTTTTTCTTGAGCGTAAGGATGGTGCCGTATATTCCTTACGATGAAAGAGATGAAAAGATTGAAAAATCTCCTTGAAACAGTTTCTTCCGATGAGGATTCATTAGTGAAGAAGAGGAAGAGTTGATGACGAAGAATTAATTAGTAATCATGATTCATCCATTATAGAGTAGTGATTCAGATACAGAAACAGAAATGAAATTCTGGAATGTAGCAATGAGTTTTATGTTGGAAAAAATTGAGTTAAAATGGAACAAAAAAATAATTCCGGAATATGTTAGAATTGGTGCCAAAAGTATTATACATAAACTCCTGGAATACAAAGTATTCTAAAGTCTTCTCAACACCTTCACGTTTTCGATTCCTTGTTATTGCTTATCGATGAAGATATGTCTAAAACATGTAGTTGACAATACAAATATTTATGTTGATCAATACGAGAAAAAATTTCACTCGTGAACGGGGATGATACTTTTCTCAAAGCCTAAGGGATGCAACTAATAGAAAATGTTCAAAATGAATGCCGACGAGCATCTGTGGTTCCTGATTGAGGACAAACGCTGACCACCAATGAACATGTAACAACGGACCACCCCACAAAAAAACCTAAAATGACTTACAAGAGGTTTACAGAGTGCCTGAAGAAAAAAGATAGAGGGATTAGATTCATTTGTGAAAATTGTAGCAGAAGTATATATATGGAACATATGACCTCATTTTGTAAACAATGTTCAAAAAATTTTAAGTAAATAATTTTTCCTCTCCTTATTGTTTCCTGTTTTGTCTAAAATGAAGTATTAACTTGGTTTTATATTTTAATTTCTTTTAAAAAAACGATTATTTTTTTCGGAACATTTTTATTTACAATTTTTTTATTCGGGTATGACATATCCGGCGCGTGTTTTCGTGTTCGTCGGATCGGTGCGTGTGCTTGCGGGTTAAACAAAACCTTAAATTTTTTTTTTTAAATCTCTGTTTATATGCATAAGATATCCATAAAAATAGACATATCATAAAATTTTATAAACCAAAACAACAAAACACTCATAAATCCTACAAGCATCAAGGAGTACTTTCACATATCTAGACTGAACTTTCCTGCCAATTATGTTTTTCTGAAGGTGGGCAAAACTGTGCCAAAGCAAGAATGCTGAAATAAAGCTACAAAACAGAAATTTCTGTTTCATTTCTTATTTTAATTTCATTTATACATAAAAGACAGTTCTTTGAAGTTCTTACAACAAAAACAGATTGCAATGCCAAATTTGTGAACTTTTTGTTTAATGAAAATAAATTAACACACATAGAGAATAACAGTGTAAATAATGCCAAGTACCGTGCAATTTCGAGTTTCTTCAACATTAAACAGATCACTGTGTACTTGAAGAGAATAGAGCCAGGGGAAAAAAAAAAAAAAATAAGTGTTTTCATTATGGATGTTTTTTGCACTTTTAATTTTGTTAATTGGTTACCGGTTTATGTAATTATTACAGTACCAAGATTTGGGAAAATGGCTATCATCCAGTGCAGAATTTATGTATAAGCTACACAAACTGTAGCTTAGCACACCTACTTTCTTGGGGGTTCCCCAAAAATCATATTTTGAACTGACATATAATATCTGGACTTATAAAGGGCCCATGTCTCAAATAGCTTAGAGCCTTATCAAGTCCAAACCCGGCCCTGCTATCATCTGTCACTTTGATTAAAAATTAGTCATCAATGGTTGGCTCTAATGAACACTCTCTTAATTTTATGTATTTTCATAATTATTTTTTGCTTGAACAATTTTACTACAGTAAAATTTCAAACACAAGCTGATTTGTGTATAAGACAAGAGTATGTTTTTTTTTCCAAAAATTTATCCAAAATTCAAAACCCATATACAAGTCGAAACAGGGAAGGGAATCCTGCAACACTCAGACATGTCTCTGTGAGGACAAAAATGTTGCCAAGAAGGTAAAAATTTTGGATTATTTTCCAATCAAATCACTATAAAGTAAACAGCAGACACCAAAGATGATAGTTTTAACTCTAGTAACCATTTCTGAAGCTAGCATAATTTTTCCGTTCTTATGTTGTATGTGTATGACCTATGGTATCTATGCTAGTCGTTTTCTATGCCATTTTATTTTTGCCCGAAGCATAAGCAATAAGAAAAATTCTTAAAAAGCAAATTTCAAACTACAAGTGATTATGTTTGATGAAAGTTTTAACAACAGTATAGCTGCTCAGCATTTCTCCGTAAATGCAAGATGAAAATTTCTCCATAAATGAAAAAGAAAGGAGAAAAGTGTGCAAATTTAACAAATACCAGATTTTTTGTTTTTGTTTTTTTGTTAATGCACTGAATTGACATTATAAACTGGTAATCAAAATTAAAGGATAATGAGAGAAATAAAATGCAACTGATACTTAAAAATTATTAACAGAAATTTGTATAAAAGCATTCATTAACATAAATTAAAATGTTTGGCAGTTGATTATTCGAAGAATATTCAAATCAAAACCAAATTTATGGAAAGTGGAAAATGATGGAAAAAATTAAGTCACCTGTTGTGGAAAAAAGAAATTAATATGGCGTATGGCCACCGCAAACCTTTTATGTTATTTCCTTGTTTGATATAAAATGTTAATTAGTTTATTAAATTAGTTTAATAAATTTAATTTAATTAAATTATATTTAATTAGTTTATTAAGATTATATATATTTTTTGTTGGCTGCTCCTTTGACTTTTTAAGTGAATATAGTTTGATGTGTACATGGTCAAAGGGAGTGCGCAATGCCTAGTTTGTACAATTCTCTGATGTTTTTTTGAGTGAAAATAGGGTCATGTGTACATGGATAAATTCAAGGAAATGCGGAATGGCAAGTTTGTGCAATTCTGCGATGATTTTTTTTTAAGTGAAAATAGGTCGATGTGTATACGGATAATGAGTTTGTGCAATTCTTTTTCTTGTTATTTGGCTTTGTAAATCTCCGTTACATAAGGCAAAATAACAAGAATTGCACAAACTCGGTATCCATGTATCACCAATTTTCACCAAGGGGTACCTGTAAATATACTTTTACTGCTGCTGGTTTTTGACATAATGACAAATAAAAATTAAAACTGTGCAGAAACTGTTTAAGGTCAACTCCAGATATTATCAGGAACAAATTTTATACCCAGTTTTCAAATATGAAATACCTTCTGTTCACACACAGGGCCATCATTCAATCGAGCTGCATCAAGACAAAGAAAGCAAGTAGCCACATCCACTGCAAGCAACCAAAATCCACTGTTAATTTCCTGGAAAAAATGGAACAAGAAATGGGTATTAAGGTTTACTCCCATCTTTACTAAATCATCTGATAATTAATTCATGGATATTTGCACTTTTAGACTTTTAAAAAGTGAATTGTCCAAACGTCGACCTACAACAATCCTTAGACTATGGAATGCTATTCAAGAGGAATGGTAGAAAATATTTCTTCCGATATTGCAAAAGGCTTTTTTAATGTCTTGTAAATTACACAGTGAAAAGATGGTGAAAAATATGGGTTATCAAATGGATTATTTAAAACAAAAAATTTAGGTAAAATATTTATATAAATACAATGAAAATCATCTAAAAAATGTTCAAACAGTCTCTGTAAATATTATTTTTGTTCAGTCGCACTTGTTTTAATAGAACCTTTATTTCCTTCTCCATTTTTCCATCATAGTATTCAGAAATACGCTGAAAATCTTTCTCGCGGAAATGTAATTCACAAACCTAAATCCCTCAAATGTAAACCTAGACCTAATTACTAATTTTAGAGTAATAAAAGTAGGATTTCTCATAATTTAATTGATTTCTGAACAAAACAAGTAATAGCAAGCATATGTATGATTATCTCCCACACAGGAGGGGGACAGGAAAGGGTTCTTAGTGACATAAGATTTAGTAATATTTAAATTTTCATGCATTAGGAATTTAATTTCTTTTTTTATGCAAAACTATATTATGCTATACTAACCTATTATAAACTATATTATGCATATACTTATGCATTTTATATTACAATTTAAAAAAACAACTGTGAGCATCTTTATTGCCATTGCAGTTTCTTTATGAAAAACTTCTGGTACAAAGATATATAAAAAATTAAGTAGTTCCATTTTCTGCTGTATATGTATGAACTTAAAAGTTTAACAAGTTATAAAATTAATCAAAAAGTAAAACATTGGAGATTTAAAAAAATAATTCAATATTTAACAATCGTACAACTCGATATATAATATATTAACTCATGCATGATTACTTTACAAAATATTATACATAATGTATATTACAGAAATGAAATTCTGTGATATAACCATATCCATTCTTTTAAATACAGAAGCAAATACCTTAATAAATTTAATTAAAATTAAACTTAATTAATTAATTAACAAATTAAGCTTAACTTACCATAGAATCTTTCGAAGTGGTAAGATTTTCTCGCAGTATTGATTTCAACCATCCATTCAACAAGTCTTGTTTTGGAAATCTGTTGTACACACTTTATGGTCATCATTAAAATTTCTTCCGCATAATGGCACACAACACTTTAAAAGCATAATGAAAACTGGAAAAAAAAATCAATATTAAATTAGGCAGACATTCAACGTACTAAAACAATGCTATGGTCCACTAACGCTTCCTCTCACGACAAAAGACAAAATTCCCATAACTCGCTAATACTTCCTTCGGGGCTTAAATTGTGCCGGAGCCCGGGTCAGGTACTTCTTAGTTTTTGGAATAAATCCTAATTCTAACTAGAGCACACCAAAGCCCTAAATAAGAAGGCTCTGGCACTTTGTTTATATAATTGAACAAACTTTTAGTTAGATATTTGACCTAAAATATCTGAATTTCATATATTTTCAGTAATGAAATTATATAAAAAAATCGTTTGTTAAATTTTAATTTATCTTTTTACATTTTGCTAAATTTTAATTATTTAATTTCTTTAATCATTGATTATTTAATTATTTTAATAATTCATTCTTTAATTTTCAATTACTTTAATCATTGATTGTTTAACTGTTTTAATAATTAATTATTAATAATTTGATTGGTTAGTTTATTATTTATTTATTCTTGTTCTCCTTTCCTTAAGGTCTTCCACAGGGCTCCGGCACTTCTAATTTTAGAAACTAAGCCCTGACTTCCCTTATTAGCCTGGGATAAGGCTTAGGTCCAGGGCCCCATGCCTTGTGCCCTTCGGCCACCTAAGAAGGTCTGCCCACGGCATTAGACATACAGATAACTGGTTAGAAAGCCTATAGGCGAAGGCTTCTACTTTCATATATCACTTGTTCAATCACCCTAATGAAATAAAAGTCAAATTACATTGTAAAGTGCAGGAAATTGTGGTAAGCAATGGTAAGATCTGGTAAGGAGGTGCTGCCATCTATTGTAAGTTCTCGAGGTAGAAGTTCTCGTAAATGAAAAGTTCACAATTGTTCATGATCTTAAAGATTAGTGCACTTTTAGAGAAGATATCACACACAACTAAATAAAAACAAAGTTAAAAGAAGTCTTGGTTAAATAAAATTCTAGCTACATGAGATAAGCAGCGTACATAAATTATTTACAGCAAAATTGGGAAAAAACGTAATACATAGCATTAAAAAATGCTTTTTATTGACATAGTCGAGGGATTACCTTTTGTTTCAATCTCGTAATTTTCGAACTGTTAATTAACAATGATACGGGAAGCGTAAGGCAACAAAGTCTACGACTGCACTTTACCGCTCAGCTATGTTTGCTTATCTACATACAGTAGCTCCCAAAATTTGTTCGTACACTTAAGATTTTCATTGAAATAACACTCTATCCATTAATTAAAGTAAACTTTCTGAATGAAATTTTAATAAGATCGTAACAAAATTACATGAAATATTTTTAAAATATAGTGAAACTTTATTTAAAAAAAATTAATAATAGAAAAATGACACATTTTTCTCACTATACTGAATATTTTTGGTAAATCAAAATTAAATTACCATTTACCCCTTTTTTATTTTGCATTGTGGTGGCATTTAAAAACTGTTTTCTTTAGTTTTTTATTGTTTACTTCAAAATATCGGTTAATCTTCGGATTATGGAAATGGCGATTTTTTGGCGACCACCCTGCTCAGCCCCTGTAGTTTTTTTTTGGACGCCATTTTGTTTTCACGAAGTTTCCAACAATCTGCTAGCTGAATTACGCTTATGGTACAAAAGTGCTTAATCATGACGAAGATTAGGTGCGAAATTGGGAGAAAGTGTAGAATCGCACACTGCTTGCCGCGTTTTCAAGAATTGCACATACACGGTATCCATGTACGTTGACCTATTTAACTTAAAAAAAATCACAGAATTGCACAAAAATGACATTACGCACACTCTTGACTTTACACTGCTAAAGTCCTAGCTAGTAACCTATTGAAACATGGGTTGCAGTCGTAAAGAAATTACAAACAGCATTCAAAAATTGAGAATTTTTCACCATAGTAGTGGTAAATCAAATCAAAATATCGCTATATTAGTTAATTTATCCCATTCTACAGTGCAGTATGGGAAAAAAATGCTTTAAAAAAGAAAACCAGATTGAAAACAAGGTAAGAAAATGTCGACCGAGAAAATTAACTAAACATGACGAGAGATTTATTATTAGAAAATTTGTGAAAAACCCACATTGGAGTGGTGTAAAAGTTTCTGCAGAATTTAATGCATACTTATTGAAGTTTTCTACTTCAATTTCACCTGAAACTGTTCGGCGATTTCTCAGAGAAGCAGGATTGCATGGATGTTCTGCCCGTAAAACCAAATTTAACATTTTTGGTTCCGATGATCGAATAACTGTATGGAGAAGAAAAAATGAGGAACTTTATTCTAAGAACTTAGTTGGAACAGTTAAGCAAAGTGGTGGAGGTGTACTTGTGTGGGGGGAGGGCATAACAGCATCAGGACTAGGTAATTTGGTATTAATTGATGCATAATGAATCATTCTCTTTATTTAAATATTTTAAGAGACAATTTAAAATTATCAGCCCAAAATTTGGGTATTTGAAACAACTTTATTTTTATTCATGATAACGATTCTAAGTTCTCTCAACGTTCGCCTGTAGTGTCTCTACAATTGTCCACAGGTTTTGAAAACACCAACTCAGTCGCCAGATTTAAACCTCATAGAACACATTTGGAAAGAGCTAGAGGTTAAAGTACAAAAACACGACATCAAAACGAAAAGCGAACTCAAAACAGCCATGATGGAAGAATGGATGAACATTGATACAGAAATTACAAAAAAAATTAAAATATATTCCCAGACATTTAAAAGCTGTTGTGGATGCTAAAGGATATCCTAATAAATATTATTTAAACGAAAATGAAAATATTTACTAATATGTCAAGATTTTTTTGAAGTGTACGAAGACTTTTGCGAGATAAAATGTTTGTCATTTTTTGATTATTATTCCTTAAAATAAGTTTCGCTATATTTTAAAAATATTACATGTAATTTTGTTACGAATAAATTATAGATCTTATTATTAAAATCTCATTCAGATAGTTTACTTTTAATTAAGGATAGAGCCCTATTTCAATGAAAATCATGTGTACGGAAACTTTTGGGAGCTACTGTATGGCTTATTTATTGTCTCTATCGACGAACATTTTGACTGCAGCTAGCGCAATTTGAAGCTTGTTTTCGTTGGTTTTGTTATACAATTAACAGAGGCTAATTTAATTTTTGGACTTTATTAACAAAAAAGGTAAAGAGAACTTACGTACATCTTATTGTTTACATAAAACTTTTTGAAATAATAATGGTGATGCCAAATGCATAAAACGTAATTTTACAATTTGTTATACAACAAAACAATGATGCCACTAAAACTGCACATAATATTAATTAAATGATCAATTCTGAACAGCCTCCTTCGACATGAAAATAGTCATTGTTCATATAGATTAACTTTTACTTATTGACTATTTTTACAACAATCAACGTCTTCTGAAAATGAAACTGAGATGCTGGAAGCGCCTTCGTCAGAATGTCTGCTTGTTGTTCATTACTTCTGACATAGCCTGATTGCATATGTCCCTCCGATAACTCATCTTGCACAAACTTGTACCTTTGGTCAATGAGCGTGCGTGGAATATTAGATTTTTGATGTGCTTGATAGTGCTCTGGTTATCAATTTGTAGGATAGGCAATGAGACATTATTAGCTATCCAGGGGTGCCGCGTGGGGGTGGCAAAATTGTTCACCGCACAAGGGCACCTGGGCCAGTGGGGCGCAAAAATTGATTCTTATCACAAGAAATAAAACACAATTCTGGATTTTTCCTCTTAATATGCGACAATATCACAAGATCATCAATCGCAGTAGTTACATTTTAAACCACTAAAGCATCAAATGAAACGCAATCGAAAGCTCAAAGCTAATCCGATCTCACTTCAAATTCGCTACAGTCAACAAAACAGTTATGTAAACAACTGAACTGAGATATTTCTCTCCGGCGTTTTAAAACTTTTTAATCGTGCACCAAAAGATATTTCTGTAAAGCAAAAGATTAGAATTACGGTCACAGCTAAGACAGTAGTCAATTACATTTATTCAGTTTAAATATACTCGTAAATTACCAGATATCTATCATTAAATGCGCGTGCTCCAGTGTTTTGACTTTTTCGGCGTAGTTTCTCTTAAAACTCGTCACGCGCTGCATTACACGGGAAAATAAAACGATTTTAATTTCAAGTCTAGTAAAAATTGCTAACTAAATACAAAATCGGAATAAGATATTCGTTTTTCTCTCCAGATCTAGGTGTCATATATTATTGTGTTGTCTTATTCATCTGTATTATAGCTCTTATGTATTGCTGAGGTATTTCCTTACTTCTGCAAGCCTCATGACCTATCTGGTGAAACAAGTGAGGTTTTGCATTTCTTTTCTTAAATAACAATACCAACAATAAACTAGTAATGGCTATAAAAGTAAAAGTTTGTGGCAGGAGGAGTGCGTCCAGAAAGCAATAAACTTCGAGCTCAGCGGCAACAAAAACCTTAGCTACCTTTCTAATGCAAATTACAATCTAAATCCTTTCAACTTTTTGTTTTCCTTTTTTTTAAAGAACGTTCTTGTTTTGAGTGCTGTGTTATTTTACATAGCCAAATTAACTTGTCTACAAATTAAATTACTTCAAAACATAGATAAAATATTAACTCTCAGGTTTTATTTATTATAACACATTTTAATCTCCTTACCTGCAATTTTAATTGCAGTCGCGATAACCGTCAAATGACTAAACTACGAGTGTATTTCGGTAAATTTCCAATCGCTGTAGCTGATTTAATTGCTTGTACGAATCATACGTAAGCATGATTTAATTGGCAATAATAAATGAAGGCGTTATCTTTCTTGTTGTAAAGTTTAGTCTCTCTAAATTGGCAACAAATCTACTATTCTGCTGTTTCAAATGTAAACAAACATGTTCGCCATGCTATTTAAAGATTAGGCTTAACCGCACTTAAACAGCTTTTAAATTGTTGATAATTCTACAAATATTGCTTGCAGATTTCCTTAAGGAATAAGAAACTTAACCGAAAGTAACAAAAACATATTCAATCATTTTTAAAGCAAAAATGCACAATTACACAATAAGAGTAAGGAAACTGAGATCACTGAGCCGGTAACAGAGTGGATATATATATAAATATGTTTGTATACGTTTGGTACGGCCGATTGCAATAAAAATACGAAACCAACCATCTACATGTTATAGCAGCCCTATATACAAAATTTCAACGTTATAAGGCTACTCGTTTTCGAGTTATGCGAGATACATACATTAGTACATTCAGAATTCATTTTAAAACCGTTTTATAATTTTTTAGAGGAAAAGAGTCTTTTATTCTGTCCTTTCGTACAGATGTCACGCAAAAACATCGTTAAATTGCGTTCGATAGCGGTCAAAATGGATATTTTCGTTGAAATATGCTGCCTGAAACTTTTCGCGATTACAATATTTCCTTTTTTACTTCGTACAAGGAAGTAAAAAGGAGGAATAGGGTATTTGTATGTCTATATTCATATTGTTTCTTCTTGTGATGAAATTGGATACGAAAATCCATTAATTTTTAGTCCAAAGGGATTTGAATCCCGAAGGACTATTAGTTTCTTTTTGGCATTTTGCGTCGGACTCATAAATGTCGGTTCACTTTTCAAAGTGTTGCCACAAAATGTTAGAGTCCTGCATTATATTTGAAGAAATTAAATAAGAAAAATCTGCATAATGATTGTCTATTTCTCGCATTGTGATAAAACAACGGTACATAGAGTCATCGAATTTTGAATAACGTAATCCCTCCAACGAATATGAGCATGTGGAAGACCAAATTTGAAAATTTGAAATTTGTTTTATGATCGATTTCCTATTTTTAAAACTTGACGAATTTTTGATTAACAAACTCAGATTCAAAGCGAGCAATGGCAACGTTGTGCAGAAAAAGCATTTTTATCTCCAGCGCGTGAGTCTCTGTATCGGAATTCTAAAGATATGCTCGTTTAAAACTATTTTTGCGATATTGCTGTTGCACTGGATCTTATGGTTTAAGTGCGAGGAACAGATATTTAAGAAAGGTAAAAACCACCAAAATTTAAAAAACCCCCTTTAGACGTAATTTAAAATCTGAAACATTTCAGATTTTTTTTTTTTTTTTTTTTTCCAGTGAGAAAACTCATTTCTGTACGATCTTAAGATGATTTGTCAGTGCTTTATTTGTTAGTACGATATATTGTGCCATGATGCTTTAAACTGCGAAGATTTTTCTCCGCTTTTTATTTCTACCACAGTGTTTTGAAACTACGATGCTTTTTTCTTTGCTTTCTTTTGTCTCAAGACGACGTCTCAAGTCTTCCACCCTGTGTTACTTTCTCTGCGACGTCTTCGTCCGCGATGGTATAAAGACAGCAGATCTTGAAAACTAGCTTAAATGTTATTTCATATACGTATGAATTGGGAGTACCTACGTGATGGCACACTCGGCCCGATTTCAAGAGGTCCAGGTTCGAGTACCGGCGATAGCTTTGCACTTTTTTCCCGTTTTCTAAATTAAAAAACTCTAATGATCTACAGTGACGCTCGAACTAATAGGTGGTGGACGCTAATTTATCACACCAGAAATTGGCGATTGGGTAACCTAATCATCTAATCTCCCTTTAAAAGGGGGAGTACCAGAATTGGACGTAGCCAAACAAGTTGATCTTATGGTCATAACAGGCCAGGCCCAATTGAACAAAGGAAAATAAGTAAAACATAAAATAACTAAAGGAAAATAATCATGTATTAATAATAATTAAAAACATACAAGTGAAGGAAAAGACAAATACAAACATTTAAACAAGCGCAACACCAAAGACAAAAAACGCGAACAACAAACACAGTGATTACAAAAAAATTGGTTCAAATAAACACACCAAATAGTCATGGCCATAAAAAGTAAAAAGAAAAAAAGAATTCACTGAGTCCCTCTGCCCGGTACTCACCGTTAATAATTTTCATAACAGATTTACATAATTGTGCGAAATCTTTACTATCTTTATCAAACCACGGATTCTGAAATTCTAAAAGCTTCTCATAACTTTTTTATGAAATGTGACAGTCATCCTAAGAATATCATCAAAAAATTAGGAAATTATGATTTCACAATTGAACAACGCCACAAGAGACCCCGCACTATTCACCATAACAGTCGGTGGTAATGTATATATTTTCGTTTTCTTCTTATTTAGCGAAGATTTTACTTCATTTTCTTTACTTATAGATTTATTTATCAAATTACAATGCGCTATGGACTTTGTTCCTGCCAAAGCAGGTAGACTTTGTATGTAAATAGTTTTTACGCTTGTGAAACGTTTCAATGTACAGCAAATTGTGTTTTTCATCATTTCACTTTCCAATTATTGCTTATCAGAAGAATAATTTTTATGAAATTTTAAAAATGCCTTACAATACATCGTGCAAGAGATGGCGCAACCAGAGCTCCAGTCAACTAAAATGCTTTTCATCCTTATTAATAGATGGCGCCACACGACGCCTCATTTGTTCAAAGTTCACTTATTCTACGGACGGCGGCACAGGAGCCTCCGTCGCTAACAATCTCTGAGTTCTAGCACAGCATGTGCACAAGTATTGCCTTATTATTAGATACGTACCCGATTCCTCGAGCATTTAAAAGTCAAGTATAATATATTGGTAAAGGCCGTTAATGGTCGAATACCTCTTACTAAGTGATAAGACATAGACATAGACATAGACCATCCTTATCAATCGATTTTCAAAATCAATTTTTGTATTGTTTCTTAAGCTATTAAAGTAGGGATAGATATTGAGGAAGTGCTTAGCATCACCAAATAAACCACATAGTTTACATTTATCGTCGTCTTGTATCTTAAACCTAGTATAGTATCCCGGGAAACGCCCATGTCCGGTCAAAAATTGGTTAACGTCAAAATCATTGAAAATTATATCCTTTTTCTTAGTCAGTTTTAAATGTTTCAAATAACAATTTCTTCTGTGACAGCCACTGCTTAAGGGGGCTCGTACACCTTAAACCCCTTATAATCTTCGAATATGTGTGACTGTTGCGAGAATTGGGATAACTTATTTATTTAAAAACCAATTACTTCCAACTTTTTGCAGCTGACTGCATAATATAGCTGCTTCGGAAACTAGTAACCAGAAAGTTTGTGTTGCCACAAATACTTTTGTAATTTAATTCCGCTTTGTGACAAAATTTTCGTCCATGTTTCTACCCTGCGCGCACGATATATTAAAAATGGCTAATGGTACATACTTTGAAAATTGATGGAATTCTTTATATGGACACTATTTTCTAACTGAACCAAAAAATCTGATGAATTATTTTATTATTAAAAAATTTTATGGACGAAAGCATTACAGATTTTTTTTAATAAAATACATTTTATAAACTCAACTCCAAATAAAATAAAAATTTAACATGAAATTCTTAGAATTTTTGGTTCACGGTGGTTCCCAAATGTTATAAAAGCTATATATTAAATATGGAATTAATTTATGCAACAGAATGTTTTAAAGTATGCGCGCAATGTGGAAACATGACGAAAACGTTTGTCACGAAGCGGATTAAATTGTAAAAATATTTGTGGCAACACAAACTTTCTGATTACTATTTCAGAAAGCAGTTATATTATGTATTCAGCTGTAAAAAGTTGGAAGTAATTGCTTTTAAAATAAATAAGTTATCTCAATTCTTGCAACAGTCACATATTCGAAGATCTTATGGGCTTTAAGGTGTATGAGTCCCCTTAAAATAATAAGAATAAATAACTCTGGTTGCTATTTTTTTAATCTTGAACATAGGGCGTGCCCGTAACATACCCCAGGGCAGCTCCAGTGCCCGTAACATACCCCAGGCGAGCACATCCGCTCTTTCATTACCGAGTACTCAGATATAGGATTTAACCCAGCCAAACTTAATATTAAAAGATTTGCTTTACTTGTTTTAATAAATTGTTTTCAATCTTGCTTAGTACTTTATGGAAATTATCTGGTTGTGATAACTTGCAATTATCAACTGATAGAGATATTAGAAGCAAGGCTATGATAGCGAATTCTATAGTTCGAACGTGCAGCTAGCAACAAATACAGCTCCATGTTAACAGACGATAAAAGAAAACTTTGAAACAGCATAACTATCTATAAATATAGATAAGTGATCTGAGTTATTTTATCTCTGGTCGCTTTCCTTATTTAAAAAGATAAAAAAAAATGTGAGCATTGTTTTATCGAGCGTATATTTCATACCGAAGTATTTTAATTTGAGCCTGATGGATTAAGAAATGCTTTTGGATATTCTGCGTTAAACTCTTAGTAGAATTCTAAAGCAGTCTGTGGAATAACTAAATTTTGGTTTTGAAAATCTGGCAAAGATTGGAAATTTTGAAAGTCTTCTAAATTTTTTCGAAGTATAAAATGTATAAAATAGTAAAATCTTCTTTACTGCGGCCAAATTTTGCTTTGCGATTTTATCCAAAGCCGCGTAGTATTAGCTCTGAAGATGCAAACAAAATTCAAAAGTATAAAGATTTGAATTCAAAAGAGCGAAAGGAAGAAAACGATCCTTCCATAACGAGAAAGTTTGGTCCAACGGATGGAAAATTTCCCAAGTTTACCGAATATGCGATCGTTGGCGGAGGGGTCATGGGTTCGGCCATTGCTTATTCCATGAAACAACGAGCTCCTAACAGTTTTCAGTTGATGGTAGTCGAAAGGGATCCCAAAGTAATTGAATTTTTGTGTTGTTGTAATTACCACTGAGTTTAGCAATATGAAGATCCTCATTTTTAATTTGATTATTGGCTATTTTATTGACCGTTCTGCTTAAATACTTCATGGTGTCCAATGATTATCTTTACGACTTAAAATTTCAATAATTCAAATTCTAAATTAGGTGCCGAAATGCGCTATATTGCACCCAATGCAAAAACTCATGCAGATTTTCTCTGTTGCAGGTGAATCATAAACGAGTGACCAGTAGATGCTACAGGAGAAAGGGAATTACGTGTCTTGATGCACAGGGGGTATACTGCAGCTTCGGATTACGAAACCCAGCAGCGGTTCAGTTATTTCGAAGCAGGAGAGATGAAAAATGAGCCACACCTTCACCGGGACTCGAACCACGGACCTCTCGAATACGCGTCGAGTGTGCTGCCACTATACTACGAAGGCATGCAAAGAAGGTGGGAGAAATACCTTTACTCCCCCTTTTAAAGGGCGAATGTAGTTTTAGGGGACCCATTCGCCAAATCCTGGTGGTGCGGAATCATCATTCACCGCCATTTTAGTTCGGGCGCCACCGTAGAAACATTAGGTTATTTCGAAGCAGGAGAGATGAAAAATGAGCAACGCCTTCGCCGGGACTCGAACCACGGACCTCTCGGAATACACGTCGAGCGTGCTGACCACTACACTACAAAGGCATACTAAAAAAGTGGTAGAAATACCTTATAGAGTGAGTAAAACCGCCGAATAGTAGGTAGTTCAACCTGATTTGGGTTCGATTCCAGGCAAAAGAGCTGGCTGCGTGGTTAGTTTTCGTGGTTTACCAGCCAACGTCAGACGTGGTTTACCAGTCAACGTTCCTCTCAGAACGTCATCCATGAAAGCATCCTTCCTCTAACGCACGTAGCCATCGTGGCTTTGCTATATTCAAATAAACTAACTTAGCCTTAAGACCACGTATGGTAAGCAGATTTCGTTCAGACTAAACAAGTATAATATCCTATGTGAATGCGTGAACGTGCTAGCTCAGGAAGGAGACTTTTTGCTATGTTATGTAGTCCAAAGTTTGTGCTGCACCTATGCATCGAATTTAGGATCTGCAATAAGACAAACATTTCGTTTTCACCTAAGAGTCCCATGTTAATAATTCACCTGCAACAGCAAAACATTTTATGAATTTCTCTAACATGTACAATAAACTGCATTCCAGTATTCTCCGAATTTGAGCTATAACAATTTTAAGTTATAAAGGTAATTAATACATAGGCATTCTATATCGTTATAAACTATTATTTTAAAAAATAAATTTCTAATAATAAATGATAATACATAGGCATAATATATAATAATAACATTATGCCTATGTATTATAATTATATAATTAGGCTAATTTAATACATAGGCATTCTGTATCTTTCTAAACTATTAATTTAATAAATAAATGTATAAGATTAAATTTTGGTGCGCATTTGAAACTGTTCTAGTACACACGGTCGTCCACAGCACATTCTGTTGGAGGAATTCGTCAGCAGTTTTCCTTGCCGGAAAATATCCAGCTTTCCATGTATGGTGTAGAGTTCCTTAAGAATATCAAGCAGCATCTAAGCGTTTCTGGTATTTTCCTGCACTTTTTTTTTTTTTTTTAACTTTCTTAGTGTGATAAATGTTTAATGCTATGTTTTCAATTAACTTTGTAACAAAATACAATTTTGTATTTGTCTTAAATATTGTTGAGCTTAATTATTGTAATTTTTTGCTTTTTAAAATGCAGGTGACGATCCTCCTGAAGTACAGTTTCAACCTAATGGCTACCTTTTCTTGGCAAGTGAAGAAGGAGCGGAGCAGATGGTACAGAATCACAAAATTCAAAAGTTAGTCACTTTAGTTTTCTTTTTGCGAGTAGTGAATAATCACTTTAGAACTCTTTTTCTTTTTATTTCCTTGTACGAAGTAAAAGAAGTATTGTAATCATGAAAAATTTCGGGTATCAAATCTCAACTAAAATATACATTTTGACAGCTATCGAATGCAATTTAACGATGTTTTTGCTTGACATCTATACGTAAGGGCAGCATAAAGGACTCTTTTTCCAAAAACGGATTATAAAATAGATTTCAAATGGATTCAGAGGACATTTTTTTTCGTGACGTGACGTCTGTACGTACGTAACTACGTATGTATATATCTCGCATAACTCAAAAACGAGTAGCCTCAGAAAGTTGAAATTTTGCATGTAGGACTACTATAATATGTAGTTGTGCACCTCCCTTTTTGGTTCAAACAGGCCTCACCAAAAGTATATATATATACATACATATGTAGAGATATTAGGATTTTTGGAAGCCGGAGAGATGAAAAATTAGCTACCGCCTTCGCCGGGAATCGAACCACGGACCTCTGAAATACCGGCTCAGTGTGCTGACCACTACACAACGAAGGCACGCTAGGAAGGCGGGAGAAATACCTTATATACTTCCCCTTTTAAAGGGCGACTGGGGTTTTTAGGGTACCCAATCACAAAATCCTGGGTGTGGAGATTTATCATCCACAACCCTTTTAGTTCGGGCGCCACTGTAGAGACAGTAGATTTTTTCGTAGCCAGAGAAATGAAAAATGCGCAATTGCCTTCGCCGGGAATCGAACCACGCACCTCCTGAATACCGACCCAGCGTGCAGAACCACTACACCACGAAGGCGGGAGAAATACCTTATACATATACACCCACTCACTTACTCGGCTCACCGATGAGCTCAGTTTTTTTTTTATTCTTATATGTTGGTAAATTCTTCATTTTTCGCTTTAAAAGTGATTGAATTGTGTTGTTTTTATGTTCCGGTTAAGATTTTATGCTTTATTTATTCTGCATGCAATAGTTGTAGAATTACCAACAATTTAAAAGTTGTTTTAGTGCCGCTAAGTCTAATAGAGCAGCCATATTAGTTTACATTTGAAACTTAGCAGAATAGGGAATTCAGTCAGTTTCTGCACCTTCAGCGTCCTTTTGCCTAGTGGGACCAAAAGTACACTTTTAGTTCTGTGCACCGAAAAAACTGCCTTCCTGCCCGTTGGCCGAATTGCTTGTTTTCGCGCATATACTGTAATTTAAATTGTAAAAAAAAATTTTTTTAACAGTTTTAATTGTATTTGGCATTTTATGTTTTTCTATAGTTTTCAATTTTTAATAAAGATATTTTAAGTTTTTATGCTTTTTTTCTCGCAGCGAAGTGAGAGCTGAATTAATTGAATGAGAAATATATCTCTAATGAAATTCGAGGAAACTATGACAACTTTGGTCACGTGACTATGTACAGGAAAAGATGTACGAAATTTAATTTTTATTGAAGCCCTTTAAGAAGGAAATTCCAATTAATAAGTTGCTCATAAAAGATTTTTAATCCTACTAACCATCCAACCATAAACCTCCCCAGGAGACGTAAAGTTCGATGATTTTCAAGCGCCTTCATTCCGCAAAGATAATACAAGCCGCAAGCACTCATGTTTTCTCCAGAATTCAAGCCCAGGGCTTACGCTATGGCAGAAGGGGTTGCTAAGCAAGGCTAATAGGAAGGATCAAGGCGCCAGTTATACTGTAAAAATTTGAACAGTAACTAAAGTTTGTTTAGGATATTCCATTTCAATAATTTTTCTCTAGCGTATAAATATTACAGTACCATTTTACACATATTTTATAACATTTGCATTGACCTGAGTTTGATTCTTTTCTTAATTCCAGAATTTTAGAATTTGTTTCAGTCCAATAAAAATAAGAACTACAACATTAAATTAATAAGAAAGCAAGTTTATTGAAACTTTTCTATATATTTAAAATTAATTAATTACTTCTTTTTATGTATCTTTCTTATTTAAAATAAAATACTCCTTTGACAAATCTTTCTCTTTTTGATCCCTTTATGGCAAAACTTCATTTTTTTTTTTTTTTTTTTTTTTTTTTTCCCAATTTTTTTATTTATAGAGAACTGGGAGCCAAAGTTGAGCTTCTGCGACCAAAACAATTGAGTTTGAAATTTCCTTGGTTAAATTTAGACGGTATAGAAATGGGATCATATGGTAATTACTTTAATTTTCTGTATTACATATATCGAAATTCTGAACTGTGGTACTCATTTATTTTTTGTATTTTAATTAACAGTTTTTTAATTTTTGATTTTAAAATTTTCATTTAGAAGGTAAACAAACATTCTACATGAAAATTTTGTATAGTAATATAAAATAACTGTATTTCTCAAAATTTGTTAATAACCAGTCTACTTACGCGCGCTGTAAAATGGCTTGTTTTAGTAGATTGAGAGTGTAGTACACAAAATTAGTTTAAAATACGAGAAGCTGCCTAACAGAGTCTACAGCTTGAGTTTCCACCACTGAATGATTTTTCTCTTCAAGTTAAGGTTTCGTGGATTTGGAATAAATAAGGACGACACTTGATGAAGTATCAAAATACAATTTATTAGGCAGTATTACTCAGGACAGCTCCAAAATCACGTCTAGAACACTCGAAGAACTACTATAAACACGCTGAAATAGTCAGCGATACAGCCTTCAGACTATCAGGCTGTAACGGTGAAGACAGCTTCACGGCAAAGCACAAGAGTACAGCTCCCGACTCTGCTCAGTCGTTCTCGGAACTCAGCACACTCTCGAGACTCTCCATCCTACAACTCGCGATGCACTCGACGATACACTAGAGTACAGCTCCCGACTCGGCTCGCTCGTTCTCGGAGCTCAACACACTCTACGATCAAACTCGATGATGCACTAACTCGGGATACACTAAGAGACTCTCTCGATGCGCTCGACGACCAACTTGGCACTAGACTACGAGACACTATCTCATTGAATGACTCGATTAGGCACTCACTGACTGACTATCAACTGACTCTCCGCGTACCAGCAGGGTTTATATAGCTTTTAGCTTACGTTCGAGAACATTCTGGCCTAAACCAGTAAGAATTCGTTCCAGAAGGTTCTCCATCCATCCATGGCATATCGGAAATTTTGTCGCCAAATGGGCGATTTCTCTCCAAACGTGGCAGCCCTGCCTTCCCTTGCCATTTCTGGCAGCCCTAAACTGCCTTGCGGAGAAGCTATTTTACTGCGGCTAGACATTTCGTAACAATAATATAGATACTGACCTTGCAGAGGATAGTGATGGCAAAGTATCTGATTTCCCAAACTGAATATCTTCTTTTAAACTAAACTATTCACTATCCCTAATGAAATTAGCTAGAGTATTAAGCAGTTAAACCTTAGGAAGACTTTTAGATTTGATAATATTCCAAAAATGTCATTAATGTTTTAAAAATAAAGCAATTGTCTTTCTTGTGCAACCTTTTCAGTGCAAGTTTACGAGTCAAATGCTGTCCAAGTGCTTTGAATTTAAGTACCTGTATAAGGTATTTTTCCCACTTTCCTAGCGTCCTTCATGATGTAGTGGTTCTGCACGCTGGGCCGGTATTCCAGAGGTCCGTGGTTCGATTCCCGGCGAAAACGGTTGCTAATTTTTCATCTCTAATATCCTAATGTCTCTACAATGTCTCTTATTTTATTAAACTTACTTGGTTCCCTCTTTCACAGTACGAAATTTAGGTTCAACCCAAACGAATTTCGCATGTAATTTTTTTATTTCTTTACAAAATTTGTATATTTTTAGTAAATTTATAAATTTTCCAAAAAAAATTTGAATTATAACCTAGAAAGTTTTTATCATCACCTTAAAGTAGATGCATTTCTAGGCATACTTACAAGTTTCTCAAGATATATGTGAATTTACATATTGGAGCGTTTTGAAATTTGGCATCTTTTCTGTAAACGATAATAAAGACAAATGTGCTTTACGTAATTTGTTAAAATTATTTGAAAGAATGGACGATGCACCTTTTTTCCCGCTCGTGCACAATGAAAAAGGGGAAAGTAAATTAGGTTACTATAAATTCAGAATTTCGCCAAGTGAATAAGTACTGGCGTAAATTGAAAAAAAGTGTGACAAAGTAAATTTTTTAATTTCTTGGTTAAGTTTGCCGTAAACTTTACAAAATTTAATATTTAAGCAAATATTTCGAGTGGAAATATTTAAAAAAATTGGTATGTTATTTCAGAAAAAGTCCGATTTCGTGTCAAAATACCCATGTTAGAACAATGCCTTATATAAATCTAATACATAACCAGCCCGAACTAAAAGGGTTGTGGATGACGTTTCTTCACACACAGGATTTGGCGACTAGGTCCCCTAAAACCCTAGTCATCCTTTAAAAAGGGGAGTATATAGAGTATTTCTTCCACTTTCCTAACGTCCTTCGTGGTGTAGTGGTTCTGCACGCTTGGGCGGTATTCCAGAGGTGGGTGGTTCGATTCCCGGCGAAGGCGGTTGCTAATTTTTCATCTCTCTGGCTTCCAAAAAATCCTAATGTCTCGACATCTGGAGAAAAATCTTACGTTTGTCAGAAGTTAAGGCATATAAGCAGTTTTACCATGCGTCCCACTTTGAATTGGACTCTCCCGGTTTGATGAATGTGTTCTTTGCCTCTTGGCCAGTTTGCATTTTGTCAAGTCGGTTATTTGGTACAATTCAAAAAGTGCTTAAATATACAAGAAATGACAATAGCGCAGGCTACGATAAAACGGCCACTTGGCAATTAAAATATCCCGTATATAATGAATTTAATTTCACGTATATAATGAATGAAACAGATAAGAGGTAAGACAAAATACATCCAATTTTGTGCTGCTATATTTAGTTGTTTCAAAACCTATTTACAAACAATGTGCTGTAGGCAGAGTATTCAAATAAGACAGAAAATTAATTTAAGAGAGATAAATTAACACTGTTGTTGCCGCTTAAGATAAGAGTTATTTCTTTTGCTTCTTATTTCAACTCTTTGTAACATAAATGTGAATTTATTTAAGAGAAAATTGGTAACCAAGATTCGAAGAGAGCATTTTAAAAGCTCGTCGCAAATTTAACGAAAAAATGCATGTAAAACAAACGATAACCATAAAGTCACGCGGAAACCGAAATCTAAAATAAATATATCACCTGTAAAATCACTACACACATCTCCAAGAATCATATGCAAATTTCAGGAAGTAACCAGATGACACCGATGGTACGTCACAATGACGAGAGTGTAAGAGAGTGATATATAAGGAATACAGGCAAAGAAGTAAAATTGTTCGCAGGCGCTTTATAAGCATTTCAGTGCAATAACCGAATAGTTATAACAAAAAGGACGCATTTGGATGATTTTTTACGTGGTAGAATTATCGGCGGCGTCTGGAATGTGGGCGTACCCCAACTGGAAGTATCAGACGAACTTGGAATTGCCCAGAGTGTCATCTCCAGGCTTTGGCAACGATTCCAAGATGATGATAATGTGAGTAGACGTTACAGCACAGGTCGCCCCAGAGTTACAACGCCGAATGAGGACCGGTATTTGGCAGTTACTGCCAAAAGAAAAAGGCGGAGCACAGCCTCAGACCTGTCTCGTCAGCTCTCTTCAGCCACTGGTACGACAAGGCAGACCGTGTACAGACGCTTAGGGCAGATTGCTCTATATGCTCGTAGACTTATCAGATGCGTTCCACTTACTGCAACTCACTTTCGCCTGCGGTTAGCCTGGAGTAGAGAGCATGCATTGTAGACACCGCAACAGTGGGCTTCTGTGATGTTTTCCGACGAGTCCAGGTTTAGCTTGCAGTCTGATTCTCGCCGGACTTCATATGGAGAGCTCCAGGTACCCGTTACCACCAAGGAAACATCATTGAACGACACCGGTGCAGGAGTGCTCGTTTAGGGTGGAATTATTCTGGGTTCCAGAACTGACTTGGATGTTCAAATTGGAACCATGACAAGCCAAACCTATCGGGACGTCATTCTGGAACAACATGTAGGTTTGTTTCGGGACGCCATGGGCGCACAATTTGTGTTTATGGATGGCAACGCCCGTCCTCACCGTGCAAACATCGTAAGCGAATGCCTTCAATCGGAGGATATCACCCGTATGGACTGGCCAGCATTCTCACCGGACTTGAATCCAGTAGAGCACGTGTGGGACATGCTTGGCGGACGAGTTGCAGCCCGTCAATCTCCTCCTACATGTCTACCGGAACTTCGGAGAGCATTGCTTTTTGAGTGGTGTAATATCCCCCAAGATCAGATCGATAATTTGATACTCAGCATGCCTAGGCGTTGTACGGACTGTATTGCATCGTCTGGGAGACATAGAATGTATTAACAATCATACGAACCATGTAATATTGGTTTTTTGTAAATAGTTTTTTTTTTTTTTTTTTTTTTTTTTTTTTTTTTTTTTTTTTTGTAATTTGCTCCAGGGAGAAAAAATCGCTAATTTGTTTAATAATATCAAACATATAGCATCTTTTTTTTGCTCTTTATCTTTTGTTTAATAAATAAGCTTTACAAATAAATCAAATTTGTTTTGCTTCTAACTCTTCTTTTGCCTGATTTTGCATTATCCTTAATTTATGAACATGAGTGTATATGCTTAGTTCTTCGATGATACGTTAAAACTCACTTACGTTGCTGAAAGGAAATGTTTTAATTTCTGCTGTCCACAGTCCACTGTTCGCTTTCTAATGGAATGTTACAGAACTGAAACAGCACAATGTTGACATATGCTCACACACATTTATTGTATGTGACATTGCAGCTTTAACTACAGCATATCCAATAAACCCATGTTTTTAAAGACTTCAATGCTATTAATGTTCAAAAGTACTGAAACTTTGTACGAAACATATTGTTGCGTTTTTTTATTCTTCTGACACCAGTTGTTACGTTATTTTCTCCTTCACATTCTTACGGGGTTCGTGTGGATTTGGAGTGAATAACGACGACACTTGATTGAAGTATCGAAAGACACTTTATTAGCCAGTATTGTCAGGACAGCTCCGAAACACGTTTTACAGTCGTCGTGAACTACTATAAACACGCTGACTCGATCAGCAACACAGCCTTCAGGTTATCAGGCTACCACGGTGGAGACAGTTTCACTGCAAAGCATCAGAGTACAGCTCCCGACGCTGCTTGGTCGTTCTTGAAACTCCACGTTCTCTCGAGACTCTCCACTCTACAACTCGCGATGCACTCGACGACACACGAGCACAGCTCCCGACTCTTCGGTTCAGTCTTTCCCGGAGCTCAATACGCTCTCTCGGCGATGCACTAACAGACTCCTTCAGTGGACTCGACGACTCACTCAGCACTCGCTGCCCGGCTGTCAACTCGATCGACTCCGCAGAGACCGACTCGCTAAACGAGGCACACACTCTCGATGAGAGACACCCTTCCTGACTGCAGACCAGCACGGTTTATATAGCTTTGGGCTGGTGTTCAGGAACATTCTGGACTAAACCTGTAAGATTCGTTCCAGAAGGTTCTCCAACCGTCCATGGTATATCGCCAATTTTGTCGCCAAATGGGCGATTTCTCGCCAAATGTGGCAACCCTGTTTTCTCTTGCCATTTTATGGCAACCCTAAACTGCTTTGGGGGGGAGCCATCTCACCGCGCCTGTACGTTTCGTAACAATATTATAAACTTCCTTCAAAAACAAAGGATAAATATTCTAAGAGAATGTTTTTTTTTAGGTTTTGAAAACGAAGGCTGGTTTGATCCATGGGCTTTACTCTGCGCCTTCAAGAAGAAAGCTGTATCTTTAGGTGCCAATTACGTTCACGGAGAGGTGATAGGATTTGAATTTGAAGATAAGTCATATATTGCTGATGACACCATAGACCCTACTATTCGAACTCATAGAATGTATGTGAGTATGAAATGAGTTATTACAGGTCTTTCAGAACACGATTTTAATAAAAATTCCATCCCTGAAAAGGGGTTTAATTTCTTCTCTTTTTTTTATCTAGGTAAAAGACGAAGTTGGCGAAGTACATTCCGTTGAATTTGGGAATTTAGTAATTACTGCAGGACCATATTCCGGTGATGTTGTGAAAATGCTGCACGATGGTCTAGGACCCGAGTTTTTGAAAATACCTCTTCCCGTTGAACCAAGGTAACACGATTCATTGCAGTTTGTTACTGCATACACTTATTAGTGGTACACAGTTTGTAAACAAACTGTTATTCCAACATTTGCTTCTTGGTATGTCAGAACTGTTTTTCTTGACTCGCTTTGGAAACATGATGTGTCCTGATTAGGAACAGGGAGCTTACTCAAGCTATGTTCAAGATTTGTGTGTAACAGATGACACAAGCAGGAAGGGTATACGAAGCCCTTTATTTTCTATACTTTTACAAGTACTCTCGAACTTAGGGATACAAAGACTAACCACTTGTGGTCTGAACGTAAGCATAACTAAAACTCTAACTAAAAGCTAACTTTGAATTAGTATACAAATGCCTAGCACTAAGACTGACCTTTATTTAAAACGGTACGTATGTAGTACGCCGAGCTGCTGAAGCTACAATACGTTTTCAAATATCAAGAGGGCTAAATCTCTGGCCTTAAAGGCAACCAGCAACCGAGTGAAAACTCGTAAAACTGCAGTGGTAAGCGGCTTGCTTCCTAAATCTTCTTCTCTCTCACTCTTGGCAAAAAGCCGCAACTTAAATACTTCGGCGTTAGCGAGACAATTTGCATAAACAAGTTAAAGCATTTATTTCTGGCCGGAAGTAGAAAATAAGAAGTGATAGTACAGTTTTAAAATAAAGTAAACGTTAGTAAAACTTAGGATCCTTACAAGTAAGGTAAAATTCGAACGTTAATTTGTAACAGCTCCTTTCATCCCTTTTATATTTCTTCACTTCTTCTTTCGATACCCAAAATAGTATTACACCTAATAAAAAAATAGATGCAGTCGAACTCCGATAGAAATTTCAGGGGACCAAAATTCGGGGGTTCGCTATATCTGAAAGATAATGAATTAGCTCACATAAAAATGTAAAAATTCACTGATGAATCACAAACAAACTGATTAATCTACTAAAAGAGGTGAATAAGGGATCTAGTTTCTAAAAAAATAAAAAAATAAAAAAATCACATTAATTAGCCCAGAAGGGCTCTTAATTTCGTTTTGGCATTTTGGGTTGAAAATTTTAAAAGACTGTATCACTTTTCAAATTATTGCTAACAAATATAACCGCCCTGTATTATATTTAAAGGAATTAAATAATGAAGAATCTGCATAAATGTACGTATGTTTCTCCCATTGTGATAAAACAACGATACCTAGAGCCATTCAATTTTGAATAACGTAATCCTCCACCTGAATATGGGCAACTGGAAGCCCAAATTTGGAATTTGGAATTTGTTAGCCCAAAGGGAGTTAGCCCAGACGGGCTATTAACTTCAAAACGGCATCTTGCATCGATTCACTTTTCAAACTGTTGCCACCAAATATTATTGCTATGTATTATATTTAAAGAAACTAAATAATGAAGAATCTGCATGAATGTTTCTGGTATTGGAAAAAAACAACGGTACCTAGAGCCATCCAATTTGGATAAGGTAGTCTTCCAACCGAACATGGGCAACTGGAAATCCAAATTTTGAATTTCGAATTTGTTTTATTATATATTTCAAATTTTGTAAAATTTTAACGATTTTTGATTAACAAACTTAACGATAGAATTCTCCATTGTGTGATTCTAAGTTATACACTCATGTCCATAAATTAAGGATAATTCGGAGTCACGCGGAAATCGAACTCTAAAATAAATATATCACCTATAAAATCACTACACACATCTTCAAGAATCATATGCAAATTTCAGGAAGTAACCAGATGACACCGATGGTACGTCACTATGACGAGAGTGTAAGAGAGTTAGGTATAAGGAATACAGGCAAAGAAGTAAAATTGTTCGCTAGCGCTTTATAAGCATTTCGGTGCAATAACCGAATAGTTATGACACAAAGGACGCATTTGGGTGATTTTTTACGTGGTAGAATTATAGGCCGTCTGGAATGTGGGCGTACCCAACTGGAAGTATCAGACGAACTTGGAATTGCCCAGGGGGTCATCTCCAGACTTTGGCAGCGATTCCAAGATGATGGCAATGTGAGTAGACGTTACAGCACAGGTCGCCCCAGAGTTACAATGCCGAATGAGGGCCGGTATTTGGCAGTTACTGCCAAAAGAAACAGGCGGAGCACAGCCTCAGACCTGTCTCGTCAGCTCTCTTCAGCCACTGGTACGACAATTTCAAGGCAGACCGTGTACATACGCTTAGGGCAGATTGGTCTTTATGCTCGTAGACCTGTCAGATGCGTTCCACTTACTGCAACTCACTGTCGCCTGCGGTTAGCCTAAAGTAGTGAGCATGCATTGTGGACACCGCAACAGTTGGCTTGTGTGATGTTTTCCGACGAGTCCAGATTTAGTTTGCAGTCTGATTCTCGCCGGACTTTCATATGGAGAGCTCCAGGTACCCGTTACCATAAGAAAACATCATTGAACGACACCGGTGCAGGAGTGCTCGTTTAGGGTGGTATTATTCTGGGTTTCAGAACTGACCTGCATGTTCAAATTGGAACCATGACAAGCCAAATCTATCGGGACGTCATTCTGGAACAACATGTACGTTTGTTTCGGAGCGCCATTGCCTCACAATTTGTGTTTATGGATGACAACGCCCGTCCTCACCGTGCAAACATCGTAAGCGAATGCCTTCAGTCGGAGGATATCACCCGTATGGACTGGCCAGCATTCTCACCGGAATTGAATCCAGTAAAGCACGTGTGGGACATGCTTGGCCGACGAGTTGCAGCCCGTCAACCTCCTCCTACATGTCTACCGGAACTTCGGAGATCATTGCTTTTTGAGTGGTGTAATATCTCCCAAGATCAGATCGATAATTTGATACTCAGCATGCCTAGGCGTTGTACGGACTGTATTGCATCGTCTGGGAGACATACGATGTATTAACAATCATACCAACCATGTAATATTGGTTTTTTGTAAATAGGATTTTTTGTAATTTGCTCCAGGGAGAAAAAATCGCTCTTTTTTTAATAATATCAATCATATAGCATCTTTTTTTGCTCTTTACCTTTTGTTTAATAAATAAGCTTTACAAATAAGTCAAATTTGTTTTGCTTCTAACTCTTCCTTTGCCTGATTTTTCATTATCCTTAATTTATGGACATGAGTGTAGTTAAAAGTGAAGAATCTTAAGAACTAGTAAGCGAATAATCGCTTGAGTTCGTGACTTGGTGATGTGGTGTACTTAATTATGGCAAAGCACACTAGGGCTATCTGCCTAAGGGGGGATACCTTCGTGGAGGACTTTCTAAGGGAAACTGGCTCGTATACACTGTTCGTGACTTGGAGAGGGTTAAAAAACCCTTTATTATTCAACTAAGATTTAACAGAGTTGTACAATAAAGCTGACACTTGGGCCTGAGCTTAAGAAACTAAGAATCAAACTAAACTAATCTTAACTCAAAGAGATATAGCCGAAGCTATCAAAATTCTAACGGAGTTGACCCCTTAGCACTAATTTAATGCGAAGTTATTAAGGGCCTAAAGTACGGCCGAGCGTAATAATAGCTTACGGGAGAGTAGCCTAAAAAGATGGACGCGTGCAGCCAGAATATCTGGTATCTTTCTCACTAAGACAGAAGAACTTCGCGGTTAAATACCACCCTTCCTCACTATCATTCAGACGTGATTCTAAAACTACGTTTTGTCCGGAAGTGGTAAGTTGAAATTAAGAAGCGATAGGAAAGGAAGTTAACTCAAAATTTAACTGTTAATAAAATTAACATAATCCTTACAAATGTACGGAAAAAATAACGTTTTTATCTCCAGTTTGCGAAACTGTGTATCGGAAATTTTACAGGTATAATCTTTATAAATTATCTTAGGATATGGCTATTGAATTGAATTTTATGGTTTAAAACGCGAATTATATGATATTTAATAAATAGAGGTAACATAGAAAACGTTAAAAAAAGCCCCTTTGGGCGTAATGTGAAATCTGAAAACTTCCAGATTTTTTTGTAAATTTATTTCATTATAGTTATTATTACACAAAATTATTATATTTGTTGTTAATTCTTTTCTAGTTTCACTGAACGTTAATAATTTTATACGATAAATTACGTAGCATAAATGATACGGTTCGGTCCTTTCACTCGTATTGCACATATTTTTCTAAAATTTATATTTATAATTATAAATCATTACTTTCCAAAAAATATAAAAACGAATGCAAATGGATAGCAAAAATTCTTCACAAATTCACCTTTAACTTAACTTCTGACCTACAAGGTATTTCTTCCGCCTTCCTATTTTGTCTTCGTGGTGTAGTGGTTCTGCACACAGAGCCGGTATTCCAGAGGTCCGTGGTTCGATTCTCGACGAAGGCGGTTGCTATTTTTTCATCTCTCCGGCTTTTCCAATGATCCTAATGTCACTACAGAGGCGCCCGAACTAAAAGGGTGTTGGTTGAGGATTCTCTCAACACCTCCCAGAACTAACTCAGTTCTAGGAGGTGTTGATTCTCCACACTCAGGATTTGGCGATTGGGTCCCCTAAAAAAAACCAAATCTGCCCTTTAAAAGGGGGAGTATATAAGGTATTTCCCCCGCCTTCCTAGCGTGCCTTCGTGGTGTAGTGGTTCTGCACGCTGGGCCGGTATTTCAGAGTTCGATTCCCGCGGTCCGCGGTTCGATTCCCGGCGAAATAATTGTTAAATTTTCATCTTGCCTGCTTCCAAAAAATTCCTAATGTTTCTACAGTGGCACCCGAACTAAAAATGTGTTGGATGATGATTCTCCTCACCCAGGATTTGGCGATTGGGTCCCCTAAAAACACCAAAACTGCTGTCAAAATTTCCCTTTAAAATTGGGAGTATATAATGTATTTTCCCCCGTATTCTTAGCATGCCTTCGTGGTGTAGTGGTTCTGCACGCTGGGCCGGTACTCCAGAGTCGCGGTTCGATTCCCGGCGAAGATGTTGTTAAATTTTTATCTTGCCTGCTTGCAAAAAAATCCTAATGTCTCTACAGTGGCGCCCGAACTAAAAGTGTGTTGGATGATGATTCTCCTCACCCAGGATTCGGAGATTGAGTCCCCTAAAACCCCCTTTAAAAGGGGGAGTATATAAGTTATTCACCCCCGCCTTCCTAGCGTGCCTTCGTGGTGTCGTGGTTCTGCACGCTGGGCCGGTATTTCTGAGGTCCGTGGTTCGATTCCCGGCGAAGGCGGTTGCTAATTTTTCATCTCTCTTGCTTCCAAAAAATCCTAATGTTTCTACAATGGCGCCCGAACTAAAAAGGGTGTTGGATGAGGATTCTCCTCACCCAGGATTTGGCGATTCGGTCCCCTAAAAACTTTAGTCGCCCTTTAAAAGGGGGAGTATATAAGGTATGTCTCTCGCCTTCCTAGCGCGGCTTCGTGATGTAGTGATTTTGAACGCTGGGCCGGTATTCCAGAGGGCCGTGGTGCGATTCCCGGGATGCTAATTTTTCTTCTAATTTTTGATATTTTCCAAATATTTTGATGTCTCTACAGAGCGTAAAAATAGTCTGTGATTTTCCATTGGAATAATGAAACCTGAAACTGCATTAATAAAACAGAAACAGAAAATTGCATATAATAACGATTATAAGCATTTTTCTACTCACAATACATTACGATGAAAAGTGCAATAATTAATTATTAAATTATTCGCGAATATGAATTACATTAATACAATTATTATAATTCGGGGTATTATACCAATATATATTTAATTATTTTAATGCGCAGAAGAGATGTAGCAAGTAGTACCCACTATGTGTTTATGTACATATATATGTATGTGATGTAGAAAGATAATGCGCATTAGTACAATGTAAGAGTGATTATGTGTATTAGAACATTAAGTATATTAGAATGTGAATTTCAGTTGTATGTGCTATGCCGTTCTGAACTGCCACCTCGCGGAATATTTAGAGTTAATTGATTGCTTTTGTTAGCAGATGTATAAAGACCATGAGCTCTGACTGTAAGACGTGACCTCCTGCCAGGTAGAGGTACAGGTAAAAGTATGAGAGATACCAGCGATGTACCATGGATCAACTGGTGGTGTTTTTCCACACTAAACTATTAAAAAAAAAGATAAAAATTTAAAAAAAAATCTGAAAGGTTTCAGATTTTTAATTACGTCCAAAGGCGCGTCTTTTTAACGTTTTGTGTGTTACCTTTATTTATAAAATATCACTTTCTTTGCATTTAAACCATAAAATTCAGTTTAATAGCAATGTCGCAAACTAATTTTAAAATGAGCCTATCTTTAGGATTTCCGATACACAGTTCCGCGCGCTGGAGATAAAAAAAGTTTTCTTTCCCGTCTTAGAATGTTGCCATTGCTCGCTTTTAAATCGTCCAGTTTGTTACTCAAAAATTCATTAAAATTTTACAAAATATGAAATCGATCATAAAACAAATTCCAAATTTCAAATTTGATCTTCCACATGCCAATATTCGTAGGAGGATCGCGTCATTCAAAATTCGATGGCTCTATATACCGTTGTTTTATCTCAGTGCAAGAAATATATATACATTTATGCATATTTTTCAATATTTAATTTCTTCAAACATAATGCAGGACTCTAACATTGGGTGGCAACAGTTTGAAAGGTGAAACGGACATTTATAGTGATTCAACGCAAAATCGCAAAACGAAAACAATAGTCCTTCAGGGGCCCCTTTGGACTAAAAAAGAAAAGGAAATAAGTTGGTAGCCGTAGTCTCTACCCCAAGCTTGTAGTGATGTGTTGACGTAGAATGTATGATTTCACAGAATATATTCTTGTAGCCTGGATGCTGTATTTCCAGTATATGTGCATTCAGACTTTTCAATCCCACATGTTCGAGATGTTACGCTAATGCTCCTTTACTGATTTTTATCCTTTCTGTCATGAAGGCTTTCTGTCGACTAAAATATCAGTTAAGTAAGACAGAATTTTGCTTAAAAGTACATAAATTTCAAGTTTCCTTCATTCATGTTCCTCACATGTATTCCCAGTCTTTTCAAATGTGAAAAATTTCCTTAAAGAAAAATTTCCTTAAATTTCCGTAAAGAAAAAGTTAAAAAGTTAATTTTTAACTTTTTCTTTTTCCCATAGGAAAAGATATGTTTATGTTATTAACTGTGAGAAAGGACCTGGCAAAGACATGCCTCTCACAATTGATCCGACGGGTACATACGCACGTCCAGAAGGATTTTCTGGTAAATATCTTTGTGGAAGGTCACCGTTATCTGTAAGTATATGAAATTTAATAATCATTTTTCCGGTACTAGGAACACATAAATATTTAATACAATTAGCAATAGCTAAATAGCAGGAATTTAGCAATGGTAAATATTTAATATAAATTAGAATAGAGGTACACGCTGCACACACAAGAAAAAATGGGAATAATTCTGTATCTCTCGTTGTACTGACGAAATTTAAGTTGTGCTTTTCGTTTCTTGAAAGCGCTATTTATGATATAGTATTGTAGAGTACCTCACTTTGGAATTCTAAGTTAATGTTGGAAGTGAGGAATCTAAGAACTAATAAGCTAATAATCGCTTGCGTTCGGTGACAAGAAACAACAAGATAGAAGTGTAACTAACCCTTTATTATTTCAAAAAGTTTTAACAAAACTCCGCCTGGGAGTGTACAAGCAAAGCCCGCACTTGGACTTGAACTAAAAAGACTAAGAATTAAACTAAAACTAAGATTAACTAAAGAAGTATAGCCGAAGCTATCAAGGTTCAATTTGAGTTGGCCCCATAACTTATTTGACTACGAAGCTTAGCAAGGGCCTGAGTACGGCCGTGCGTAATAACAGCTTTGAGAGAGAGAGTGGCCAAAAAGGCAGACGCGCGTAAATCAGAAACTCTGATTCTCTCTGACTCAGTAAGTAACTTCGTGGTTTAAATACCGCTCCTCCTCATTAAATAGTCAGCAAATTCCAAAACTACGTTCTGGCCGGAAGTAGTAAGTTGAAGTTAAGAATCTGACAGGAAAGGAACTTTAACTTAAATTTAACTGTTAATAAAATTAACATAATCCTTACAGTATATTAAATTTATATATAGCATTGTTCTAACTTAGGTAGTTTAACACAAAAATCGGGCATTTTCTGAAATGACATACCATTTTTTTATATATATCTCGATCATGTGATTTAAATTATACCAAAATGCCGAATTCTGTAAAAATCGTACGAGTAGTTTTTTAAAACATTAGCTCTCAAAATTTTAGCTCCTTAATGCTGATTGAATTTGGTATATATTTATTAATGTTATTAGGTATTTCTCCCGCTTTCCAAGCGTCCTTCGTGGTGTAGTGGTTCTGCACGCTGGGCCGGTATTCCAGAGGTCCGTGGTTCAATTCTCGGCGAAGGCGTTGTTAATTTTTCATCTCTCCGGCCTCCCAAAAATATCCTAATATGTCTACAATGTCTCTTATTTTATTAAACTTACTTGGTTCCCTCTTTCACAGTACGAAATTTAGGTTCAACCCAAACGAATTTCGCATGTAATTTTTTTATTTCTTTACAAAATTTGTATATTTTTAGTAAATTTATAAATTTTCCAAAAAAAAATTTGAATTATAACCTAGAAAGTTTTTATCATCACCTTAAAGTAGATGCATTTCTAGGCATACTTACAAGTTTCTCAAGATATATGTGAATTTACATATTGGAGCGTTTTGAAATTTGCCATCTTTTCTGTAAACGATAATAAAGACAAATGTGCTTTACGTAATTTGTTAAAATTATTTGAAAGAATGGACGATGTACCTTTTTTTCCCGTTCGTGCACAATGAAAAAGGGGAAAGTAAATTAGGTTACTATAAATTCAGAATTTCGCCAAGTGAAAAAGTACTGGCGTAAATTGAAAAAAGTGTGACAAAGTAAATTTTTAAATTTCTTGGTTAAGTTTGCCGTAAACTTTACAAAATTTAATATTTAAGCAAATATTTCGAGTCGAAATATTTAAAAATATTGCTATGTTATTTCAGAAAAAGTCCGATTTCGTGTCAAAATACCCATGTTAGAACAATGCCATATATAAATCTAATACATATCCTATGTTGCGCTTTCGAGACACGAAAAACGGAATTTAAGTTTCTTCAATCAGCCAAGTAGAACGGGAAATATAGAACTATCCTCCCTTTTTTGGCGCAGTGCGCATGCGTGAAAAGAAGCCACATTAATCGGTACATATTTTATCTTAGTGGAAACACTTTCAGCTTAGCAACAGCAGCATTTCTAAACATGAAAAGCAAAAGTCATTATTATGGGTCTCATGTATTAAAATTAAGTTACATGAATTTATCATGATGCGTTAGGTTTCCATAATTTTAATTTAATTTAAATCAGTTATATAATTTTATGGTGGAAATAAAAAGATAAATTTTAGTACGCTTGCTGAAAAGTTGCTAAAAACTGTTGCTCCGCTAAAACTTCAACATAAGCAAATTCAATGCAATGAATTGTGTTAAAAGAGAAATGTACAACATTTGAATATTTACAAGTAGAAATTAACAAAAATAGTAAGTAAGCTATATGTTAAAATAACTAAGTAAACTTAAAACATAGTAAAAGTACTAATTAGTTGATCGAGGTAAAAATAAAATAAAAATTAAGAAGCGGTAGATGGCTGATTAGCCCAATTCGAAGTTCATTTTGGCACGTCAGGGGAAATTTTTTCAATGAATTTCGAACTATGACTTTTTGATTTTAGTTCATGATTCTAAGGTTTAATTTAAGACTTAGAATATATATAAATTTGTAAATATTTCAGAATGAAGAACCAGATGTCAGCAGTTTAGAAGTCGATTACGATTTTTTCCAAAAATCCGTTTGGCCAGCTTTGGCATATAGAATACCAGCATTCGAAGCGGTAAAGGTAAGAATAGAAATTAATGCTCATTTCCATTTCTAACTTGATTATTCGCTGTTAAACTTGTAAAATTTTAAGACATAGCCCAATTGCTTTATATTCTTTAGAAAGTAGGGGTTCTTACCACGACAGCCTAGCCTTTAGAGACATTCAAAAATTTTTGTCAAGCTGCCTCCCTAAGGCAAGGACTATTTACAAAATAGAGACACGCTAAAAATTCCGTCGATGAATAAAATTGCAAGAATAAGAAAGAGCAAATAAGAATTTAACGTTTACAAATTAAAATTTGCATTTATTTAATTTCTTGAAGTTCTGATTCCTAGATAGTTTTAATGCATTTTGAAAACGCAAGATAAAGTATAGAAACGCAGGATAAAGTTTTTATTCTGCGATTCTATACTTTATCCTGCGTTTTCAAAATGCATTAAAATTATGTAGGAATCAACACTTCTAAAACGTAAATAAATGAACGTTTTAATTTATTTAGTTAGTGATAAATGAAAGAAAACTAATAACAAGAAACTAAGTAAATGCAAGTTTTAATTTATTTAAACGCAGGATAAAATTTTTATCTTGCTTTTCTATACTTCTTGCATTCCAGAATTTGATAAAGTACGAGTTTGCATCCCCTTAAATAAACTTAGAAATATTGACAGAGCATTCATATTTCATACCGGAGCAAAAGGATGACCGATTTCACACCAGACTGAGATTGATATTGAAGGTCCCTAAAAAGATAATCCTTCATATACTTCATATGGAATTGGATATTTCCTTATAAAATTTAAATGATTCATCTTTTAAATAACGCCGTAAGTTAAAAAGGCGGATTGGCAGAGTGCTACCTCATTCATCAGTGTATACGAGCCAGTTTTCCTTAGAAAGTCCTCCACGAAGGCATCCCTCCCTTTAGGCAGATAGCCCTAGTGTGCTTTGCCATAATTAAATACACCAACACCATTCATCAGAGAAAGGCAAATCAGATTCAGCCCATCCACTGAGCTCTAGTAAAAACTGAAGATTTGAATTCAGCAAGAACATTTTTTTATTAAAGATGTACTATTCTTTCACGAACTGATTCGAAGAACGGTTTATTTTACTTATAAAGCGAACGGTGATTCGTCGAAACAGGGTGATAACTTCTTTATAATTAATCAGCTTTTTTTAGAAACTTCCTAGGAAAATTCGATTCCAGTTTAAGGGAAGAAAATAATGTTTATCTTCCTATATTAAAATCCAATTCAATTGTTATTATTTACCACTTTTTAATTCCAGAATTTTATTGCGAATTCTATGTTCATACATTGAACTCACAAAAATTTACAATAAAATAAATTGCAAAATTTTACAGTACTGAAAACAACAATAACATTTGCATTAAATTTACTACAATAATTTCATAATAACAGGAGGTTTTTTTTTAGGAAATCTCAAAACTGTAATTGAAAGAAATCAGTCCACGGCGTTAGCAGCTTCTTGCCATTCTTCTGTCATTCTCGTACAAAGATCTCCATTTACGATCCATTACCGATATTATTCATCAAAGCTATTGCTAATGTGTGGTAAGTAGGGGAAAAAAAAAAAATCAGTTCAGTGAGCAAATGGTTCTGATTTGATCTCGTAAGACAGCGGTTTTGTCTACCTTTGCATTTTGTACTCCCTTTGGTTTTGAAGCAATTAAAAACTTTTGGACAGTAGAAAGAACGTTATTCTGTAGCCGGAATGAGTAGCAACTTGGTAAAAAATTTCGACAAAAAGGATTTTCGTGTTTTTCATTTCCAAGGAGAAAAAGCAATTAAAAATCCTAAAAAGACATACTAGGAGCTCCTTCTTGTCGCTTTGAGTTTAATGCGGCAAAATATTTTACAGTTTGTATAAGACGGAGCAATGTCTCAAATAGCTAATGCAGTTTTAAAGCTTTTTAAACAAGAATTATCTTACTAATTCAGAAGTCACCAACACAAATCAGCGTTATATTTTCAAAATTTTCACAGGACTAGTTTCGATGTTTTTACCGAACCACCATCCTCAGCTGCAAAATCGCAAATAAACAAGATAGGGAATAATGATTAGATAAGAAAGCATGGACAAGAATAAGCAAGTGGCGCCATCTTGTTGGTGAAACCAAAACTAAAACATAATTTCTTTAAAGGCCGAAGGCAAAGATGGATTTGAATTAGGATCGTTAACTAGAACAGAAAGATTTTTGAATGTGAAATGCCTCTAGAAAATCCAGTTCTCCAATGGAAGATGTTTTTTGAATAATTTTGGCAGCAGAAAGTTAATACATACAGAAAGTTACATAATAGGCGTAGATAAGTATGCGAAGAGATACACATAACAGTAATGGGAAAAACTGCTGTTTTATGGGATCACATCAGAACCGTTCGCTCATTGAACTGAACTGGTTCTTTTTTTACGCCCACCACTCGCTAAGAATTACTGGAAGAAGATCGAGAGCTAAAAGTGAATCAAGAACGATTAGCGAGGATGGAGTGAAGCTTGAAAAAGCCAGCATAGAAATCGGGAACGGTTAGCGAGAACCGAGCGAAGAGCGAAAAACAAATCGAACGAGCGGTTGAATCGGAAGAATCGACTCAATCAATCCTCGACCTCACTGGACCAATTTCTTTCGACTGTAGTTTGGGGGTTTTAAAAGTCTCTTTTCTGCACAGAATTAACAACTAAATTCCAGAATAAGAAATGTTAAAAAGTTGTGAAATAGTGAAAATTAAACTCATTTTTAACGCTGGAGGGAAAACATTTTCTCTCTTAAAGAGGTAATCGAACTTTCCTGCCACGCTCCTGATAGAGTTTTCTTTATGTGTTAAACCTAAAATAGTTACCTCTCTTTTTTGAAAGGTCAGAGTGCATTCGCTCAGTAAAGTGAATAGTTCTTTGAATCAGTTCGCGGACGAATAGCACATCCCTAATACCCATAAAATCGCTACCAAAAACATCCAAAAATGTACATTTGGTAGCGAGAAAATATTACCAAATGAATTCTATTAGGAGATAAGATAAAGCAAATAACTCCTTCAGTCGTAAGTTAGCATTCGTATCATACAATTTGTGCTTCAATTTGCTTAAATATTAAATCATTAAATGCATATTTAATGCAAGTGAATAATTTGGTATTAGGACTAGACCTTGAATTACTACCCTCGTTTATGTTATGTTCTCGGGATCTGGAATCGTTTGGTCACCGAATTCCTTTGGCATGAAATCCCTGCCATTTTTGTCACTAAGGTAACTTTAAGACATATATTTCCGTTATCAGAACTTCAAATTATGTCACAAATATTGAATAATTTTCTGTTTCTGATACATGAACACGAAACATGCATTTGTTATACGTTTTCTTTACTTTTGTAGGTATCAAGTGCATGGGCTGGATACTATGATTACAACACATTCGACCAAAATGCATTATTTGGTGCACATCCTTACTTCCCAAATGTATTCTTTGCCACTGGTTTCAGTGGTCATGGTATACAAATGGCTCCTGCTATTGGACGGGCTATGACAGAACTACTGTTAGATAAAGCGTATGTTACTATCGACATGTCAAGATTCCATTTGTATCGCGTATTTAAAGAAGAACCTTTGTACGAGCAAAATATTGTGTAAGAACTTTACGATTAAAATTTTCAAAACTCATGTACACGTCTTATATTTTTCATTGACATAGAAAACGTGTAGTCTGTTTTCTATTGGTTTTGAAATAACAGTCTGTAGTTGTTATGCTATTAGATTGTCCGGAAAATAATGCAAGATTTTAACCTATATCTTTAAAAGTATCATAACTCAAAAACAATTTTATTAATCAAATTAAGCAGCAGCCGAATCAATGCATTTTTGGCAAGGAGATATAAGTTTATTTATGCCGGTAGAATAAAATTCTGGAGTTCTGGACGCGATAAAGTTGTCAAAGGCGTTTTGGGCCTCTTTCGGAAGCATTTCTTCTGCAGAATGTTATACAGATGTTTGAAAAAGTGGTAATCGGTCGGCGAGAGATCGGGCGAATATGGGGGGAAGAGGGAGAGTCTCGTATTCAAATTCGTCCAATTTCTGTAGGGTCAGTTGCACGATGTGCGGACGAGCATCCTCATGGAGAAGAACTGGCCGCTTTCTGTTGACTAGTGCCGAGCACATGCGCTGCAATTTTTTCGTGGGTTTCGTTGATTTGTTGACAGTACTTATCTCCTGTAATAGTTTCACCCAGATTTAGGAAGCTGTAGTGAATGCGACCGGCCTCAGGCCACCCAACAGTCACCATAATTTTCTTTTGGTGCAAATTTGGCTTTGGAAAGTGTTGTGGTGTCTGACCGCGGTTCCAGAGAATCCCCTGTTCATCGCACGTAACAATTCGATCAAGAAAAAGGTCGTTTTTGCTGCGAAGAAGAAGAGCAGACGACACTTCAAAACGGCGATTTTTTTTTTTTTATTTTTTATTTTCGCTCAATTCGTGAGGCACACACTTATCGAACTTCTTTGAATTTCCTATACGATTCAAGCGATCAGAAATCGTTGTTTTGCTTACGCCAAGCTCTCGAACAGTTATGCACGAGGTTTGTTTCAACTAAAGTCTTTAAATCCTCGTCATCAACAGCTGATGAGCGTCCACGATGCTCTTCATCTTCCAGGTCAAATTTTCCATGGCGAAACTTTTGGTATCCCCGTTGAACTGTAGATTCATTAACACCTTTCTCACCCCATACTTCGTTGACATTTCGAGCCGTTTGTGCTGCGCTGTGGCCTAGCTTGTTCTCATAAAAGTAAATTTGTAGAAATCCCTGTTTTGACATCTAAACAAAAAACACTTAGTAAATATTTTTGAAAATAATTTTGGAACAAAATGATTATTATAGAAATATAGAGCGAAAATAGAGCTTCAAAATGATATATAAACTAATGTAATTCAAAATACTTTTGTTGCTAAAAATGTACAGGAAAGATGAAGAATTGCAATAACCTGCATTATTTTCCGTACAAGCTGATATAACAAAAGACATAAATTATTAAAAAACATACCATAATAAAAAGACTACCGCTTCCGGCTTTAATGATGGCCAACACCTATAATGTCTAGTGTCCGCCAATAGGGAAAAAAAAAAAAAAAACACTCAGCTTTTTTTTTTTTTTTTTTTTGCGCTTTTCGTTCATTTGTGTTCTGTTTCGTATAATTTTCTGTAAATATGTCCTACAGCGTTATTAGCTTTTTTTTTTTTTTTTTTTTTTTTTTGGATTGACTGGGGATTAGGGGAACACTCGCCATACCTTGGTGGTGAAGAATTATCGTCCACCGCCAATTCGGGGACCTCTTGTAGAGTCATTTAGAAATTTTTTATGTCAGAACTCACAATAATTTAACAGGCGGAACTTCGTGTGCTTACGAAACAGCCAGCAGTTATGGCGTAACTCAAAAACAAAGGAATTCAAACTGAAACTAAACTAAGTCGTAAGTTAATCAAGGGCTACACAGAAATAAATAGTGTTCAAGTTGGCTGAAGCCTATACCGGTGTGACAAGCACTATTCGCAAGAAGAATGCAAAGACGAAGACAGACTGCTGTCAAAGAACTGCAGTTAGTAGCGTGGCCTCCTTCAGCAGGCAGAACATTCTCTGATTAAACAATATAAAACTTCCCTTTAAACACTATATCTTTCTACCTCATTTGAATACCCGAGAACTAAAATTTAGCATTTTGGCAGGAAAACGGAAAATGAGAGTGACAGTAAAGCTACTTAACATAAAATAACTTGGGAGATAAAAATAAATAAATCCTTGCAATTACCAAAAAGGGTATAAAACAGAAAGTAAGTTCTCTTTTAGATCTGGAAAAGTAGTCAAATATTGGCTTTATTCAAAAACCTTACATTAGAAAAGACGAAGGGGAAAGAAAAATGTGTACGGCATACACGCACTCAGCTGATTCCACAAGTTCAAAGGGACAACCTCTTTATGCCTAAAACTGCATTTCTTCCAACCTCCTGCAACGTAAAGGGGGGGGGCATATGTTTTCAAGTATGCATGCGGTGCACTTATCGCATCAGAGGGAATTGTGTTCTTCAGCATTCTTCCATTCTTCCCAATGGCACTTGCCTATAACGGCATTGGTCACTGCTAAGGCCAGATGTGGCGGCCATTTTATTGTGGATGCACATAATAGGTGGCCATCGTTAACACCTATGAAGGGGCAGATAATTTTACACCCATGTCTTCTCAGGGATTCGAACACAGGCCCGTTGGTATTACAGTCAGGCTGCCCTAACCAATATACCGTCTGGACACAAAATTTGACAAAATTTATTATTACGTTTTAGGCATTATTATCAAAGTCTAATAATGCTTAACCCTTTCCGGCAGGCTAACTTTTAAAGTCGGAGTTTTGATTAAAAAAAAAAAAAAAGAGGGGGGGGCAGTCTAATTAGGCCTAGAGGAGTACACAAGTAAAATTTTGTGAAGAGAGCACTTATCGTTTTAATTCTGTGGTTTTGCCCACAGTGGCACACTGATTGAATAGAGCTTCGAAAAGAGTGCTGAAACGAGCATTGTTGTCAATGAACTGACCGATGAGATGAGGAGAAACAAAGAACACAGACTCTCAGTTATCCTAGAATATCGGTGAGCCCGGTCTGGACACACCTAGGGTTCGCCGTTTGATTTTAAGCAAGATTTCAAGGTAAAAATTTAAAACTACTATGGAATAAGTAGATTAGCATACAGCTAAAATTAACATAGAAATTTCTTTTCAAGCAATTCCTTTTATATCCTAAAAAAAATTGGAAGATTTCTTTGAAAAATGAAGGTCTTAGAAAACTAAATATGACTGAAATATATAGACTGGTTTGTGTTGAGCTGCCGTCTACTACAAATAAAGAAGGTTCATAGTAACTTATAGTAATTTATAAATCCTTTTTCATTCAATTTTTCTGTGTGTACAGAAAGAAATTTTTAGGTGTGTATAGACCGGACACACTGTGCCGCAAAGGGTTAACAATATTTTAACCTGAAACATTGTATGCAGTGAAGTTTTTAATTAACTAAATTTAATAAAAACATTTAATTTCCCCTTTGGACTATCGTCTAAAGGGACAATTTCCCCCGAAGGACTATTAATTTCGTTTTGGCATTTTGCATTGAAATGTCGGTTCACATTCCAAATTGTTTTCACCAAATAAAGGTCCTGTATTATATTTAAAGAAATTAAATAATGAAGAATCTGCATAGATATATGTATGTTTCTCGCAATGTGATAAAACAACGGTACTTAGAACCATCCAATTTTGATTAACGTATGCTTCTTCCCGAATATGGGCATCTGGAAGGCCAAATTTGGAATTTGTTATTTGTTTTATTACCTATTCATATTTAGTAAAACTTTAACGACTTTTTGATTAACAAACTCAACGATTTCAGAGCGAGGAAAAAAAAAAAAAAAGTTTTTACCTCCAGCGAAGCGAGAGTGTGTATCGAAAATTCTAAAGATATGCTCATTTTTAAAATTATTTTGCGATATTGTTGTTGAATTTGATGGTTTAAGTACGAAGAACATTATATTTAATAAATAAAGATAACACACAAAACGTTAAAAAAAAAAAAAACCTTTGCGCGTAATGTACAATCTGAAAGCTTTCAAATTTTTGTTATTATTTAATTTCGTTTAATTTCATCTCCGAGTCTTAAAATGTATAAATAGCATTAAAGTTGGGTTTATTTTCTACATTTTAACTCTACTATTCTCTTTTCCACGCTGTTCATACCGTAGCGAGTTTCATAGGTTCGTTTATATCAGCCGTTAGAAAATCTGGGGTTCACTGGTTGCATATAAACTGCGATGGAAAATAAGAAAATGATACAAATAAAAAATGAGTGCAAATAAAAAAAATAAAAAAAAAACGCAAATTAAGAAGGAAAATAAATAAACTAGAAAAAAGAAAAAAGAAAGAAAAAAAAAGGTAAAAAAAAAAAATTGGAATTATTCACATTTTGTATTACGCCCAAAGCGGCCCTTTTTTTTAACGTTTTCTGTGCTACCTTTATTTATTAAATATCATGTTCTTCGCACTGAAAGCATAAAATTCAGTTCAACAGCAATATCATAAAACAATTTAAAAAGAGCACATCTTTAGAATTTCCGATACACCGTCTGGCGCGCTGGAGATAGAAAAATATTTTTTTTTTTTTTTTCCCGTGCAGTGTTGTAATTGCTCGCTTTGAAATCGTCGAGTTTGTTAACAAAAATTCGTTAAAATGTTACAAAATATGAAATTTATATTAAAACCAATCCCAAATTAAGGCTTCCAAAGGCCCATATTCAGTGGAAGATTACGTTATTCAAAATTTGATGGCTCTAGGTACTGCTGTCTTATTACAGTGCGAGAAACATATATTCATTTATGCAGATTCTTCATTATTCAATTTCTTTTAATATAACACAGGGATGTAGTATTTAGTGGCAACAGTTTGAACAGTGAACCGACATTTAACGCAAAATACCAAAACGAAATAATAGCCCTTTTGGGCTACTAAGTTTATGATTTTAATGAAAATTAGGAACAAAATTTTAAACTTCAAACGAAATTTTAAAATATGGTATAAAAATAAAGGATTAAAAGGAAGCATTCAAAAAATTTGAGAAGGGAACACGTGTCGTCTAGTCGCGGTTTACAGAAGTATGAAATCTACAAATCATCCTGACAATGCAGATTTTAAACAAGGTCATTACCAAGGTGATTCGCGCTTTTCGAGTGGGCGATAAGACGAATTGAGGGATGTTTCTTTAATAACATTGTTTCCGAAACAATGTTATCGTGATTGTTTTCTAAAATCTTTTGTTGTCTGTGTTTTCAAAATGTTTCAGTGAGACAAAATGGAAATCTTATATCTTAACTGCAAAAATTATTATCATGATCTTTAAGTATGAAATTTTTCAAATTCTCATTTGGAAAACGCTTTTTTGAATATAAGACACGTAAATTTTCTATTAGTTATTAATTTTGAAACTTGCTGCTCCCGTTTCGAAGAATGGTATGCAATGTTATACGTTTGGAGACTTTATCGGAAAGCATGCGACTTAGCTAAGACAAGAAACTTTGCAAGTGAAGAATTTTTAAAAATCCCTGTGCTGTTGCTTGAAGTGGGACACCGGATCTTCGAATAAGCAACCTGAAGTGATGACAAACGAATATAAAAGGAGTACTTTATAGAGTCATTAGGTTTATTTCGGAAGCAGGCAAGATGAAAAAAGAGAAATCGCCTTCACCGGGAATCGAACCCCGGACCTCTGGAATACCGGCCCAGCGTGCAGAACCACTACACCACAAAGGCACGAGAAATACCTTATGACTTTAATGTTTTACATTCCAACGTAAGAAAGTAGAGGGCAGGTTTATCCAGTCAATCAACACAAATTGGTTTATTCCATTTTTAGTTCATATCGAGACGAAATGTGATCAGAAATGAAAATTTCTAGAAATTATGCGCATGCGTGTATCTTTCAAATATGCTGTTCGAGGAACTGGAAATTAAAGAAGAACAGCACAGGGGGGAGAATACCGTTGGGGAGGAGAATGACCCCTCTTGACTAATCGAAGTCTACTGATGGGTACATTTTAGTTCAGGCTCTAACTGCGGAGAGGTCAAGAACGATGAATGGCTGAACATACATATATCATGCCTTTGACCAGAGTCCATCACGTGACCTTCAAATGACCATTCAATGAATATCAGGTGTTTTCCTCAGAAATTTCTCCACGAAGGCATTCCTCTTAAGCCAACAGCTTCGAGTGCTTTACCTTATGAAATATTGAATAATATGAATAAAATGGATACTGAATAATAATATTGCTTTGAAAATAATTAAAAATTATCAAATCATTGGCTGATAAAATGACTATTATATCGCAAGAACATAATGGATGGATGGGTTAATCCCTTGCAACTTTCCCCTGTTCCAGAAATAAAAAGTAAATATTACATTATTATCATTACGATTTCAAAATAATCACAGAATTGCTGAAGAAACTAAAAATTTTAATGGCTTTAACATGACCTTCTGAATCACAAAATTTTTAGGAGAAAACAGCTATGAGAAATGGAACAAAACAAGAAAGAAATACACAAAATACATCGGCATGGGTTATAACGGTGTAGTTATAACCCATGCCGATGTATTTTGTGGTGTAGCTGCCAGTCTCGTGATACATCGTTAATAATATGCAACATGCATCACTAAAAGGGGATTGAGAGGCTTCTGTGTCACGTGATCTAGAAATGTAGATTTAGTAATGTTGCAGATTGTATATCAAAATCACGTGATCATCACATGATCTAGTAACAGTAGTAAAAGCTTAAGATGCCGCCTCAGTTGAGATATATAGGCGTACGTAATTAACTAGAATTTGGAGTTATTTCGGGCTAATTATTTAAAGTGCTGACTGACATCTTTTGAATGCCGTAAATTTTCAAAATGTTCATTGCTTTGAGAAATATTATTAAATTTGCCCCACGTCGTGGCATTCAATTTAGAGCAATTCAAAAAGCAAGTGCCAGTTCATATTTAATTGAAGATCCTAAGTATGCATTTTTAAAAGACTTAGGTCTTGAGAAAAATAATCTTGGCGTTTACAATGGATCTTGGACAGGTTCTGGAGAGGTAAGTGCTAATTTCATTTACTTTTTAAGACTTTATTTGACTCATAAGAACAGTAGTATTGGTGTCTTGATTTTACAACGAGAAGATCTGATTATTTTATTTGATTAATATATTTTATTTATTTGTATAATTTGAGAGAAAGGAAAGTGTTTTGATGAAATTTTAACATCTCCCAGTACTAACCTATAACATTTTCTAATTATGAAGTGTGTTCGATATATTCGAAGTTCAGCAGATTTCACGTTGTGTTCTGTGGAACTTTGTTTCCTCGAAGTGTTTCGCGAGTTAAAATCAAAATTCGGAACAACTATTGAATGCTAAATGGCCTGGAAAATTAATTACTTAAAATAATTAATTAAGTTATTTTTTTTATTTCTATTGCTACAGTTACTTGAAATAAGGTAAGTAAATATGTTTTTAAGATAAAATTTTAATCAAATAATGATTTTCACCTATAAAATGTGTTCTGTGGAACTTTGTGTTCCTCGAGTGTTTCACGAGTTAAATCAAATTCGGACACAACTATTGAATGCTAAATGGCCCGGAAAATTAATTACTTAAAATAATTAATTAAGTTATATTTTTTATTTCTATTGCTACAGTTACTTGAAATAAGGTAAGTTAATATGTTTTTAAGATAAAATTTTAATCAAATAATGATTTTCACCCTATAAAATGTGTTCTGTGGAACTTTGTGTTTCCTCGAAGTGTTTCGCGAGTTAAAATCAAAATTCGGAACAACTATTGAATGCTAAATGGACCTGAAAACTAATTACATAAAATAATTAATTAAGTAATATTTTTTATTTCTATTGTTATAGTTACTTGAAATAAGGCGAAGTAAATATGTTTTTAAGATAAAATTGTAATCAAATAATGATTTTCACCTTATAAAATGCAACCAACTCTGGTATATACGTTCATTATCATTTTTAATTTATTATGATGTAAATAATGAGAGTTCCATCAAGAATGAACAATAGTTTTAAAAATTCCACAAAAAACGAAATTCTAGTTCCGGAGCTTCGTAACAGAAAATTATAGTTTTTGCTGCTCCTAGAATCGATACAAATTGAAGTTCACCAAGCCAGAGTATTTCTTTGGTTTCTTTTCTTCTTAAAATTATTAGTTTTTGTGTTTACTTAAGTTTTGTTTTTGTGTTTAAGTTAATTTTTGTAATTTTTCTTTTACATCATAATTTAATTTCTTTTTCAAGGTAAATCGGAGCCGCTAATTGTTATTATAAGAAGCCAAAATTCTTTCTTCATCTTAGAAGATAATTATTTAGCATGCATTGAATGAAATTAAACACACACACACACACACAAAAATTATTTATCTTCATTTGCATACCATATTCTTTTTTACCATGGTATAAAAAAACATATTTCGATATAAAATATATAAGTATCTAACATTTCATGCAAGAATCGAGGGGAAAACTAAACCGAAACATTATAAAAAGGATGTATATTTTTATTTAACTTTCACTCCTAAATGTATTATAAACAGTAAAATGAATTTTTTTTAACTGTCACAATATCCTTGGTCTATTGAATAAAAGTAAAATCATGGAACTTCTAAAAATAAAGAATTTTAAATAAAAAATCATCAGAGATGGAATATAATTATTTTTATATGTGTCATTTCTATGCTATCACTTATGTTGCTTCTCAAAATTCTATTAACATCCCAACACGTTTCATTTATTTGCTATATGATTTTATATGCATTTGCATATGACCATTGTGTGGCTAAATACATCAATTTTATTTTGATGCATTTAACTAAAACTGGGTAACCGTAAAAATTTTATATACCTATTTTATTTTATACTTTTTAGTTCATACAAGAAGAGGAAAGTTAAAGGAAAGGGAAAAAAAAAAAAAAAAAATATCACCGCCTTCGAACGTAAAAAAATTATTATTTCTTCCAATCAATCAGATAGCAACAAAGTACGTGATAGTCACCTTTCATTCTTTCAGGTCTACAAGCGGTTTAAAGTAGGTAAACACCAGCAGTTAGTTCCGGGGTTTGAATCCCGCTGAACAGACTGACTGCATGGGCGTTTTCGTGGTTTTCCCCATGCGTAATATGTATACGAACCATATTTCCCACAGAAGATCTACGAAGGCATCCTTCGTGGATATCCTGTGGATTTTATTTTCTGTGAAGTTATTTCCGGGGTTCGAATTCCGCTGAACAGGCTGACTGTATGGGCGTTTTCGTGTGTATACGAACCATATTTCCGACAGAAAATCTACGAAGGCATCCTTTGTGGATATCCGGTGGATTTTCTTTTCTGTGAAGTTAGTTCCGGGGTTGGAATTTAAGTGAAGGGCTGACTGCATGGGCGTTTTCGTGGTTTTCCCCATGTGTAATATGTATACGAACCAATTTCTCACAGAAAAATCTACGAAGGCATCCTTCGTGGATATCCTGGGGATTTTATTTTCTGTGAAGTTATTTCCGGGGTTCGAATCTCGGTGAACGGGCTGACTGCATGGGCGTTTTCGTGGTTTTCCCCATGTTTAATATGTATACGAACCATATTTCCAACAGAAAATCTACGAAGGCATCCTTCGTGGATATCCGGTGGATTTTCTTTTCTGTGAAGTTATTTCCGGGGTTCGAATCCCGGTGAACGGGCTCACTGCATGAGCGTTCTCGTGGTTTTTCCCATGTGTAATATGTATACGAACCAGTTTCCCACAGAAATACAAAGTGAGTAAACATAGTTGGCAAAATAACGTTAATCTGCTAATTCGAGGCAGGATTACCATAAATAATCGATTTGTATAAAGCAGCAATACTTACATACTGCAATAAAACTGATATACTTATTATGAGATGTCTTTGCTTTTTATAGGTTATCACTTCTACGTCACCTATCAATAACAGACCCATTGCCGACGTAGTACAAGGAAATTTAACCGACTATGACAATGCTGTTAAAGCTATGCAGGAAGCGTGGGAGATCTGGGCAGATATACCAGCACCGCAGAGGGGTGAAATTGTTCGTCAGCTGGGAGATGCATTTCGAGCTAAGAAGAACACTCTGCGAAAACTAGTCTCTTTGGAAATGGGAAAAATTTTGGCCGAATCTGAAGGAGAGGTAAGCATCTATGTCTTGTTAGAAAAATGTGTATTTTCTTGTTAAAATGTCCACCACACGATTTTTGGCGACATTTGCAAGTTACAGACCGGGTAAGTTTGCCCGTTTTGATGATAAAAAGAGATGCCGGATTTAACAAGGAAGTACCAAAAATTGCTTTCTTTCACTTTTTTATGATGATTAATAATAATAATACGAGCCAAAAGTGTACGTCGTCCGCGGATACACTCAATGCTCGTAAATTTGAAAGAGTCAGAATTCTTGAATCTAACGTACAAGAGCTCTTTTGCCCTAGCGGTAGAGGATTCCTCTCCCATGTCACGAGCTAAAATTCCTTTCCGGAGGCCAAGCGATGTTTTGCATGGCATTCCGGATTCGACCCATAGCCACGAGGAAACCTCCGCGAAAACACCTAAAGCACTGAACAACTACGAGCAAATAACCACTACCTCGAGGTCCCCCCTCAGGGTCGACGTAGAGAACTCTGCGAAGTTACTGGCTAGGATCTGTACCTAGGCAGTCTCGGCCACGGGGGTATAAAATTTATGAACTTGGTGGTTCTGAAGGCTCTGGGAAAGGTCACTTATTGGCCGGCCCCGGAGTCTGGCACGTCCTAGCGCGGCGTGGTTCTAGTAACCCGGGGGTCTCCCCCGGGGTCGCTGGGTAATGTCCCGCTGCGACGGGCTCGCCCAAGCGACTGGTAGGAGCATTAGACGACCGGTGCTGCCTGGGGCCTGTTCCCAGGTGGTGCGCTGCTCTCCTGGAGGGTAATAGTGGAGGTTGAACCTCCACGACGTGCCCAAAGGGAGAGTGGACCTGTAGTGGGCTTAAGTTCCCGGAGCAGGGCAGCCAAAATCCTCTAGTTACCTCGAGGTCGCCACACTAGTCCCATTTTGTACGTAACAGAAAAGCGCGCCTTTTACACCTGCCCGCCTTCGAAAAAGCTGACGAAGTATGTGCCTCGCGCCACCCACGACGCCTCGCTTCACAAGTGTTGAATGGGCACAAATAGCCACCAAACGAACGGAGCTGACTACAGCCCACCAATGCAACGATCAATTACATTAAACGCTGGGCTCAAAACTCGGCAACAAGTCGTCCATCCTCATTGGCATACAGATGCTGGAGGAGGGTGTACAGCGTCCGCGGAGTCACTCAACGTTCGTAAATTTGAAAGAGTCGGAATTCTTGAATCTAGCGCATAAGAAATCTTTTTACCTAGTTAGAGATTTCCGCTCCGATGCCACGGCCTCAAGTTAAGTTCCCGGGGCCAAGAGAGTTTACCAAGCCAGTGTTGCCACAAGCAAACTCAAACTGCGAGATATTGCTCGCAGTTTGAGGTTTGCTTGTCCTACGTCCCAAAGCCCGCCATGAGTATATGCAAATATATAAAAATTTATAAATATTGCGAATTGTTTATTACAATTGTATTTGCTATTCAGGTACTTTGGTATTTGCTGGCACTTACCAGTAACCACAATACATTTTCCCTGACATATTTTTTCTCATGCATTTGCTGATCACTAAATGCATTTTTGCTGACAGCAGATGGCTAAACGAGTATTTTGATTCTCGGCGGATATTGCTTGGAGACCGTATTCAAAATTTTCTCAGAGGGATTTTATTAATCCACAGTCACTTCCTTAATATGGGCCCACCAGCGGCCGAGCGGTAAAGTCGCTGAACACTGAGAGTTCGGTCCGAAGTTCGAATCTCGCGAACGGGCTGGCCGCATGGGTGTTTTCGTGGTTTTCCCCATGCGTAACGTGTATACGAACCAGTTTCCCTTAGAAAGTCCTCCAAGAAGGCACCCCTCCCCTTAGGAAGATAGCCCTCGAGGCTTTGCCGTAATTCAATAACCTAACCTAACCTAACCTCTTCCTTAATATGAAGTCTACTAAATAAGCAGATAAGCGCCTTTCTTCGAATCAGTTTTCAGTTCTTATGTTAACCCTTTACCAGAAGGTGCTAATAAAGAAAATTCATGGTATATTTTTAGTCATGTACGGTTTGCATGAGAATTGCAATGCTTGCAAACTTTTGGCAAGATGTCTAGAAATAACATATTGCTTCTGTTTTACTCTTCGGCAAATTTGCGAAAAATATGCGATGCAAAGTGCAGGAAAAATTTAACAGGAGACATAGAAACGTTGTCTCGAAAACGTTTCCTCGGAAAAGAGTTACCAAAAAAAAAAAAAAAAAAAAAAAAAAAAAAGGAACATAATGCCGATATACATTTGCTCTAATTAGTCTCAAATCAACACTAAATGGGGAAGGAAAAAAAAACCGCAACCAATTTCTTAGCCTCAAGAAAAATTACATCTTTACATTATGGTAACTTGGCGACAATCTGGCGACCAACCCTGCTACAGCAACCTGCTAGTTCTGTTTTGGACGCCATTTTGTTTTCACGAAGTAAAGGCATTTTTTTCCAACAATCTGCTAGCCGAATTACGCTTATACCAGAACTTTTATGGAACAAAAATACTTAATCATGACGAAGATTAGGTGCGAAATTGGGAGAAAATGCAGAATCGCAACTGCTTGCCGCGTTTTTAAGAATTGCACATACACGGCATCCATGTACACTTCGACCTATTTTCCCTTAAAGAAACCATCGCAGAATTGCACAAAAATGGCATTGCGCACACTCTTGACTTTATCTATGTACTCATCGACCTATTTTAACTTAAAAAGTCAAAGAAAATTGACAAAAATCGAATTCTTTCTACTCCGTAAAAAGCGCCAAAACAAATAAGTGGACGATCCTGCACTTTAGCAGCGAAATTGTTTCTGAGTGCTTATTAGCTAAAATCCCGTTTGGAATTTTCCGATAAATGTTACATTACATGTCTCATGACCTCTCATTTCTCTGAGACAAAATAATCTGTGATTCCAACTGTGTACTTCTCAGATTATTGCTAAAGTCCTAGCTAGTAACCTTTATCGCCTTACCAAAATGTCGCCAAACTACCTGTTACCATATTCTAAAGATTAGCCGAAAAATCGAGTCTTTCTAGAAATATTCGAAGCAGCTTCTGGGGTCGCCACATCGTTCGCAAGAAAGAAAAGTCATTCGTTGTATCGCTGCTGATTGTATGGTCGGGTGTCAGGCGTTAACGAAGAGTTCTTTCATACATAATAAACAATTTTTGCTTATCATGTCATATCATTTCCATTTTAGATTCAAGAATATATTGATATATGCGATTACGCAGTGGGGTTATCAAGAATGTATGAGGGTAAGGTTATTCCGTCCGAAAGACCTGGCCATGTACTCCTAGAAATGTGGAACCCAATTGGAGCTCTTGGAATAATCACAGCATTTTAATTTTCCCGTGGCGGTATTTGGATGGAATAATGCTCTTGCTATGGTGTGTGGAGACGTTATGGTATGGAAAGGTGCACCCACAACTATGCTAACAAGTATTGCTGTCATGAAAATAATCTCTTCAGTTTTAGAAGTAAGTCTGCAACTCAACTTTTAATGAAAACACGTAAACGTTGTACACTGACTACCAATAAGTATTTGGACACCTATGCAAATGACGATATCTGCGGTCCTAAGGTACGTCACGGAATCCGCTGGTATATATCGTGTAGGAAACAGCATCGGCTTTAGTCGCATGCAAGACGCCTCGCAGTTCGGAGCTCTCTGATTTCGAGAAAGGTATAATTATCGGGTATCACAAATGTGGCCGATCCTTAAGGGACATATCTAGCGATCTGAAGTACCCAAAATCGACAGTGGCCTATGTGAGTAAGAAGTGGAAGGTGAGCGGTGATTGTCGGAATGTGCCCCGAATCGGCAGACCAACGAAACTGGAGATAGAGACCGACGAGTGCTGTCCAGAGAAATTCGAAAGAACCGCACCCAACCGATGGCCCTCATCCGAAAGGAGTTTCAACAGGCATCCCCGGAGTATTGTTTTAATGAATACCACCCGTAAGGAAGCACATCTGCTTGGGTTTCATGGTCGTGCTGCTGCCCATAAGCCTTTGATCACAAAGTCCAATCGCGCTGCTCGGTTAATGTGGTGCAAAGCACATCGAAATTGGACCGTAGATCAGTGAAAACGGGTTCTTTGGAGTGACGAATCAAGGTTCACCCTTTACCGTTCGGATGGCAGGGTTTGGGTCTGGCGTCTACCTAGAGAACGTCTCCTGCCAGAATGCATTGTGCCAACAGTCAAGTTCGGCGGAGGGTTGAGTCAAGTTGAGCTTACCATGAATGGGGACCCTTGGTCCCCATTCATGGTAAGCTCAACTCCGATGCCTGCTGCACTATTTTGGATGACAATGTACTTCCTACGTTGTGGCAGTTTTACGGGTTGGACCCATGTTACTTTTAGGACGACAATGCCAGTTGTCATGTTTCAACGTTAACCAAGGCTTGGTATGGTGCCAATGGAGTTAATCGAATGGACTGGCCTGCCCAGAGTCCAGACCTGAACCCTTTCGAGAACCTCTGGGACGAGTTGCATCGCCGAATTCAGGGGTGCACTACCCGTGCAAAATCGGTGAAGGAACTTCTATGTCTTCTCCAAGCCGAGTGGAAGAAAATACCTCTAGCTGTCATACAAAGACTTGTGGAAAGTATGCCTCGGAGGGTCCACGCTGTAATTACCTCTAGTGGAGGCTCTACCAACTATTGATTTTGACTAAAGTTAGTTTTTCTTTTCTATCACAGGTGTCCAAATACTTATTGGTAGTCAGTGTATAACCTAAAGGGATATTAACGATTTTAACTTGTATCAAATTTACCAGATTTTGATTAAATTTAATATAAATATTAGTGAGAAATAAATTAATAGTAAATGAAAATCACCGAAATTTTCAAATTAAAACACAAGATAGTTTGTGAAGAAGCGAATATAAAAATGTAATTTGATCGTGTTTAAGTTATTTTTTTTAAATTATAAAAATACATTGTAAAAGGATCATACAGGTCTCTTGCATAGCTGAAATTGAGAATGCATTCGGCTAAAATTTCGTTCTTTGGAAATTTCATCGTAATGACGCATAATAATATGTACAAAAGTATTCAAACAAGTAATTAGCAATTACTATTGTACAGAAACACCGTAAACCACAATAAATTACCTTTCTAAAGGCTCTGGAAATTAATACAATCTAAAATATAAGCAGCATTTAATAATGCAACTGAAATAAAAATATTAAAATTATGTATATTATTGTGGATCCACAGATTTCAATAATGTTTTTTTCCCTCATCCTGAATTATGTTATTGCTATTATTCAAAATTAGAAAAAATATAAACTAAAAACATTATATGTACGTAACGTAATTATACGTACGTAAACATACGTAAACATTGACAATGGATTTCGTGTATGAAAACTGCAATGGCGTAGACTTCAGATTACCCGGTACACTACCGAATGGGGGTGACATCCACGATTAACCGAAACTGATAGAAATATCAGTTTAAAAAAATCTCATGTGTTTTTCATATGACTTCTCCGAACGGCTTATTAAATTATACGCAATTTTGCTGCCTTTCGTTTAAATTTATTTCCTCGATTTTCCATAGAATTAATTCTTGTTCAATTGATTCAGTTCTCACTTCCCGGCAAAGCAAAAACGCATAAAAACTCAAAACATCTTCCTTAAAAATTGTAAAATATACGAAAACACTAAACAACAAATACAGTTAAAAAAAATGTTTTTACAGTTAAGATTAGTGTGTCTACGCAAAAACAAGCAATTTGGCGAGCATGCAAGGTGACAATTTTTAGGTGCACAAAACTGAAAGTTTACTTTTGCTCCCACTCGGCAAAAAAGACACTGACGTTGGTGCAGAGACTGACTCAATTCACTGTTCTTCTAATGTAAACGACGTAATCAAATGTAAACAAATGATGGCTGCGTTAGGCTTAGCATTACTTTAAAAACTTTTACATTTTGATAATTCTTTTAAAGCATAAAATACAAAATTTATAAACATATAAGAATAAAAAAAGACGAGCTTACGGAGCCAAGTAACAGAGTAGGTGTATAATTATATGCGGCCGATTGTAATCAAAAAGGGGGTGAACAATTACTCGTCATAGCAGTCCCATACACAAAATTTAGCGTTCTAAGCCTACTCCTTTTTGAGGTATGCGAAATACATACAGGTACGTCTGTACGTCTGACGTCTGTACGTACGTATATGCGTACATATATACGTCTGTATGTACAGACGTCACGAAATCCCTTTTACAATTCTTTGGGGGAAAAGCGTCCTTTATTCTGTCCGTACATACAGATATCACGCAAAAACATTGTTCAGATGGATTCAAGAACGGTTAAAATGGATATTTTCGTTGAAATATACAATATAACTTCGTATAGGGAAGTATAAAGAAAATGAAAAGAGGAATAATCTGTATTTTAATTAATAGTTACAAACTGAATTGCAGTCTTAAACAATTTAATTTGGAGATTAAGTTCATTTGATTATGCAAATTAAATCAGCATTCAAAACAAGAACACAAATAAAAATAGAAAAGAAATTGCTTTTATATTATTCTTATATTTCGATATGTGTCAGTAGGAAACAGAAAATGATTAATAGCTGCGCATTCATTTGTGTGTTTGGCAATTTATTTATAATGGATGAGATTTATTATTATTTGTATATTCCATGTTATGTACAATCAAATTATACACTCTTGAGGATACAAAGAATTCCTAAATATAGTGACATCATTAGCCAGCAGAGCTGTTTCTCAAGGATTTTCTACTCCTTTTTCGGACTTCTCCAAGAAACTTTATTTTTTCTGATGGTCTGTGACAGAAATTTTTCCATCGATCAACAATAATCAAAATTAACCTTTTTACTTCCTTGTACGAATTAAAGGAAGTATTTTATCCGCCAAAATTTTTGGATATCATATTTCAACGAAAATATCCATTTTAACCGTTATCGAACGCAACGTAACGATGTTTTTGTGTGACATTTGTACGTAAGGACAGAATAAAGGACTCTTCTTTTAAAAAGAGGTTGCAGAAAGGATATAAAATGGATTCAAAAGAGAATTTTTTGTGAGGTCTGTATGTACGTATATATATATATTTATCTCGCATAACTCAAAAACGAGTAGCCTCAGAACGTTGAAATTTTGTATATAGATCTCCCATAACATGTAGTTGTGCACTTCCCGTTTTGGATGCAATCGGCAGCACCAAAAGGATATAAACACACACATATATATATACCCACTCTGTTACTCGGCTCTGTGAACTCAGTTTCTTTTATTATTATATGTTCGTAAATTGTGCCTTTTGGGCTTTAAAATGATTGAATTGTGTTGTTCCTTTCTTCCGCTTAAGGTTCTTATGCCTTTATTTAATTTGCATGCAATAGTTGTAGAATTATCAACAATTTAAAAATTGTTTAAGTGTGGCTGCCTGATTTTTTTATATTTATCTCGCATAACTCAAAAACGAGTAGCCTCAGAACGTTGAAATTTTGTATATAGATCTCCCATAACATGTAGTTGTGCACTTCCCGATCAACCACACCAAAAAGATATAAACACGCATATATATACCCACTCTGTTACTCGGCTCCGTGAACTCAGTTTCTTTTCTTATTATATGTTCGTAAATTGTGCGTTTTGGGTTTTAAAATGATTGAATTGTGTTGTTCCTTTCTTCCGCTTAAGGTTCTTATGCCTTTATTTAATTTGCATGCAATAGTTGCAGAATTATCAACAATTTAAAAGTTGTTTAAGTGTGGCTGCCTGATTTTTTTTTACCATAGCAGCCATATTTATTTACACTTGAAACTTTGCAGTATAGTGAATTAAGTCAGTTTCTGCACCTTCAGTGTCTATTTGCAGAGTGGGTCCAAAAATAAACTTTCAGTTTTATGCAGTGAAAAATCTGGCGTCTTGCCCGCTGGCCGAACTGTTTGTTTTTGTACAGAAACTCTAATTTTAATAATCTAATTTTATATTTTTCAATTTTTAATAAATAAATTTTGAGGTTTTATGTATTTTTGCTTTGTTGCGAAGGGAGGACTGAATTAATTGAATAAGAAATGTACTCTAATAAAATTCGAGGAAATAATTTTAAATGAAATGCAGCAAAAAATGCGCATAATTTATTATTCCGTACAAGGAAGTTATATCGCGTACATACTAGATTTTCTTTTGCTTCCCGTTACGAAGTATTATAATCATGAAAAATTTCGAATTTCAGATCTGAACGAAAATATCAATTTTAGTCATTTCCCAATCCAGTTTCAGTATTTTTTGGGTAACATCTATATATACGGATAAAATAAATTATGCTTTATTCCAAAACAGATAGTAAAATGCATTCAAGAAGGATTTTTTGTGACCCATCTGTACGTACGTACGAAACAGCGTACCTCACATACTTCAAAAACTATCAGCCCTAGAAAGTTGAAATTTTGTATATGGACTTCACTAGATGTAGCTGCGAACCTTCCTTTTTTTATTGCAATCGGTAATACCATATTTATATATATAATTTATTTTATAAATAATATTGATCTGAAAAGAGAGAATCCATACTTAGTTAAGTTCTATTTCGAAAGATGTTTTTAAGTAACTTGAATGTAAATTGTTAAAAATGTTTAAGGGGGACTGGAATTAAATCATGAATAATAATTGTAAAAGGAATAAATTAAAAGCAAGAATTAAATAAAATGCAAGTAATCATTGTCATTGATCAGAAATTAGTTGACTTTTCAAGGGGAACAAACCAACTCCCGTTCAATGAACAATAATTAAGAAATAAAATACGAAGGTGTTTCGTCATAAGTTGGATGACTATCAGTTGAATGATTTGTACATAGTGTAATTACTAAGTTGTATATAATGTAAAAAGCTAATTGTCTTCAAAGTTATGCTGTTACTATGCTGTTACTAAAAAATGGGCCTATTTCATAATCTTTAGTCTGTCAAATAGCTCTTTCACAGTGAAAATTCCTTTTTTCCTTTCTTAAGGAGTATGAGAAACTCCTATACCGACATTGCTAAATTGGCCATTTTCGATGTACCTTTTCTCAAAATCTGCTGTAAATACAAGCTTGAATTTTTTTCTGTAATTAAAGTATACCTACCTGATTATACTGAAATGAGCTTTTGAAGCATTTTGAATTTTAGAGTAAATTACAGAATATTTTGTTAGGCATAGTAAAATTTAGCACTTTTCTCACACAAAAAAATTAAAAAAGTTTTTTCTTCTAAGTTTATTACAAAAAGTTCATTTTAGTAAATATTAGGGAACCTAATAAATAAGCCATAAAACGTTTCCATACCTGTGAGCAGTAGTTCCTGAGAAAAGGTACATCGAGTATAAAAAAATTACGTTTGGAGAAAAACGCGTTTTTATGTAAAAATCCTCATTGATCAAAGCAGTAGATGACAAATTAAAACTAGATGTTTTACAGTTCTAATTTTCACAGAGATTAAAGAATGGTATTTTTAGAAAGATAAAAGTGTAGAGAATTTGAAAATGCAAAAATCCCGAAATCACAATTTTTTGAAGATTTTGGGGTTCCAACACCCCTTAAATTCTTCATCACTACGACACGACAATTAGCCAGAAATTAATTAATTTCCATTCACTAGTATTTTCAAAAAAATTTTAATAGACGGTTTTACTTAAATAAGAGCTCTACAGCATACGTCCTTCAAGAATTCCTAGTCCCTGCCACACCATAAATTACTTCACACAAGTCTTACAGACTGATATAATTCAAAGCACCCGCGCCGCTAAAGAATTTTCTGAACACAACCCTTCTGAGTCAGACGCGAAGAGAAGACTTTGCCCACTGACAAGTAGAAAGAACGTAAGTTAATTAATGCTTTTTCTGGCCTTTATATCTTCATGTACATTCACTTTTCTTCTTATATATATTTTTGTTTTTTATTGTTTATACAAAGATTGCATTATTTTTCTTATATTTTGTAATTTTCTAATGTTTATTTCAACTACTTTGAATTATATTTCATAATGACAGTTTCCAATGTTTAATTTTTACAAATAATATTGAACTCAAATGCATAAACACGAGGGTGTCGGGGAATGCTTACTCAACCGATATCACTTTTACTTCAGAAATTGCTTTTCACTCAAAATTGAATTAGCTAAAATACTTAATCGAAATGAGTTCTTTGGATTTCATTTCGATTAAGTTCTCTGCATTGGTTCTTAATCCCTTCTATTCACGGAAATGTTTGGCCTGACTTGAATTGCCGGTTTGGCATAGCCTTATTGCTCGAGTAAAGGACGAAACACCTTCGTATTTATTTCTTAATTATTGTTCATTGAGCGGGAGTTTGTATGTTCCCCTTGAAAAGTCAAATAATTTCCGATCAATGGCAACTGATTACTTGCATTTAATTTAATTCTTGCTTTTAATTTGTTCCTTTTACAATTGTAATTCATGATTTAATTCCAAGCCGCGTTAAACATTATTAACAATTTACATTCAAGTTACTTAAAAACATCTTTCGAAATAGAACTTAGTAAGTATGGATTCACTCTTTTCAGATCATTCAACAATAATTAATCTTAGGAGATAATATAATTAATATTATTTATTAAATAAATTATTATTAACTTCCTTTGCAGCAAATGCGCAAGTAGTAGAATAACATAATTCCGCACTCAATGAACATAAAACATTATATATATACAGTGGATGGACAAAAATATGGAAACACCTTGTGAAATGCATGTTTGAAAAGAAAGATTGATTTTAATGAAATATGTAGGTGGCGCTGGCGTTTTTGACTACTGACGCCACCTATACAACTTCGTAAATGTGCTAACAGTTCAGTTGTTGTCAGAGTACTGTTATGTGAGGTTGTCATTGCATTATGTCAGAGTTAACAGACTTCGAACGTGGGCAAATTGTTGGAGCACGTATGGTAGGTGCTTCCGTAAGCAAGGTAGCCGAGGTGTTTAGTGTTTCAAGAGGTACTGTATCGAAGATTTATTCCGAATATTTGAAAAACGGAAAAACATCATCTGTTAAATCACAGCGCGGACGAAAGTGCGTCCTGAGTGATCGTGACAGACGATCATTAAGGGCAATTGTGATGAAAAATAAGACCACAGCTGCAAAAGTTACTGCTGAAATGAATGTTGTGTTACCGAATCCTGTGAGTACCAAAACAATTAGAAGGGAGCTTCATAAACAGGGAATTGCTGGCCGTGCTGCAACTGAGAAGCCACTCATCAGTGATGCTAATGCCCGTAACAGGAAAAGGTGGTGTTTAAGTCATAAAGCCTGGACTATAGAGCAGTGGAAGCGAGTAATATGGTCTGACGAGTCTTCTTTCACATTGTTTCCCACTTCTGGCCGAGTTTACGTCTGGAGAACGCCATCTCAAGCCTATAATACAGACTGCTTGTTGCCATGAGTGAAACATGGCGGGGGTTCTGTTATGATTTGGGCAGCCATATCGTGGTTCTCTGCTAGCCCCATGATAACTGTGTCAGGGCACACGACTGCCAAGACTTATGTGAACATTTTGGCCGATCCAAGTTCATCCCATGGTACAAACTTTGTTCCCCGATGGTGATGGTGTCTTCGAAGAGGACAAAGCCCCTGTTCACACAGCTCACATTGTCCAGGACTGGTTTTCCGAGCACGAGGATGAGTTGTCCCATCTCCCCTGGCCACCACAGTCGCCAGACCTTACTATTATCGAACCTTTGTGGTCTACATTGGAACGGAAAGTGCGTTCTCGTTATCCACCGCCAACATCGTTATCTAAACTTGCCACCGTTTTGCAGGAAGGATGGTATAATATTCCCTTGGCAAACATACAGGAACTGTATTTATCTATGCCGAGAAGACTGCAAGCTGTTTTTGGATGCCAAAGAAATCTGTTTTTTTAAAGGTGTTTCCATATTTTTGTCCAACCCCTGTATATATATATATATATATATATATACCCATCCCCCTTTTCTGGCCCTTATTTACGCAATCATTGGGAATAATCATATGCTTCCAATAACCTAATAATAAGGTTTTAATTTACATAAAGATACAATGATGTCGAAATGTAAATTACGTAAATTTTATCATTCGTATTTTTCATTTCAGTTATTTTTATAATAGAAAGCTCATAATAAACCTAGAAAATTTTAGAGTCGCAAAATCTATCCGTCTATGGCATATCGCCCATTTTGTGAACAAAAGGGCGATTTCGCGCCAAATCTGGCAACCCTGCGTTTGATTGCCACTTTCTGGCAAACCTTTGCGGGGAACTATCTTACTGCAGCCAAAAGGGCGATTTCACGCCAAATCGGGCAACCCTGCCTTTTTATTGCCGCTTTCTGGCAACCCTTTGCGGGAAACTATCTTAGTGCAGCTGAGCTTTTCGCAGTAATATATTTTAAAGTCAAACTCGAATTATTTTTCAAATTTATTATGATAAAAATGCATTTATTAATTTTACTTATATCACACAATTTATATATATATTTTTTTTTGCAGAAAAACAAACTGCCTGGAGCAATTTGTTCTTTGGTTTGCGGAGGAGTTGATATTGGCTCTGCTATAGCTAAAGACACACGTTTACCCTTAGTATCTTTTACTGGCAGCACTGATGCTGGTCTGAAAGTTGGTATGGAAGTGCAAAGCAGATTTGGTAAAAGTCTGCTAGAATTAGGGGGTAACAATGCCATTCTTGTTGCTGAGGACGCAGATTTAGACATGGTAATCCGATCAGCGCTCTTCGCTTGTATTGGCACTGCTGGTCAAAGATGCACAACAACCAGAAGGATAATAGTTCATGAGAAGGTAATTTATTTCGCATAACCAATGAGATTCTTGTTTAAATTTTGCTTGCAATCGGGCGCACCAAAAGTATATAAATATATATATATATATATATCCACTCTGTTACTCTGCTCAGTGATCTCAATTTCTTTATTCTTATATGTTTGTAAATTGTGCAATTTTTGCTTTAAAAATGATTGAATTATGCTGTTCTTATCTTCCGGTTAAGGTTTTTATGCCTTTAGTAAATCTGTATGCAATATTTTTAGAATTGTCAACAATTTAAAAGTTGTTTAAGTGCCGTTAAGCCTCATAATTTTTGCCATGTCGGCCATCGCTTGTTTACATTTGAAACAACAGAATAGTACATTTGTTGCCAATCTAGAGAAAGTAAGCTTCGCCATTACAAAGATAACGCCTTCTTTTATTATTGCGAATTAAATCGTCCTTAATCCATTCTGGAATTTATTCGGGGAAATAAGTGTTTAAGATTTACTTCATAATTTTCAATACAGACATTTTGATGTATTTTGACATTTTTTATGTATTTTTGCCGTGTCGCGAAGTGAGAACTGAATTAACTGAATGAGAAATACTGAATCATCTGCAAAAAACTGTATCTTTTTGTTTTGTTTTGTTGTTGTTTGCTTAATTTCTTTTATACATCGTTTTAGATTTATTCTAGTATTTGAATAGAACACGTGGCAACGATTAGATAATTCTTAAGATGATATAAATTTTGTGCATTCTAAGTTAAAAAATGAAGAATAATAATTTTTATGAAATTTTTAAAATGCCTTACAATACATCCTGCAAGAGATGGTGCCACCAGAGCTCCAGTCCAATAAAATGCTTTTTATCCCTACTAGCGGCACAGGAGCCTCCGTCGCTAGTAATCTCTCAGTTCTAGCACAGCATGTGCACAAGTACTTCCATATCGTTGGATACAACGTACTCGATTTTATCCACCCCCAAACCATCAGCAACGATACTTGCATTGGCAATTGCGTGTTCATACGCTTCATCAAGGCTACGATTATTGAGTTCTGATATAAGATTTTGTAAATTGTCAGTCACGATTTGTAAATCACATTTAGAGTTTTGCATTATTTCATTTACCACATTTACTAAATTCAAAATATCGTGTCAGATGTCAATGGAACAAATGAATTATTTAAACGTCAAACCATCTGAATCAACTTTTTTGCTTGAGTTCTTAATTCCATGTCTTTTGTTTGATATTCTTGAACATTTATGAACGCTCTCAAATTTCCCTTCAAATCGTTTTCTTCGATCTTCCGTTGCGTCTTAAACGGAAGCCAAAAGCTTGAATTCTACTTTCCCATCTGATGTTGGACAGTGGTTTTAAAGTAATATATGTTTCGTCCTATTCTTCTCCTCCTGCTACTCCTCCTCCTGCTGGTCCTACCGCTGCTCCTCCTCTTGCTGCAGCTCCTCCGGCTGCTCCTTCTCTTGCTGTTCCTCCTCCAGCTGCTACTCCTCCTGCTATTCCTCCTTCCGCTGCTCCTTCTCTTGCTGCTCCTCCTTTTGCTGCTTCTTCACTCGCTGCTCCTCCTTCTGCTACTCCTCTTCCTGCTGCTCCTCCGTTTGCTGTTCCTCCTCCTGCTCCTCCTCCTTTTGATGATCCTCCTCCCGCTGCTCCTCTTGATGCTCCTCCTAAGCCTGCTGCTCAATGAGGTGGAGCAGCGGGAGGAGGAGCAGGGGGAGAAGGAGCAGCAAGAGGAGGAGCAGTAAGAGGAGGAGCAGCAAGAGAAGGAGCAACGGGAAGAGGAGCAGCAAAGGGAGGAGCAGTATGAAGCGGAGCAGCTGGAGGAGGAGCAGCAAAGAGGAGGAGCAGCAAGAGGAGCAAGCAAGAGGAGGAGCAGCAAGAGGAGGAGCAGCAAGAGGAGGAGCAGCAGGAGGAGGAGCAGCAGGAGGAGGAGCAGCGGGAGGAGGAGTAGCAAGGGGAGGAGCAGCAGGAAGAAGAGCAGAAGAAAGAGGCGTAGCAGCTGGAGGAGTAGGACGAAACATATATTCGTGGGCAGAAGTATTTGTTTTCGGGGCCCACGTGCCATTCGAGACCACCCATTTTTTCACGTTCCGCCCGCAGCCCGCCATTCTATAATTGTAAATACTAATGTTGTAGTTTTAAAGATAATATTGTAAAATTTAAATGATAAATATCGCACCTGCTTTTGGAGAAGGGGAGAGGAGTGTTCTTAAAAGTTAAGTATAATATATTGGTAAAGGCAGTTAATGGTCGATTTCCTGTTACTAGGTGATAAGATATAGACATAGACGTAGTTAAAAAATGATTGAAATGTAGCGCTTTTAAGTGAACCTAGGGCCAGAGTGTAGTTGTGGTAAACAAATATAGTGAATTTTAAAGAGCGCATTTATTCTATTGTGGTTTATGCGCTGTCGGCGAAGTAGATTTAATTCAATCCAATAAGTTTAAATGAAATGCAAGAAAAAATTCTTATACTTTAATATTCCGTACAAGGAAGTCATGTGGTGCACACATCAGATTTTTTGTTCCAGGTTCACAATGAAGTGGTTGAGAGACTGAAAAAAGCATTCGTCAAAATAAAGATTGGAGATCCAATTGAGCCTGATACTCTCTATGGTCCTCTGCATACTAAACAAAGTGTTGATCAGTATTTAAAAGCTATTGATCAAGCAAAAGAGCTAGGTGGAACTGTTGAATATGGTGGAAAGGTATTTGTGATACATCTTTCTTTATAATGAAACAGATAATAATTAGCTTTTAATGTTTGGTATTTATTGCTTAGTTATTAATTTCATTGTATTTATTATACTTACTTATTGTTAAACTTATTTTAATTGCTGCTTAGTGTTATCAAGTATTTTCCCTTTCCTTTCTACACGCATTCGTGCTGTAACAGTAACACGCTCGGGGCGTATTCGAGAGGTCCAAGTTCGAGTCCCGCTGCGGGTATTTCACATCTCCTGATTCAAAAAATATCATAATGACTCTACAGTGGTGGATGATGATTCGTCACCACCAGGATTTTACGATTGGTTTCTCAAATTCAAAGTCACTGTTTAAAAGGGGGAGTATATAAGGTATTTTCTCCCTTCTTTGTGCATGCCTTCGCGGTGTAAAGGCAGCACACTCGACGCGTGCTCGAGCGGTCCAGGTTCGAGTCCCGGCTAGGACATTGTTCATATTTCATGTCTCCTGCTTTAACCCTCTAAGCGACTATAATATTTTTTCTGATATCTATAAGAACGTATATATACGTGCATATTAAAATATGTCAAAGAAACTAAGGCAGTATATCAAAAGTACACAAATACAGGTATGAAATGCCAGGAGAGTTTTTATATTAAAATAAAAAAAAATTGTTCTTATAGTAGTTTTGGGAAATTTGTGCTTTCTTTGCTAAAACCCTGGCCGCTCAGAGGGTAAAAAAAACACCTACTAACAAGTGCTTCATTCTAAACTAGTTATTTTGGTGCTACTTTGGTAGACGGTTGCGCGGATTTTGGCGATTTCTTGGCGATTTTCCTTTGGCGAGTAATACAACTTATGGTAAACCCATTGCTGGATAAGTTATTTATGGTAACCGATACTTTGTTGTCATTTTATTAAAAAAATAATGCGTTTTTTGTGCATAAATTCCGTGTTTAAAATATTATTTATGTCTTTTAAATATTAAAAATCAATTTAATTTTGCATTTTATTTGAAATAAAAATTTTATTGTTTATCATATTTTATGAAATTTTATGTTGTGGATAATGTACTCAATGACGTCACCTTACTTTAAAAGTAATTCGTTTAAATATGCATAAATTTAATCTAATGTTTTAAACATTATTTATGGCTGTTAAATATTAAAATACAATTTAATTTTGCATTTTTTTAAATGATTTTATTATGTATGAATTTTTAAATAATTTTAATTCTAGCCGTGATGTAATAAGCTCTCTGATTGATTATAGAACATTTGTGCATTAACGAGCTGTAATCAGCTCCCTGATTGGTCACTGAAAATTTGTGCATTTCTGCGCCGTTTTAAAATTTAATTCATATCTTCGAATTCCTTCAAAGATGTTATCTAAATTATGATTCCGATTTTTTTGTGGTACTTATCAATAAACAACAGGTTAAATGACTCAAAAAAATGTAAATACATATTTTTCTTTTATTTTATGATTGTATACTTCAATTTTTGTTAAAAAAAATTAATACACTATTTTTTAAAATTTCTGAGATAAGTATTGTCCATATGTTTTAATGTTAATTATATTCTATATAACGTATTTTAAAGTATTTGAATTTAATAATATTCTAATTCTTTTAAATGTTGGTATGATGGTTTTTAATTCGATATTCAATTTCAGCAATAATTTAATCTAATTAAACGTTGGCACAATGTTTTTATAGCGGTATTTTTATTCTCTTCTTTGCTATATGAAAGTAATAATAACCTTACTTTAGTATTTTATACTCATAGTAAATGTATTTATTTACACTTGCCAGCCATCTTAAAAAACGACATTTTCAACAAAAAATTAATCCATTACTTTTAACGATATTTATTTATTTATTTATTTATTTTTAAGTTTCGAATACTTTACTATGCCTAAAAACAGCGTTTTTCAAGATGGCTGACGTTTGTAAAAATCGCGCCAACAATTGCGCCAACGTAAATCGCCAAAAATCCGTGCAACAGTCTACCAAAGTAGTATCCAAATAAATAAAACACAATACTTCAATTTTCTCAGATATTCGTGCAATATTACAATATCTCACAGTAGTTATGTCTTAACTACTCAAACGTTCAAGAGAACTTAATTCAAAACACCTAAAGAAATCCGCGAATCCTAATCCGCGAATTCGCTACAGTCAACAAGAGCAGTTTTCTGAGCAAACTCTTAAAACAACAACAAACTAACATCACAACGAACTGAGAGGTTTTCCTCCTTTTATAAGATTTTAAATCGCACGCGAGAATTTTCTGAAACTTTCTCGAAATCAAAAAGAGATATTTATTTATTAAATGTTAAATGCACGTGCTCTTGTATTTTTAAATTTTTCGGCTTTCCTTTAATATTCGTCACGCGCTGCACTGCGCGGGAAATAAAACCATTTAATTTATAATTGAACTAACATTAGCTTTTTAAATACCAAATTCGTAACAATATTAACGTCAAATACTTCATTTATTCAACATTTAAAACACACACACTCAGTGAAACTTAATCTTTTCTTAAAAACAAAACATCGGGATCTAAAAAGAAATCCTGTATGAAAATTGTTGCCACGAAAAAGAATACAATAGTATGCAAAGTGAACATTTATTATTATTAAAATATTTGTGAGTTACTTTTAAATTAATTGTTTCCATTTTATGCCGTTACATTTACATAATTCATGCAGTTACATTTTCAATGACTTGGCTAGTTCGGTTACCGGCAAAAACATCGCCGACGAAAACGTCGCGGAGAAAACAACGCAAGGCGAAAACGTCGTGCTACAAAACATCATGGAAAAAAAAAAAACATCGCAAAGAGAAAACATCGCATTTCTAAAACATCGTCGTCGAAAATAAAGCGGTTCAAAAACTTCGCAGTTTAAAAACATCGTCGTCGAAAATATCGTGGTAGAAAATAAAGTATCTACAAATCATCGCATGACGATAACATCGCAGACATGATTTTTTCAGGTTTTAGTAATTGTAAATGGATATTCCCATAATGATTTGTGAGCGCAAGATGGAAAGAAGGATAATTTTTACTTTCATATTTTTTATTAATTAATAAATTTTTGCGGAGAAAATAAGAAGGAAACTTAAGCATAGAAAATTAATGCAACTTATAGCACTTAATAGAATTTTAAACCGACATAGTTAACTAACAAAGGCCATTAATAAATCCTTTTATATAAAGTTTTTACTGGTAATTTTTCATGAAAAGTGTAATCTATAAGTTGCATTTAATTTTCTATGCTTAAGTTTCCTTCTCACTTTTTCAGCAAAAATTTAATAGTTAATAAAAAATTATGAAAGTAAAAATTATCCTTCTTTACATCTTGCGCTCACAAATCATTATGGGAATAACCATTTACAATTAGTAAAACCCGAAAAAAACATGTCTGCGATGTTCAATATCGATGCGATATCGTCATGCGATGATTTGTAGATACTTTATTTTTTACCGTGATATTTTCGACGGCGATGCTTTTAAACTGCGAAGTTTTTGAACCGCTTTATTTTCGACGACGATGTTTTGTACCACGATGTTTTAGAAGTGCGATGTTTTCTCTTTGCGATGTTTTCTTCCACGATGTTTTGTAACACGACGTTTTCGCCTTCCGTTGTTTTCTCCGCGACGTTTTCGTTCGCGATGTTATTGGCGGACACCGGCTAGTTCAGCATGTTTAATTTAGTCATATTTTAATTACATCGGTATGAAATATTACCACAAAAATTTATTAATACCAAAAGTGATTAATATGCTAATTAAAAACCCAGTGATTTTTATATATGCTAGCAAAAGAACAGAATCCAATCACTTGAGAGCAAAGAACGAAATAATTTCTAGGCAGCTCTCAACTGATAAATTTTCGAAGAAAATTGCTTATGAAGAGTTGTTTATGAAATAAATTTTTATGTATTCAGTTTACAAGGTATTTCTCTCGCTCTTAGCATGCCTTGGTGGTGTAGTGGTCAGCACGCTCGACGCGTATTCGAGAGGTCCTTGGTTTGAGTTCTGGCGAGGGCACTGCTCACTTTTCCTCTCTCCTGCTTCGAAATAACTTAATGTATCTACAAGTTATGTTATTTTTTCTTCATGGATATCTGAAATTGATTTTTACGTACTCAATTATTTAATAGGTTCTTGAAATGCCTGGAAATTACGTTGAACCGACCATAATAACGGGTCTTCCACACGACGCAGGACTTGTACATAGCGAAACATTTGCGCCTATCGTATACATTTTGAAAACATCAAGTGTTGACGAGGCTATCAAATGGAACAACGAAGTAAAGCAAGGCCTGTCGAGCAGCTTGTTTACACAGAATCTTGGCAATATATTCAAGGTTTGTGCAGTCAGTAATTAAAAAATATTACGCCTTTTTCTCGTTTATTTTTTTATTACTTTATTTTCTGTATTGTTCGTTATGATATTGGATAAAAATGTACTTTATCACTACAGCAAAGTATAAATTTTGTTTGAAATGTACTATATTCTCTAAAACAGGGATGGGCAAACTTTTTCGGTCGCGGGCCAAAAATCAAAAAAAAAAAAAAAAAAAAAAAAAAAAAAAAAAATTTGGCGGGTCAAGATAAATTTCCTAAAATTTTAAAAACAATATACAAGTATTACAATTTAAATATGTTAACGAGATGAATGAAATTGCGATTTCATTTTTAAAACTTCCTTATATTGAGCTTCGAAGTGATTCTAAGGAACGAGGCTAAATGCTCATCAGTCTGTCTACTTCTGAAATAATTCTTTTCTAAGGTTCATACTTGAAACATTTGTTCACAAAGCAAACATAGCACTGATTTTCTGGGCGTGAGATATTAAATTTGGGAAACTTACGTTCGATAATGATTTGCAAAACTCTAACTTTGGCATATTCAGAAACAACTGCTTGAGATGATTGTTAGATTGCAACTCAATTAATTCAAGCTGCAAATCTGAGCACACTGCTTCACAATTTATGTTGAAAGGCATGGTAAAAATATCCACTTCTGTTTGAATGGCACTGAAATCTTGAGATCTGGATACTGTTTATCTTCTTGAAAAAATTTTGTCGGCCTGATAATTTTTTACAAAGACTTTCTACATTCTGTTTTCTTTCATATTCTTCGTAACTGGAATTCTTATGCTTAGATGTGAAATGACGGAAAATGTTACATTCTTTGAAGACTGCTACAACTTCATTGCAGATGAGACACACTGGTTCATCTTTTACAACTGTAAAAAAATATTTCCAGGTCCACTCATCATTAAAAGCACGGTACTCTGAATCAACTTTACGTGTTTTAGTAGCCATTTCGGGGTTGAAATGCTTTACGAATAACCCAAACAAGCACTAGCTACGCTATACTTTTAATAATTTCACCACTATTCGCAATGATGCTATGTGTCCGCAATTTTTCCATACGCAATGAATAATATTAGACCTCGCGTCCAAAGAAAAGGAGATATGTTTGCTCCCCGAGAAAACGATAGCGCTTGTTGGCGCCAATCTACAGCTATAACTAACAAAGAACTTCCCGCTTTTAACACTTTACCGATTGAAAGCTGTCTGTGCTTGCTATTTCCGTCAATTTATGTTTTGTAGAACAAAAATATAGAAAAATAAAAAGATCATCAGTCATTTGAGAAAAGGAAGAAAAAAATAATATTTAAACGAAGTAGAAAAGGAGATGGATATATAATATATAAATATATATTTCTTTTAATTTGCCTCGGACCGGCAAATTTAAATTCTATCCGCGGGCCGGATGGAATCTACAGGCGGGCCGGTTTTGGCCCGCGGGCCGTAGTTTGCCCATTGCTGCTCTAAAACATACGTATTTATTATTCTATACCAAATTCATAATTTAGATAGTCTTTCATGAAGGCATCCCTCCCCTTAGGCATATAGCCCTCGCATACTTTGGCTTAATAAACCAAACCAAACGTAAAATTCATAAATTTAGAATAATGCATTTTTAATAATCTGTTCTTTTCATTTAATAAAAAAAGCATTACGAGATGTTTCAAAAATATTATATGAATAAATGCCTCTTGAATTTAAACCCATGCTCTTACAAAATGGATCAAAAGGGGTTGACCATTAAATTCAAGCAATTTAGGTCAAGTATATGTGGGACGGTGAAACACAGAAATCTGGAGAATGTCGACTTTCACCGGTGAATGTCAACATTCACATAGTCGCTTGGTGTATGTCCGAAATATTTTCCAAATAACTCTTATTTCTGACTGACACCGGTCAATGTCGACATTCGCCATGTACTAATGGTGAATGTCGAACATATAAGAATATTATATTTTCTTCTCCGTACTTCACTCACGAAAAAACGCACTTGAGACTTAAAATAAGAACTTAAGAACATAAAAACTTAAAACACACAGTACATTCAAATTGAGAAAAGAAAATAATAGAAGTTAAAAACTTACCAAATTATGTGATTCAAATCTTATTTATTGCAACAACTTAAACTATTAGGACACTTTGAATTGCACAAGAGGCCCTTGCTTTTACGACTGCATTTATTTGTGGAACACTTCCTTTTGCAATGACAGCGTGTACATATACTCATCTCTTTTCGTCCTACACCAGAGCATATATGTGATTGTCGACATACACAGGTGAGGGTCCGAATGAACAAGAATGTAATGCAATATTCGATCTTTCACCGACGTATTTGGTGAATGTTGACATTCTCCGGTGAAATTCGGAATTCTCCAATTACTGCCTTTCACGGTAACATATGTACGAAATGTACAAAAAATGTAGAAAATTCAAGTCCATAAACATGTTAATAAAAAAATGCAGATTTTTATGATCCTTTGCGAAAAGTATCAATAAGATGATTGTTTTTAGTTGAATTAGTTAAAATATAAAAAAAATGTGAAACATCAGTCAGTGTTTCACTTTTTTTTTATATTAAAAAAAGTCAGTGTTTAAATAGGACTAATTCGAGCTAGGCAAGTTAAGTATTCAAACGCCGATTTTTAAAGGTTTAACGGTAGGATAATATCAGTTTAGAAACAACATTACTTTCAAATTACCGTCTGCAGATGGTTTTCAAGTTAATAAAGCAGTAGCAAGATTTCTTATGCATATATTTAGCCTTAAGCATAAAGCAAAAATCAACGAAGAAATGGTTCTAATGTTAATAAAAAGCCAAATCGCTGAGATAAGTCAAGTTTTCATCACATTTAAAACTTTTTGCATTGGAATATACATATTGATCCTTGCCCACTTCCTAAATTTGAGAATCTTTAAGAAGTAAGTTTTAACATATTCATCTCAGAATGCAGTTTTACAGCGTTTATCACATCATACTTTTTTTTTTCCCTCTTCGTACTTTTCGTTTTAGAAAGAGGGAATATTATAAGGAATTAAACCCGAGGAGTTAAATAACAATCATGTACCAAAAGCCATTGCAAAGCAGATGGTAAATTCATATCGAGTGATCATTATTTTATGATGTAAACTCAGCTGTTTTCTGCCATTCTGTAGAATGATTATGTTGATTATGTTCCAAACTACGCAACCACGAAGTGAACGAACGGAAAACGTGAACGAACCACAAAGTGTGACCACGAAGTCTCAGAAAAACTTTAATAGTTTGTTGTTTGGGTATAGACTAATTTACACCTTTGGTAAGTGATAAGTGATAAGTGACGGTGGACGTGGGCACTGTCTCTTTGCCGTAAAGATTAATCAGTACAGCACCACGTCCACCCTTATCTAAAGTTGGCTAGAGATTGCATATAGGTACGTATAGAACATAATAATTATTCCTGTAATTACGCAAATGAACTTGGAAGAGCTTTCATGCAGGGCTAGTACATATTCATACTTTGACAAGCAAGGTTCAAAGTTTTTGTGATAAGCGGCGCAAATTGCATTATTTTGACATGCGCATCACCGGTGGCGCACAAAGCATCAAATGGATATTCCAGCTATGTCTGTGTATGGTGCAGGATCCCATGATCAGTGGTTTCAGTGGCATTATTGATTCTGTTCTTCAGGTCTGCAATGTTGGACACTTTTGAAATGTAAACAACGGCTTTAATATAGCCTCACAGAAAGAACTCCAAAGGGGTTATATCAGACGAACGTGGTAGCAATGGGTCCATCCCTCCCGATCCATTTATTGGAGAATTATTCTACCGAAAAAACTGCGAACACATAAAGCCTAGTGTGATGGCTTTCCTACTCAAAAATGACCTTTGGCTGACGGTCCTGAAACTGTGGCCAAAATGTAATTAATAAATGTATTGAGGTAAACTCCGACTGTTACTGTTTGTTCATGGCAGAAAATTGGTCTTCAAATCTTGTCATGTAGCATTCCCCACCAAACATTTAATTTCATGCTGTCCTATTTAAGCTGCCTTGTTACATGAGGGTTTTCGTCGTTACATGAGAGTCCTCAAATCTTCGCATTACCTGTATATCCTGGGAGCCATACAGGTTGTAGGGTTTATATTTATTTTAACTAACATTTATTTTAAGCTATCTTTCCTGTCAAGCCTTTACTTTCCCCTGGAATTGCCAATGCCAGAGTATTTAAATTAGTAGAACGCGCAGAGTATTCAAATTTTTAAGCAGAAGTAATTTGAGTTAATTAGAAGGGAAACGAGTTTGTAAGTGTGCTTCTTGATTCACGAGCGTGAAGGTTGCTTGGTAGAAGTTTAAAAACCGCGCGTTTCGGCCTCTGTGCCTACTTCGGCAGTTAGTTGAATTCTTTCAACGTCTTAATCAGAAAGTTTGCTGAATCTCAGCTGTACCTTAGAATGCGGTTAAGATAGTTACAATTATAGAGCCTCGTAGATAGTGACTTCGTTAGTTATGCATCCTGTTATTTATTTTTAGTTGTACTTTTCTATTTTTTGTTACACCGCCGGGTCGGCGTAGTTTGTGAGCGTCAAGTGAACGCCACTGTAAGTTCTAAAGGGAAATAAAAAGGGATTAAACCCTTCTTACGAGTTTGTGTAACTTCCAGTTCATAGCAGTCACTACTACTGTTGCGGGCAAGTTGGGGCCACGCAACATCACAAGGTAATGCGAAGATTATGTTCTTAGGAGAAAATACTTTTGATGTACTTGTAATGACAACAGAAATATTTATATTTCTACCTATTACAGGATGTCCACAATAATAGGGCAAATTTGTTCAGAGACATCCTGGACAGTCTGTAGTTTGTTATTGTAGAATTTTATACCGACAGCCCGAGGAAAAGGCACAAAATTTTATCGTTTAGTAATTTCTCCAATGGTTCCGAAAACATATGAATGTGGACTTGATATTTCCCTTTACAAATCTTTCTTTGGGCCCAATGAATTAAGAACGTGCATTGAGATTAATAATGTTCTATTAAGGTCATAACCATAAATCTCTGTCATTATCATTCCCCCCGGGGGTTGACTCAGGAGAATTCCTGGGAAGTACTGGTTCGGATCTGTATCTAGGCAGTCTTAACCACGAGGGCATACAAACAGTCTTCACAGGAATAGAAATCTTCACAGGAATAGAGTATTGTGCTCAGGTTGGTTCAGGTTTGGCAGGGACCGTACTGGTACTGTCGTGTCTGTTCCTCTGGCTGTGGTGGAGCTATATTGTAGATGTAAGTGGGTCTTCTCGGTGGGGGTTTAGCCCTCATAGTCCCAGTAACGGGGACTGACGGAGTAAGGTGAGGCACCAACATGAATGTATCTGATGCCAAGGGAGTGGTGCCCCGAGGCAAAGGTGACTGAGAGTTGTATTTTTGTATTAAGTATTTTCTTCCATCTCGCTGAGGCTACGTATAAAGCCGGGCAGGGACTGTGGGGTCTGCGCCGCCACTGAGGGGTCCCTCCTAGAGCCCGGTCATCCAACTTCGCAAGGAAAGACCAGGACGAGGGTCTGGTCTCTAGCGCACTGTCATTATCATTATAGCCAGTAGCAAGACACTGTACCACACAGTACTAATCTAGGGTCTAACTTCTAATTCACTGCACTAATTACTTATTCCAGCTTAACATTGCGCACCTAATATTTCAGTATGTACATGTCTTGTGTATCTAATGATAATGCTTCAAAGGATCATAGTGTACTCAACATATGAGTACACACGTTATGTTTTGTTTTTGTTTTATACGGGCGCAGCCCTTCCGCCTGGTTTGTTGAACCTTATGAAGAAAAGAGCGCGCAACCCTTCCAACAACAAACGACACGAGCCGGCGAGCCGGCCGTGTCAAAAAAAAAAAAAAAAAAAAAAAATCAATTTAGCAGATTAACAGAAAGAAAAGAAAATTAGGTTAGTATACTAAAAAGAATAACACGGCACATAAAAACACAAAAACATTTAAACATTTAATTATTTCCCTGGACCTTTGCATATAAATTCTTTCTCTCCCTTTAAGGGTAGTTTCCATAAATTGAACGCTTTCAGTATGTTAGCTCGATCAATCAGAGATACCGATGACACGTTTATGAGAATTGATGACTTTCATAATGTCTTGTGCAAATTTTACTCCTTTTTTATAATTTTGAATCATTTCTCTTACACTTTCGATTCCATGTAAACAACGGCTAACAACTGTAGCTTAAACCATGAAATTCAGTTATGTGTAAGAAGCTAATCCAGCAATAATAGACAATGTGCTTTGTTCACTAACAATCCTGCATGATAATGTAACGCACATTCGCAATACTTTTTCGCAATACTCTCTTACCCCCCGGTGAGTGTACAACTTTCAATAAAATGAATGCAGTCACCAGCAGTATCACATTTAAGGCATAAATTTACCCCCTGGAGGTGGAATCTGTGTAAGTACATAGGAAAGCGTCCATGCCCTGTTACTAATTGATTATAGTCTTTATCGCAAAATATAGGCATATTCTTCTTAATTATTATATTTGACAAGGCCTCTGATCTTCTAGGAGAAACATTCCATTGATCAGACCAGGTTTTATACATGTGATCTTTCATTTTGCTAATTGTAACTTTTTTAGAATGTTGTAGATCAGCTTCAGAGATCCCATCCCCCAGATCAGCCTCCTTTGCCAGGGAATCCACCCTCTCATTCCCAATGATACCATTATGGGCCTTTACCCAATGAATATTGATTGACATTTTATATTTTAAATTCATATAATCATTTTTAATTTTATTCATGATATCATTTTTATGGTCCGGCCGAGAGGGGGGCGACGAGTGCTGAAGAGGCATCCGAGTATATATGAACTGTACATTTATAGATCAAATTGGATTTAATCCATTCCAAGGCTTTATAAATGGCGTATAGCTCTGATTGATAAACTGAATTATGTTTATCCAGTATGTATTTTTGATAATGGACCTCCAAACCATAAAAATATACGACAAACGCACATCCCACACCTTCCTCGAAACCGGAGCCATCTGTATAGATTTCATATTCGCTGGTAGTCAATACATTGCAATCAAATAAAATACCATGTCTCTGTCTTGGATGAATCGAATTATTGTCAATTTGGGCAAATGCGTTGCTTTCAACCAGGATTCCATCCAGAATAAGAGAGCTTTCTATTGAATATTGTAATAGGAATTTATTGTAGAAAAATTTATAATGAATGGAGAGAGGGGCAACCCCGGCCAAAATACATGCGACTTCAGATGAAACTGTTCTAAAGCATCTAGTGATAATCAGAAGCCATCCTCTTTGTATTGAATCAAGCTTAGTTCAAAGCATGGATACGGTAGCATATACACACGTTATGTATATATTCTACTGTATCCATGCTTTTGCATACACCTTGTAACATGGCAATGTATTATCCAGTGTCTAACATTAATTAGCTTTACCGCCACTGTATAAAGTACCAAATTTGCATGTATGTTTATGTGTTAGTGTATTAGCATAATGACTACGTCTGGTTATCTAGATAAAGGTGGACGTGGCGCTATACCGATTAACCGTATTGGTAGAGGGGTGGTGCGCACGTCCTCCGTCGCATGTCATTATCATTATCTGGCAATAAATTGAATTGATAATAATTTCTAACCTTCATTGCTAACTGTAGCTTAAACCCATGAAATTCAGTTATGTGTAAGACGCTAATCCAGCAATAACAGATAATGTGCTTTGTTCACTAACAATCCTGCATGATAACGTCACGCACATTCGCAATACTTTTTGCCATTATGCTGATGCAAAGGTATTCATAAACGACATCTTACACTAAAATATAACCACGTTTTGGATTATTTAGCTACAAGTAGGTTGTAATTTGTTTTAAGCAAAATGAACGTTTCTTAATCCATTCTGGAGGTTCTTCAGCACATTTAATAAGCTTATAATGAAATTAATTAAATAAAATTTGATTCATGATTCACATTTCACCATTCTTTCATATGATTAATTATTGTTGCACAATAAAATTAATTAGAGACACCATGCCAAAAATTATTTATATACATTATTAAATTTTAAATAAATATTAAGAAGGAATGCTTGTAGCATTACTTTAGTGACAAATTCTAATAGGCTTGAGGATATTTAATTTAAAATTTTTTAGCAATATTTATTTTGTGCTTAAATTTTCTAAAAATATTTATTTTCTCATACAGAAATTTGTTGTTTTAAATATGATAATTTAAAATTTCAGTGGCTAGGGCCTAAAGGGTCTGATTGCGGTGTCGCCAATGTGAACATTCCTACAAATGGTGCTGAAATTGGTGGAGCATTTGGAGGTGAAAAGGTAAGAATATATAAACACTTTGGAGAATATTTTTATAATACAGGGTGCGGCAGGGGAACTTCCTTATTTGAAACGCTCGCCATCTAGCGGCATTAATTCCGAAAAGGGGTGGAGTGGCGCTCATTGAAAAGAGCGGTATCTAACGTTTTAGGTCGTGTAGGCAAAGCATATGTATTGTTAAGAAGGAAAGCTTCGCAGCAGCAGGAGTGACTCCTCCGAACGAAAAGGGACACAACTGCGCATGCGTGAAATATCTGTCGCCAAAAAGCGCCAAAGCTCGAAGCCGATGTCGAAGTTCGAACGGGTTCGACGGTCACGTTTATCAAGAGTTTAAAGCTGTGTGACTCCATTTTTCTCCCCTACATATTGACAGATATAAAATCAGACATCAAACTGCGATATGGATAATACAAGTTCAACTAATAAAGCAAAAAAGCACGAAAATTCGAGTTTAAATTATCGCGAAAAGTCAAAGAACGATTCATCTTAACCCGTGTTCCTCAATTTCCTGTACAGGTGGCGAAGGTGGAAAATCTCGGCCAGGTACATCCCAAAGGGGAAAATTCTCGCCAACAGGTTCCGTCGCCAAATCCCTTGGCGAATTGTCCCTCTTCTTTCTAGCGGCGTAGAAGACAAACTGGTTTACATTACGTCTATGGAACCTTTCCTTCTTTACATAGACTTTCTTTGGTGTAGGTTTAGTACCGATCATGCAGTGAACGAGAGAGGAGTGCGCCGTGAAGTCGTACTTTTCTACCACGCCGTGAAGTACTTTACTACTACGCCGTGAAGTCGATTTAAAGTTTTTCTGGGACTTCGTGGTTTCTGAAAAGTCGTACTTTTCGCCGTGAAGTCGTACTTTCTACCACGCCGTGAAGTACTTTACTACTACGCCGTGAAGTCGTATTAAAGTTTTTCTGGGGACTTCGTGGTTTCTGAAAAGTCGTACTTTACGCCGTGAAGTCGTACTTTTCTACCACGCCGTGTGAAGTACTTTACTACTACGCCGTGAAGTCGTATTAAAGTTTTTCTGGGATTCGTGGTTTCTGCAAAGTCGACTTTTCGCCGTGAAGTCGTACTTTTCTACCACGCCGTGAAGTAACTTTACTACTACGCCGTGAAGTCGTATTAAAGTTTTTCTGGAATTCGTGGTTTCTGAAAAGTCGTACTTTTCCCGTTGAAGTCGTACTTTTCTACCACGCCGTGAAGTACTTTACTATACGCCGTGAAGTCGTATTAAAGTTTTTCTGGGACTGAGTGTGGTTTCTCCTTTCTTTTCGCCGTGAAGCGTACTTTCTACCACGCCGTGACTTTACGCCGTGAGTCGTATTAAAGTTTTCGGGGACTTCGTGATTCTGAAAAGTGTACTTTTCGCCGTGAAGTCGTACTTTTCTACCACGCCGTGAAGTACTTTACTACTACGCCGTGAAGTCGTATTAAAGTTTTTCTGGGACTTCGTGGTTTCTGAAAAGTCGTACTTTTCGCCGTGAAGTCGTACTTTTCTACCACGCCGTGAAGTACTTTACTACTACGCCGTGAAGTCGTATTAAAGTTTTTCTGGGACTTCGTGGTTTCTGAAAAGTCGTACTTTTCGCCGTGAAGTCGTACTTTTCTACCACGCCGTGAAGTACTTTACTACTACGCCGTGAAGTCGTATTAAAGTTTTTCTGGGACTTCGTGGTTTCTGAAAAGTCGTACTTTTCGCCGTGAAGTCGTACTTTCTACCACGCCGTGAAGTACTTACTACTACGCGTGAAGTCTATTAAAGTTTTTCTGGGACTTCGTGGTTTCTGAAAAGTCGTACTTTCGCGTGAAGTCGTACTTTTCTACCACGCGTGAAGTACTTTACTAGCCGGAAGTCGTATTAAAGTTTTCTGGGACTTCGTGGTTTCTGAAAAGTCGTACTTTTCGCCGTGAAGTCGTACTTTTCTACCACGCCGTGAAGTACTTTATACTACCGCGTGAAGTCGTATAAAGTTTTTCTGGGACTTCGTGGTTTCTGAAAAGTGTACTTTTCGCCGTGAAATCGTACTTTTCTACCACGCCGTGAAGTACTTACTACTACGCGTGAAGTCGTATTAAAGTTTTTCTGGGACTTCGTGGTTTCTGAAAAGTCGTACTTTTCTTCGCCGTGAAGTCGTACTTTTCTTCGCCGTGAAGTCGTACTGCATTTTCATACATATAAATCGGCAGTGGTGCAAAAACTTCATCCACGCGATTTTCTTTCACGAAAAAATGCAGGCAAAGCCGTTCTTGACAATACGCCCCCTCATGATGCCCTTGTGTTCTTCAGTGATGAGGTTCATTTTCCCACCTTTCCGGTTGCAGCATGCATGCGATAATGGGGTGGCATGAATCCCCGAGAAGTCTTTGGACCCCCTCCATGCAGAACGTGTGACTGTTTGGTGTGCATTGTCCAGAATAGGTGACAGGTGACGGAGGACGGGGACGCCTGATGTTTAACGGAGGTAAACAGGCATATGTCCCCCGCCCTCCCCTATATAGATACAAGAACTCCCTGGGGTCCCACAAGGGCGCACCGGGAGTTACTGAGCCTTCATGAAAAAGTTTACATGGTCATACAGAGGCTATTCCAGTTTGACATTGGTTCTGTACAGATTCTTATGTTAATGGTTGACCTGGGTGTTCATAGGCCATAATGCATACATGAAACATAACATTACATACATGATAGATGACATGACATTAAACTTATACATAATACTTGCATGAATTAGTACATACATACTTTACACTTCACATGACATTAGACTACACATACATAATGCATGACATCAATATACACTTATTAGAGTTATAACCTGACTGTATACTACGTTAAGCTAATTGTATTGCGAACTTGCTAAGTTACTTTATAACTGGATTACTTATAGTTTACATTACTGCTATTACTTCTTAAATGACATTATGCTATATAACAAGATAGGCACACATACTTTGCCTTATAATCATATATGCGTTACTTAAAATAATACACATGGGGCACGCGTTACACGCGCTAATGACTACATTACATTACCGATTACGTTATGTTAAAGGTGCACATAGTACGACGTATTACACTCATTGATTAAATTACTTACATTACACTATTACTTACATTACTTACATTACACAGTTACTTATACACTTACATATTTACAATTTTAGACATAACGCCTGCTAAGTTACAATAGAGACATAGAATTATTGCGCTGTGTATGCTATTATTCCTATGTTGGTTGGCAGACATCCTGCCCTAGGGCGCTCAGCTGCTGTATAATTTTACATATATTTCTTATCGCAGGTGCGATTGTCCAGAATAAGCATCACTGGACCATGGTTTTTTGGAGAATATTTCCCTGGACGGCTTACCTCCTTACGGAGCGATCGTCATTGGCCAGCGCGGTCGCCTAATTTAGCCCCCTGGGATTTCTTTTTGTGGGGCTACCTGAAATCTTTAACGTCCAAAGACCGTGGCTCAACTGAAGAACAATATTCAAGCTGCTATCGACAACATACCCGTTGATAGGCTGGTAAAAGGGGAAAGAAACTTCAAAACTCGGCTATCTCAATGCATTGACCAGAACGGAGGCCACCTTAATGATATTATTTTTAAACCGTAATAAAAAGATACTTTAAGTGTCACTCTATAACTTGAAAAAAAATTAAACTGATATCGCTTATACTATTTGTGTTATTCACTTTAAAAATAAGGTAGTTTCCCTGCCGCACCTTGTACATCAGATTATGAATTTTTTTATAATACATCCGCTTTTTTTTTACGTTCCAGACCGTGAAATGTCTTCATTAGTTACCTTAATAATTGAATTTTAATATTAAAAACAATATAGAAGTTCATAATTGAATAATTGAATCGAAAGGTGTCAAATGGGCCTATGTGACAAAAGTAAAATTTTACAGGAGCAACAAAACATTATTCCATTCTTCAGAAGAATATCAGAAATCAACAATACAAATTTATCACATTGATGTAACTATAACGTCTTCTGGTGTATTTTTCAAATGTCTTCTGACAGATTTTCTGAGAAATGGGGTAGTCTTTGTTGCTCCTCTTAAGGGGTCTCATACACATTAAAGCCCACCAGCGGCCGAGCGGTAAAGTCGCTGAACACTGGTAGTTCGGTCCGAGGTTCGAATCCCGCGAACGGACTGGCTGCATGGGTGTTTTCGTGGTTTTCCCCATGTGTAACGTATATACGAGCCAGTTTCCTTAGAAAGTCCTCCACGAAGCCATTCCTCCCCTTAGGCAGATAGCCCTAGTGTGCTTTGCCATAATTAAATACACCAACACCATACACCTTAAAACCCATAAGATCTTCGAATATGTGACTGGTGCAAGAATTGGAATAACTAATTTATTTTAAAAACAATTACTTGCAACTTTTTACAGCTGACTACATAATATAGCTGCTTTTCAGAAAGTTTGTGTTGCCACAAATACTTTTATAATTTAATCCGCTTTGTGACAAAATGTTTCGTCATGTTTCCACCTTGCGCCCGCAGTTTAAAACATTCTGTTGCATAATTTAATTCCATATTTAATATGTAGCTTTTATAACATTTGAAAAGTACTGTTAACTAAAAATTCTATGAATTTCATGTTAAATTTTTATTTTATTTGGAGTTGAGTTTATCAAATGTATTTTATTAAAAAAAATCTGTAATGTTTTCGTGCATAAGATTTTTTTTAAAATCTTTTTAAAATTTAAATTATTTTAAAATTTAAAACCATTTTTAAAATAACATGCGCGCAAGGTGGAAATATGACGAAACATTTTGTTACAAAGCGGATTAAATTAGAAAAATATTTGTGGCAACACAAACTTTCTGGTTACTAGTTCCCAAAGCAGCTATATTATGTAGTCAGCTGTAAAAAGTTGGAAGTAACTGCTTTTAAAATAAATAAAATATCCCAATTCTTGCACCAGTCACATACTCGAAGATCATAAGGGGTTTAAGGTGTACGAGCCCCCTTAAATTTGACTTTTGTCACATATCCTTTTTTTACATCTTCTGATACAGTTATACTTCATTTAGGGCCTAATCACTTGTTTTAGGATTTTTAGATACCATCGGGCAGAAATATTTTCCTTATTCAATTATATTTGTTATTTCAATATTCGAGCTTATTTCTTCATACTTTGTTTCTAAAAATAATCTAGTCCAGGGTGGTTTCTTAAACTTTTTTCAGTCGCGACCCCTTTTCCTCAATGAGACCTTTTCGCGACCCCCAGGACCCCGTAACATTTACAAAAATTTTGTGGGATCCCATAAGTATTACGCAAATCCGATACACACTTGATTGAAACTGTCAATTTTTTCACTTTTACTGTAATGTACTATTGCAGTTTTAGGTCATTAAATTTAATTTCTAATTTTAAGACATAGAACAATGTGAAAATTTTAAATGAGTAACAGACGAAATGACAGCGTCACGTGCAAAGCAAGAAAAATGAACGCTTATATTATAAAAAGAATGCGTCGAAACGTTTTCGTTTTTTTTTTTTTTTTTTTTTTTTTTTTTTTTTTTTGTATTGTTTTTATTTGTTTTCAGATATATTGTGTAAAAATATTTGGTAATTGTAAAATTATTATAATAAGCTAAAGAAATATCAAAATTGCTAACATTTTCGGCGACCCTATACTACAGGTCCCGCGATCCCCTTGAGGGTTGCGACTCACAGTTTAAGAAACGCTGATCTAGCCAAACGTGTTGCCGCATCAAATGTTTCGTCAAGCGAGGAATGTAGTTACCTCACTTGATTTCTGTTAAATACATTATTTGGCTTGCAGGTAGTAGAAAAAGAATCAACTATTCGAATTTTTCAAACAACTGTATTGGTAGTTAAGCCGACATTCGTAATTTTACTTCTTACTCTATGATTCGAGATTATTCAACTGTGAAGGGAAGCAAAAAGTAAAATTAAATTTTCTTTGATTTACTACGGTGAAAGATTTGTAAAATTAAGCAACGAAATTAACAATAAGTAAATAAACTTTAAAGAACTGCTACATTAAAGAGCTACAACAATTATGCAAGTTTGAAATGAAAATTCTGTGGGCGTTATCTGTAATTCGGAGTAGATTTTATTTTTACTGTACAAAATAATTTAATTTATTATAGGATGAATTCTTAAGCATGTAAATTTTCTCAGTTTGTGCAAAATACTGTGAAAAATACCTTAATACGTTTTAAATTTCATTTATTTTTTAGCACTCTGGCAATGGCAGAGGATTAGGAAGTGATTCCTGGAAGCAATATATGCGAAGAACCACGTGCACTATCAACTATTCAAAAGAATTACCTTTAGCACAAGGCATTAAGTTTGAATAGTTTTTAGGTCACATATATTATTATCAATTTTAAATAAGTTTAATTGACGTCTGAAAACATGCATTTTGAAATTCTTAGTTTTCAAAGTTTTTCAGACTTCAAAATGTTTCCCCTGTATATTTCGTAAAACGCATTTGTATATGTACTCATAGTATTGACAATTAAGATGAATAAACGTTATCTCTTTGAGCTTCCATTTCAGAAATTAATTTATTTGGGAACTCTTATTTATCATTTTTTTATTTTGAAAAATATGCATCATTTCTGTTAAATGATTACACAATTCGCTAAATTTTCGCAAGCACACGTTATACTCAATGCATATTTCGCAAAATGTTTATGGCACGTTGTGTATTAGATACACTCTGTACAAATTAAATGGGACAGTTCCATATCTCCCATTTTATTGTACCAGTTGACGAAATTTAATTTGCATATTTCATATCTCAAAACTCCGACTTAGAATATACGTAGCATATTCGGAAACTAAGTACCGTTTCATTCTAGCGCCGTCGCAGCGCTGTGGTAGGCGTCCCGCGCATGCGCACTAGTCTTTCTTGTTCACTGACTTTCAATTGTCGCCATTTTGGTTGCTCTATGTTGTATTTTCAGTTTGCTGTGCACATTCAAAATGTTTAAGACAATTAGTTCTCCCGCTGACTGTGAGATTCGTGCCGTGATTAAATTTTTGAACGCGAGGAATGTTAAACCGGCCGAAATTTATCGTCAAGTGACAGAAGTTTACGATGAATACGCGATAAGTGATGGATTGTGAGAAAGTGGGTAAGAATGTTTAATGCAGGTCGAACAAATGTCCACGCCGAGGCTCGGAGTGGTCGGCCTTCTGTTGTCACCGATGATTTGGTAAGGAAAGTTGATGAAGCAATTCGTGAGAACAGACGCTTCACAATGACAACTCTTTCAGAGGCATTTCCACAAATTTCACGTACTGTTTTGTTCGAAATTGTGTCTGACCGCTTGAGTTATCGCAAACTGTGTTCCCGATGGGTTCCAAAAATGCTCACTGATGTTCACAAAACAAAGCGACTTGGTAGTACCCTGACATTTCTGACGCGGTACAGTGATGAGGGAGAAAACTTTTTAAACCAAATTGTGAGAGGTGATGAAACTTGGGTGTGTCATTTCACACCAGAATCGAAACAACAATCGATGGAGTGGAGACACACTCATTCTCCGAAAAAACAAAAGTTCAAAGTGACAATGTCATCACAAAAAATCATGTGCACTGTCTTCTGGGATAGGAAAGGCGTTTTGCTTACTGAATTTTTTCCCAGAGGTGAAACCATTAATGCGGCACGATATTGTGAGACTTTAACAAAACTAAGGCTTGCCATTCAAAACAAACGAAGAGGAATGCTCAGTAAAGGAATTGTGTTGCTTTATGACAATGCTCGGCTCCACACTGCTGGTGTCACTCAATCGTTAATTCGACAGTTTGATTGGGAGCAGTTCGATCACCCGCCGTACAGCCCGGACTTGGCGCCGTCCGACTATCACTTGTTCCTGCACATGAAGCGCGAGCTTGGTGGCAAGCGCTTTGGATCTGACGATGACACGAAAAATGCTGTGGAGTCGTGGTTATCGAAACTGGCGGGAAGTTTCTTTGACGATGGTATACAAAAACTGGTCACCCGCTATGACAAGTGTGTGTGATCATTGGCGGAGGAAACTATGTTGAAAAATAGTTTAAGACATGTATTTTCACGTAAAAAAAAATAAAATTGGATTCGAAAAAATTGTTTTACTTTTTTTTTTTTTTTCAAAACGGTACTTAGTTTCCGAATACTATATTATATTTATATATAATATTGCTCTACCTAGTTATTTTGACATAAAATCGGGCTTTCCTGAAATGATATACCGATTATATTTCCATATTTCGATTCTACCTCTCAAAATTATGCCGGAGTATTAAATTATAAAACATAACGCGGAAAACCTATCGAGAAATTTAAAAAATTCTCTCGGCTTACTGTTTTCAATATGGCGAAATTCTTAATTTATTGGTATCCTAATTTTCTTTCCCTTTCATCGTGCACAAGCCAAAGCAAAGGTGCATCAGTCATTCTTTCGAATTATTTTTAGTACAGTACGTGAACCGCATCGGATGTTATTATTGCTTATAACAAACATGTCAAATTCCAAAACGCAATGTCAAATATGTAAATTCAAGTATATCTTGAGATATTTTGAATAAAAATTTTTTTGCAGACATACTTAAAATTACGTCTACTTTGAGGTATTGGTAAAAATTTCATAGGTTATAAGTCGAAAGTTTCTCGAAAATTTTGTGAATATTACTAAAAAATATAGATTAAAAAATAAATTAGAAAATATCTGCGAATTTTATTTGGATTGAACCTAAATTTCGAACCGGGAATAGGTTCAATTAAAATTGAGAAGCTAATATTTTGAGAGCTACTTTTCTTAAAAACAAATCGCACTTTTAGATAATTTGAGTCTTAGCATCGAAATATGAAAAAATCTGATGTGTACACCCCATGACTTTTTTGTACGGAATATTAAATGTCCTTGTACGGAATATTATATTTTCTTGCATTTCATTTAAACTTATTGGATTGAATTAAATCTACTTCGCCGACAGCGCATAAACCACAATAGAATAAATGCATTCTTTAAAATTCACTCTATTTGTTTACCATAGCGACACTCTGGCGCTAGATTCACTTAACAGTATTATATTTCGCTCATATTATAACTCAGAATGCACAAAATGTATATCATTTAAACAATAGAATTAATCGTTGTCACATGTTCTATTCAAATACTGTAATAAAGCTAGAATGATGTATAAAAGAAATTAAGCAAACAAAACAAAAAAGAAACTTTTTCACAGACGATTGAGTATTTCTCATTCAATTAATTCAGTTATCACTACCCGAGAAGGCAAAAAAATACATAAAAAAAAACTCAAAAATATCTGTATTAAAAATTTACGAAGTAAATCTTAAACACTTATTTCCTCGAACAAATTCCAGAAAGGATTAAGCATGATTTAAATTGGCAATAATAAATGAAGGCGTTATCTTTGTTGTTGCGAAGCTCAGTTTCTCTAGATTGGCAACAAATCACTCGTCTGCTGTTTCAAATGTAAACAATCAATGGGCGCTATGAAAAAAATTCTTAGCGGCACTTAAACAACTTTAATATTGTTGATAATTCTAAAAATATTGCATACAGATTTACTAAAGGCATAAAAACCTTAACCGGAAGATAAAAACAACATAATTCAATCATTTTTAAAGAAAAAATGTACAATTTACAAACATATAAGAGTAAAGAAACTGAGATCACGGAGCCGGGTAACAGAGTGGATATATATATAAATATTATTATATACGTTTGGTGCGGCCGATCGAAACCAAAATACGAGGTGCACATCTACATGTTATAGCAGTCCTATATACAAAATTTCAACGTTCTGAGGCTACTCGTTTTTGAGTTATGCGAGATGCGTACGTACATACGTTCGTGCAGACGCCACGAAAAATTCTCTTCAGAATTCATTTTAAAGCAGTTTTGTAACTTTTGAGGAAACGAGTCTTTTATTCTGTCCTTACGTACAGATGTCACGCAAAAACATCGTTAAATTGTATTCGATAGCGGTCGAAATGGATATTTTCGTTGAAATATGCTGCCTGAAATTTTTCGCGATTACAATACTTCCTTTTTTACTTCGTACAAGGAAGTAAAAATTGATGTCTGTTTTCATAAAATGTCTTTTATGTCAAAACGTCTATGTTAGAAGAATGCTATATATAAATCTAACATATAGCCTCACTTTTACTGTTCCGATGTGAATTTAACGGATTATTAGAAGATAACACCAAGAAATTCGCCGAGGTGTGAGCTAGCGAACGCAATTCATCCTACTCTCCACCGCGTTTATAAAGCCCGTTTTTCTGCTGGCTCCGTCTACACACACGTGTACGCTTACGTATTTGCCGTACAAGATTTGCATTTTTATCTAGAAGCAGTGGTTTTTTCTTCAGTTCAGTTCTTTTTATGCAATTGGATAAAATATGCAAATTCTCTCAATTTATTTCACCAGTGTATTATTATCAGATAACAATATTAGTACATTTCAGTTTATGCTAATATTTTAAGTTTTCTAAGTCCTGAGTAATTATGCTGATGTTTAAAGTTTATTCAAGTTCCCAATGAATAAATTCCCTCATATCGAGGCTTATCTGAGTACTAAAATGAAGATTTCTTAACTTCGTAATTCAGACAGTACTATAGATTATTTTTTGTCCTTTGAATAACGTTTATTTTTTGGATTTGGGGAGATATCAACTGAGTGAACACATCACTGCGCCGTTAACTATGCGCGGCGGAAATCTGCATTTGTCACTAAGCGACGCAGATAACTGTACTAATAGAAATGTCTGCTGCGCATGCGTGATTTACACTTCTAAAGCAAAACGCTAATCTAACTCTGTCATCAAATTTTCAAAGCACCCATTTTCTTCACCAAACACTCTTCTTCGCCCGTTATTTCTCTTTAGTTTTTAGAATCGCCAATGTCCAAATCAAGATGGTCAACTTAAGGGCCACGTTTCTGTTATCTTCCCGAATGACGAATAAGTTTAAGGTGAGAAAAAAGAAATCCTGAAATGTTTCGATGATTAAATGATACAACACGTAATTTGAATAGGAACGCCTCTTTTACATTTGATTCCTTTCTAGCTTTCAGGTCTGTTTAACATGTGAAGATGATAACACAGCTATGCAGATTTCGTGGAAATGGGGTTACCTAGAACTGTTTCTTTCAACTAGCAGGTACGCGTAACTAATGTAGATGAGACAACGGTTTAACGTTGAGATTCGCAAAAACGGACATTTATAGTATTATCTCAGAGACATTCGCTCAGTGACGGAATCATTTTTCTTATACGACTCCACCAGCAGCAGCCTTAATGAGAAACATCGGGAATGAGAAGTGAATCAAGAGCGGTTAGCAAGGATTCGAAGGAGAAGTGAAATCAAAAGAATAGACTCAATTAAATGCTAACCCTTAAAATTGATTTCTTTTAATTGTAGTTTTGAGATTACATTATAAGGTATTTCTCCTGCCTTCTTAGCATGCTTTCGTGGTGTAGTGGTCAGCACACTCGGCGCATATTCGAGAAGTCCGTGGTTCAAGTCCCGGCGAGAGCATCGCTCATTTTTCATCTCTCCTGCTTTCAAAAAATTCTAATGTCTCTACAGTTTAAAAATTCCTTTCTACACAGAACTAATTAAAAAAATTCTAAACTAAAGCACTCAGGATTTGGCGACTAGGTCCCCTAAAACCCTAGTCGCTCTTTAAGAAGGGGAGTATATAAGGTATTTCTCCCACTTCCCTAGCGTGCCTTCGTGGTGTAACGGTAGCACGCTGGGCCGGTATTCCAGAGGTCCGTGTTTCGATTCCCGGCGAAGGCGGTTGCATATTTTTAATATTTTCTGCTTCCAATTAACCTAATGACGCTAGAGACTCACTTTTAACATGGGAATATAAACATTCTTTCCTTCCTGGGAATGGAACTTCCCAGGCACGCTTCCAGCAAGAGCCTGGGCGTTTTTTTGGCGAATTAGGAGTTTACGAGCAGAGCAATTTAAATCACCATACCTCCTTTCCTGACAAGCGCAAACAACATGTTCTCATAAATGGTAAAAGCGTTTTCTGTTTTCTGGTATAAACTGTTTATCCACTCAGAGTGAATCAGTTCTTTGAATCATTTGCGAAGCATATTCTTGCTTAACTATGATGCCAATATTAGGCTGTCCTAAAGCTAGAGCTTAAGTTTGAGCCAGTTCGTCACTAATTTCTATTGAAAGACTTTTGGTGGTATTTTAGACTAACAAATCCCTTTTTATGTAGTCTGGTTTTTGTGTTTTTGTAAGACGTATGAACAGATATAGCCTCGAAACTATCCATACAGAGGCTGTTCGCACATTTTTTAGACGATTTGGTAAGCGGTAATAAAAAATCGTTTGCTGAGTAATTGCAATTGTTGTACTATGTTTTTAAAAGTCAAAATTATCGTCTGTGGCTTGAAAGTTTTGTTTTTATTCAAAATGGCGAATTTAACAAAGCAGTGGTTCGAAGGCTACATTTACGCTCTTTTCGAAGAGAAATATGCATACTCCGTTATCCAAAAACGATGTGAGAGTCACGGTTTTGTGATATCTAAAGCGTCGATAGGTAATATCATTAACAAGAAAGGATAAAAACGTCAAATTGGAGCCTCAAGTAGGACAAAAATTTTAAACAAGTATCCAAGGAAAAAAATGGACATCTTCGACTATTGCAAAGGTACGTTGTTTAATGTTAAAAGAAAACCCCCCTAGTTAAAGGACAGTTGCAAAATAGTTAAAATGCTCGGTATCCACTGTAAACGAAATGATAAACGTTGATTTAAATCTTAAGAAAGCGAAAAAACGCAATGTGCATCGTCTTCTTCCAAAGCATATCGCTCAACGCAGGACACGCTGCAGAAATTCTATATGAGAAACACTTATCCAAAGAAAATTGGAAAACAATTGTCCCAATAGATGAAGCATGGGTGTATTTAAATGAATGTAACAAAAAAAAAGAGCCATTTATTTTCATAAAAGGGGAGAAAAAAAATTAAGTACATGGTTCAAAGAATCAAAAAAAAAATTTCTAAGGGATTCATGATTGTTGCTGGTTTTTCTTATAATGCCAAGTTAAAAATAAAGAGAGTGCAAAAAAATCTCAAGATTAACTCTATTCTATCAGGAACATATTTTATCGCCAATTTTTCTGAATGAAATACCATCGCTTTACCCACAGTGCCATCCATCTGTGAGACTCCATCAGGACAAAGCTAGCAATCACACATCAAAATCCACTGTAAATTTCCTAAAAGAAATGGAACAAAAAACTGGTATCAAAGCCATACCCTTTACTGATATCCCTACTGAATCTCCCGATGTGTCACCTGTGGATTTTTGTGCTTTCGGACTTTTAAAACTGCATTATCCAAACGTTGTCCGAAAACCATAACAGGACTCTGGAAAGCTGCTCGGGAGGAATGGGATAGAATATCTCTTCTGCGACTTCAAAAGGCGTTATTATCCTGGAAATTGCGGTGTAAATTAAAAATTTTTCATGAAAAGCATGTTAAATAAAGGCTTTTTTGTCTTTTTAAAAATTTCTTTGTATGAAGTTAAGGAAATATTGTAATCGCGAAAAATTTTGGGCATCTCATTTCAAACAAAATATTCCTTTTAGCCGCTTTCGTATCCATTTGATTGATGTTTTTGTGTGACATTTGTACGTACAAACAGAATAAAGGACTCGTTTTGACAAAACGGGTTGTAGAATGAATTTAAAATGAATTCAAAAGAGATTTCTTTCTCGACGTCTGTACATATGCATGTGTTACCGTGAAAGACCGAAATTTGAGAATGCCGACTTTCACCGGGGAATGTCAACATTCACCAAATATGTCGGTGAAAGATGGAATATTGCATTGCATTCTTGTACATTCGGACCCTCACCGATGTATGTCGACGATCACAGATGTGCTCTTGTGTATGTCGAAAAGAGAGGTCATAAAGTGTCAAAATAGTTTAAGTTGTTGCAATAAATAAGATTTGAATCACATTAATTTAGTATGTTTTTTATTACTATTATTTTATTTTCTCATTTAGAACGTACTGTATAATTAAGTAAGTTTTTTACTTCTATTATTTTCCTTACTCATTTTGAATGTACTGAGTGTTTTAAGTTTTTATTTAAGTTTCAAGTGCGTTTTTTCGCTATTGAATTACGGAGAAGAAAATATAATATTCTTATATGTTCAAACATTCACCATTAGTATTGTTCGACCGTCTCAAGCGCAACCCTGGTTGGCACTCTGCCAAAACACATAGAATCGTCCAAAAGGAGCGGTATTATTTGCTGTGACGTCAAAGGTCTTCTCTTCTCAGGAAAGAGCTATCTATGCTGGAGGGAAAGAAAGTCCTCATCCTTCCACCCTATTTTGGGAATAATTCGGTCCGAATGGCGCATGCGTGTTTGCGCTCATGGTGGCAAATGAGGAGGTCAATCTATACATGGTGAATGTCGACATTGACCGGTGTAAGTCAGATATAAGAGTATTTGGAAAATATTTCGAACATACACTAAGAGAATATGTGAATATTGACCTTCACCGGTGAAGGTCGACATTCTCAGTCAGTGTTTCGCCGTAACATATGTATCTCACATAAATCAAAAACGAGCAGCCGTAGAACGCTGAAATTTTGTACATGGGAGTGCTGTAACAAGTAGTTGTGCACCTCTCCCTTTTGTTGCAATCAACCATACCAAAGTACTTTAGTCTATAATATACATATTGTCTTTCTTTTACCCCACTCGGTGACCTCAGTTTTTTATTCTCACATGCTGGTAAACTGCGCATTTTTTTTCTTAAAAGTTATTGAATTATGTAATTCTAATGTTCCATTTAAGGTCCGCTCCTTTATTTAATCTGCATGCAATAGCTGCAGAGTCATCAACAATTTAAGTGTCACTGCTAAGCCTAACTATGTTGTCACGTGTTTAAAACGCTAAGCAGAATACTTAATTAAGTCAGTTAGTGTATCAACTTCAGTGTCTTTTTGCCCAGTGTGACTAAAAAAAACTGCTTAACTTTAACTTTCAAATTTTAGCATTGAAAATTTTGTCTTCCTGCCCGCTGGCCAAATTGCTTGTTTTTGCGTAGAAACTCTAATTTTGATTGTAAAAAAAAATTGCTTTTTTAACTGTTTTTAACTGCATTTGGCGATTTAAGCTTTACTGTATTTTGCAATTTTTAATGAAGATTGCGTTTTTATGTATTTTTGCCTTGCCGCGAAGAGAGAACTGAATTGAGTAAATTAGAAATATATTTCTAATGTAATTCGAGGAAATAAGTTTAAATGATGTGCAGCAAAAATGTGTAATTTATTATGCTGTAAAAAGAAATCATGTAATGTCCAAATCAGATATTTTTTATTTGCACACGTACAATTTCCAAGCTATCTTCCGCCTGAGATACGATAAATTAGCAGCATTTCAAATTCTACTTCGTCTTTCTAGTATCCTGCAACTTTTATTGTTGACGCGTTTTGTTATCTTTTACTCATGGGACTTCATGTGATAAGGAAGCGTCAGATGATATTTCACTTTCACATTTCCTCTGCACATATCCGAGCAGTCTAATTGTGTGTGCATTATTGTAAAGAATGAAAGCTTTAAGATTAGAAGATTTATGTTTGACGAATATAACTGATAATTTTACTATTTTTAATTCGGCATATTCAAAGTCTGATGATGCTTCCTTACAGAGAAATTTGGAATTTTTGCGTAAGATTAATTTAATATTTCTAAATTGGATCTAAACAAATTTTCATTAACATCTCTTTATGAATTGCCATGAGGACACAAGGATAAGAATTTTAAATTTCTGAAATGAATGCCATAGACAGGTTTTTTGTTATTTGAAAAATAGTGACACTATGATATGTATTTCAGGTGACCTTGTTTTAATCATTTTTTATTCCTATATCTTACAGGGGATTGAGTTACAGCACTTTATAAGCAAAAAGATCTTCCGTATTTTCTGAATAAATTATTCAATTTAAAATTCCTGTATGAATATTCTCTTTTTTAACTATAACTAATGGTGTTGGTGTTGATAATTATGTTTGATTGTTTATTAAACTTGCCTTTCGTCATAACTAATTATCATTTTAACTAGGCTGTAGTGAATGATGAATTTCTAATAAAATTGATTTTGATGAATAGATATAAGAGAAATCAATTTAATAAAATTGATTTCTAATAATGAATTCTAATAAAATTGATACTGATGAATTTCTAATAAAAGTGCATAGTTTTGTTTTTATAAAACTCGGGAATTTTATGCATTTATGTTTGACGAATTTTATGATTTATGTTTGACGAATATAACTGATAATTTTACTATTATTACTATTATTATTAACTTTTGGTGCTTTCTCGCCAAATTACCGAGGTACCCTTTTACTCAATGTTAAATTACATTTGACCTGTATTCTTATTTTTCCGGCATAGCTTCTCTCTTGAGATTTTTCACGTTGCATTTCAAAGGAAAAATACAGCAATTTCTCATATAATTGCACTAAAATACCTAACAATATAAGTAATTTATCCCCTTTCTGTAAACGTTTTGCAAATGACGATTCAAAGGAAAAATACAGCAATTTCTCATATAATTGCACTAAAATACCTAACAATATAAGTAATTTATCCCCTTTCTGTAAACGTTTTGCAAATGACGAAGTGCTATTCTTTCTTATGTATCATTTTAGTACGTATTAATTTTTGATCGATTGTCATATCGTTCTTTCTTAAATTGCAGAGCGGGTCTATTCGATGGATCTCATAAAAAGGTTATCGCAAGCAAGACAACTAACTAATGAAGATTATCTCGAATTGTTGATAAACAAACACCTGAAGGAGCTAGACTTCACAAAATTTAGATATTGTAGCTGGAAGAAAGTTCTAGAAAGAGTTATGAAAATTGCTGAGGTATAAAGCGATTTCTTTCTTTTTTTGTCTACCATAATGTTACTTAATTATGTTAAAAGTTTTAGAAGTTTCGTTTATGTAGGTATTTCTGCAAAAAATATTTCTTTTTATTTATTTATTTACGCGCTCTGCCCTTAGGCACTGCGCGGAAGAGAGGGATGCCTTCGCGGAGGTATTTCTAAGGGAAACTGGCTCGTATACACATTACACACGGGGAAAATCTTGAAAACACACACGCAGCCACCCCTTTTGCGAGATTTGAAATTCGGACCAAACTACCAGTGTTCAGCCACTGGTAGTTCAGCTACGTGGTCGGACGCTGGAGGGCTAGCAAAAATATTCGAAAAACGGTAATAGAGCCATCGAAGTTTGAATGACGTAATCCTCCTACGAATATGGGCATGTGGAAGACATAATTTGAAATTTGAAATTTGTTTTATTATCGATTTACTATTTTGTAAAACTTTAACGAATTTTTGATTAACAAACTCACGGATTTCAAAGCGAGCCATGGCAATGTTGTACAGAAAAAAACATTTTTATCTCCAGCGCGCGAGACTCTGTATCGGAAATTCTAAAGATAAGCTCAATTTAAAACTATTTTGAGATATTGCTGTTGAACTGAATTTTATGGTTTAAGTGCGAAGAACGTAATATTTAATAAATGAAGGTAACAGACAAAATGTTAAAAAAACGCCCCTTTGGACGTAATTTAAAATCTGAAACCTTGCAAATTTTTTAAAAAATTCTTTTATTCAATTGTTCTTGTGTGACACTTGATCTGTTTTATATGTTTGGATTGATCTTTTGAATAAAGTCATATGTAATAGCAACAAAATATTGATTTTTTTTAAGTGAAATATTTTTCGTAAGTCAGGAAAATACATATCAAAATCTACGGCTCTATATGAATGAAAATTAAAAGATATTCCCTAAATACGTCCATGCGACTGCGCATTTATTTATCGTTAACTAAAAATAAATTGTTGCTAAGGAAAGGAGTTTTACAAAGCTGAAAATAATGAAAAATTATTTAGAAAACGATACAATGGATATTTCATATAAAACAGATGTGATTAAAAATTTCGTAGCGGCTAAATGTAACAGAATAAAAATTTAATGAATGGCATATCATAAAAACTAACCAAAATATTTCTAAAATTTTTCATCTAGTAGAAATAATTTGTTGAAATAAGAGGTTGGCAATGAGATATCCATGAAAAAAATTTTAAATGTCATTAGTTCAAATATCTAAATTCTAAACTTTTGATATTTGAATAAAATTCTCTCCTAATTGTAATAAATAGCTTTAATAAAAATTCTTAACGTCCCTTAACTTTCATGCACATTAATTTTTACCTTTCATGCACATTTTACAATTAAACATTTGACAAATCCCGAATCTTAGCGATATCCACACAATATTTTATTATTATTAAACATTAGGTTGTTTCGAAGAAGATATGAAAATTATGCAATGCATTCGTCGGAACTCGAACCTCTCGAATACGTGCCGAGTGTGCAGACCACTACACCACAAGGGCATGCTAAGAAAACGGGAGAAATACCTTATAACTTCATGACTTGATGAATCACTTTTCGACTGCTAGAAGCATCTGATTCCGCATGCAGTGACTATTTGCTGTCTCCATTATCCTCATGTACTCTTTTCGACAACGACATGATACCTTTTACATTTCAACCTCTTCGTACATAATGCTTTCTTTTCATGAATTTTGCATTTCGAGTTGTAAGCAGAACACGTAGTCTTCTTTCCATATTAAAAGATAAAGAAAAGGTGCAGCCAACATTGCTTTTGTAGTGGTTGGTACCAAGATAGCAATTTTATTTCAACTGATAGTTCTGTGTCAACAACTTATTTAAGTTGCTCAACAGGAACAATTTGCATTTATGAACAATGGGCCCACCAGCGGCCGAGCGGTAAAGACGCTGAACACTGGTAGTTTTCCGAGGTTCGAATCCCTCGAACGGGTTGGCTGCACGGGTGTTTTCGTGGTTTTCCCCATGTGTAACGTGTATACGAGCCAGTTTCCCTTTGAAAGTCCTCAACGAAGGCATCCCTCCCCTTAGGCAGATAGCCCTCGAGGCTTTGCCGTGATTAAATAACCTAACCAAACCTAACCATTTATGAACAATGTGCTATAGCGACATTTTTTCATAGACATTTTCGCTATAGTAAAGCAAATATTTGGAACATTACAGCTTTTACAAGCCACATTAATTAACAATATTTTCATATAATTATGTATTTATTTTGACATAGGATTACGTCCCTCAATGACAGTCTCATAGACAAGAAAATTTTAAGATGGAAAACATGCCTTAATGGAATGTTTATATATCTCAATAACCCCAAAAGCTATAGCTTTCGTTTATGGCTTATTTGATAGTTAAAGGCGACCATTAGAAAATACCATTGAAAATTGGAATTGTGGTTGAACCGCGGTACAGTCTCAAAGTTAGGCAAAAATACACAATAGTTTGATGATGCCACAACTGCGCTAGCACGACTTAGGTTTACGAGAAATATCACTGCAGAATTATTGGGGTATGCAGAATAGTTAAACATGGGGGTTGGATTTTGCACCATAGATCAGTTTTACATAAAGTTTCAACTCCACATTGTATTCAGGAACAGCTCTAAGAAATATATAATTAATACATTACTATTAATTTCATTTTATTTTTCTCCAAATTTCCTTGAATATTCCTTCTTTAAAGTGAGAAAATAACACGTAAAATATTGTTACGAAATGTACAGGCGCGATGAGATAGCTTTCTCGCAAAGCAGTTTTAGGGTTGCCATAAAAATGGGAAGGTAGGGTTGCCACATTTGGCGAGAAATCGACAATTTTGTCGCCAAAAATTGACGATATACCATGGACGAATGGAGAACATTCTGGGCTAAACCGGTAATAATTCGTTTCAAAAGGTTCTCCGTCCGTCCATGGTATATCGCCAATTTTGTCGCCAAATGTCGCCAAAAGAGTGATTTCTCGCCAAATTTGGCAACCCTGCCTTCCCTTGCCATTTTTATGGCAACCCTAAAAGTGCTTTTGGGGGGAAGCTATTTCACCGCGCCTGTCCATTTCGTAACAATATGCAAAAAGGAAATTTAATCAATAAATCAAAATTAAGAAAGATTAAAAATCTTGGAAACTAGTCCTACACATCTAAACCCAGCAGCCGTTTAGAACAAATGTACCACGCAGCCTCCCGTCAATTTTTGAAGTTATTATTATTATTATTATTTGTTTTTTATTTTAAAACCTACATTTATTTCTATTATAGTCGCCTCAAGGTGTCCGCTGAACTCCCGCATTTTTAAAATATGCCTTCCGAGTGAAAAACGTTGCCGACCACTGGTTTATATGATTTCGTTTTATGTATACATAGGTATAACTTGCATTTAATACCCTAAATAAATAGAAATTTCTTACAATTGATTACATTTTAGATTTCGAAATTTTATATTTCATGGAGACGCTGACATGTAACTTTGCATACTCCATGCTGAAATGTAAGTTTGCGCCTCGTACCCACGAGGCAGCCTTACCAGAGCTCTCCAATGACTATTCACATATTCACACAGACTAGCAATTTCTTTGACGAATTAACATTTTTTATAAAAAAATGCTACTTGATGGTGAGCATTAATGTATGTACAATAAATATGATCGAAATAATGCTGTTGAATACTTTTTAAGAATTTCATTTGGCTTATAAATTTAAATAAAAAAAGTATAGACTTGTTTTGGTTTGATTATGACAAAGCAAGCAACCAAACCAAGCAACAGCTGCCTGCTTTACGGGGAGGGATGACTTTATAGAGGACATTTTATCAGGTTCAATGTTCCGTCTTACTTTCTTCGGGAACATGCAAGGACCTGACTCAGAACAGAGAGCTTACTAAAGCTATGTTCAATAACTGTGGGAAGTAGACAGGATACACAAGAAGGGTATACAAAACCCTTTATTTTTCTCTATTTACAATAACTTCCGTACTTCGGAATACAAAGACCCACTACCTGTGGTCTAAACGTAAAAATATAAAAATAAAACTAAACTCTTAACTTTGAAATAATAAACGTGGAAGATTGGCCTTATTAAAACAGGAAGCCGTATGTAGCACAGAGAACTGTGAACACTACAATACGTTTAAAGTTATCAAGAGGATTAAAACCTCTGGCCTGGAAGGCAACCAGCAACTGAGTAAAACTTCTAAGGTAAGCGGCCTGCTTCGACTAACTGCTTCCTCCCTCTCGCTTGGCAAAAAGCCACAACTTAAATACTTGGCGCTCGCCAGACAAACTTTGCATAAATACGTTAACGCTTATAATTCTGGCCGGAAGTAGAAAATAAGAAGTGATAGTAAAGATTTAAAATAAAATAAACGTTAGTAAAACTTAAGATCCTTACAATTTTATGGGAAACTGGCTCGTATCCACATACGTTACGCAACGACGAAACTATAAGAATGTTCTTGCAGCCAGCCTGAGATTTGAGCCTGGATCGAACAGCCAGGGTTTAACGACTTTAGCGCTCGGCTACAGATGAGTCCTCTAAAAGAGCGTACAATATAATGTTGATTAGTTTTTTACTAATCACTGTGCTAGTGCATCGTTCCAATTAGACGTTCGAGATGGAATGTCAAAGTAAATCCTCCTTCGCGAAAAATTTCGCAAAACTGTTAGTATAAATATAGCAGCGAGAAAATTTCGCAATTTTACACTACTCATTCCTCCACCACCTCATGAAATTTGTCTTTTTTACCCGAGGTAAAGCTACTGCCCTAATACGAACTACGTACACTCGTTGCGAAACGAAGAGCATTTGCACATTATGTAGAATTTCTGAAATAGTAATGGCCAGATTTTAATTAAATTTTGTAAGAGTTATACATTTGTAACGCAGAACGAAATGTACATTCAAAAGTGATTGTACGTAAGCATGATTATCAGTAAAACTCATAATGCAGGGATGCTCAAAATCAAAGTTGGAATATCGGAATCAAAATGAGTCTAGATGATGATAATGGGAGAGGGGATATGGTCCTTTCTCACAGCCAGATATGTCACGCAGCGAGACGGTATATTTTACAGAAGGCAGCTGAAGAATCCTTGTGGCAGTCCATCGCACTCCTGTAGCAAGGCAGTTGAAGAATCCCTGTGGCAGTCCATCCCACACCTGTAGCAAGGCAGTTGAAGAATTCCTTTGGCAGTCCATCCCACTCCTGTAGCAAGGCAGTTGAAGAATTCTTGTGGCAGTTGATCCCACTCCTGTAGTAAGGCAGCTGATGAATAACTGTGGCAGTCCATCCCCCTCCTGTAGTAAGGCAGTTGAAGAATCCCTGTGGCAGTCCATCCCACTCCTGTAGCAAGGCAACTGAAGAATCTCTGTGGAAGTTGATCCCACTCCTGGTGTAAGGTAGTTGAAGAATCCCTGTGGCAGTCCATCCCACTCCTGTAGCAAAACAGTTGAAAAATTCCTTTGGCAGTCCATCCCACTCCTGTAGCAAGGCAGTTGAAGAATTCTTGTGGCAGTTGATCCCACTCCTGTAGTAAGGCAGCTGATGAATAACTGTGGCAGTCCATCCCCCTCCTGTAGTAAGGCAGTTGAAGAATCCCTGTGGCAGTCCATCCCACTCCTGTAGCAAGGCAATTAAAGAATCCCTGTGGCAGTTGATCCCACTCCTGGTGTAAGGTAGTTGAAGAATCCCTGTGGCAGTCCATCCCACTCCTGTAGCAAAACAGTTGAAAAATTCCTTTGGCAGTCCATCCCACTCCCGTAGCAAGGCAGTTGAAGAATTCTTGTGGCAGTTGATCCCACTCCTGTAGTAAGGCAGCTGATGAATAACTGTGGCAGTCCATCCCCCTCCTGTAGTAAGGCAGATGAAGAATCCCTGTGGCAGTCCATCCCACTCCTGTAGCAAGGCAATTGAAGAATCTCTGTGGCAGTCTATTCTACTCCTGCATCAAGGCAGTTTTCAACTCATCAAGGCAGTTTCCGAGGATTATTCTCGGAGGGAACTGGAGAGATAAAATTGTCCTCCCGAGAGCTTTGCAAACATACTCTACAGGACTGATGTCAAGAGATCTGGCTAGCCAATTTCATGCGGCGAATATCTTCAATTTCCAGGTAATAGGGGAGCAGCTGAGACACATATGGTCCCTTCTTAAAGCCAGATATGTGTCATCCTGGTTTTTGTCATGGTTCTGTCTTAGGTTTTGCCATTAACAAAAACCCAGGACCAACTGCGGCGATGAAAGTCGAACATAGGACTCTGAGATTTTCTCTATACCTCACAGCAGTCAAAACGTCTTTGTCAAATACATGCAGGGGTGTGAGGGCGTCCAACATAAAGCCTGCCCAAACTATTACACCTCCACCTTCGTAATGACCATTTTTCCTGCTGAGGGAAGGTTAATATCGTGTTCCAGGTTCTCTTCAAATACAGGTACGCCGAGAATCATCGCCCAGGCTGAATTTCGATTCATCTGTAAAACGCACGGTGCTTCACTGAAGTCTGGTCTTGGGAGCATGTTGTCTGCACTCCATGCTGTCGCTGTCCTGTATGCTGCAGTACGTGGGACACAAACAGCAGGTCTTGTGGTCTGCAGACATATCCTATGAAGCCTTCATGCAACTGTAAGCATGAAATTCAGGTTGCAGTAGCAGCATACAGCTCACGTGAGAGCTGTGAAGCTGTAGCATTCATGTGTCACCGCTTTGAATGTATCAAATATCTATCCTTATATATATCGTTGTTATAATCTTATATATATCTTATGTATATATATCGTTCTTATAAATAAGTTCTGGAGTTTGGTCGATCTTGCGCAGGTCTTCTCTGCATGGCTCTAAAAACATAAAATTGTTTCCACAAACTGTACACGAGACTGGGCGTTACACTGAGCAATGTATTAACGTGCTTTTGTAATTGGTTTGTATCAAACCTACCGACAATTACCCATCTCATTCCGTCTTCCATTCGTTCATAGCTTCTCATTTTACTTGAAGTCTTATAAAATTTACCAAATCTTGCAAGAAATACAGCGAATTTCGTGAGTGGGTACGTACACACAAATCACCGAAAACCTCTCGTGCGTCTCCATAATCACAGCAACGCAGACACCCACATGTACGTAGCGTATTCAACTCTAATTATTTACATAAGTCTTCGATAGCATAATTACACCTTTGGTTGAATACATTCGGTAAAAATAGACATAATTTATAAATTTTCTTTATTTTAAACACGAGAGTATATCAACTATTATGCATTTCAAAAACTTTAAGATCACCCAGAAATCAAGTGTTATATTTCTGTGGAAGAAAAATTCGTTGAATCTTTTGAAGGACCGTGTAAGTGAAAGACTCAGGAATGTGCAGTTCATAACCATTTCAAATATTTGAACTGTTAGCACAGTGTAAGAAAACGCGTTTTTAAAACTGTATAAAATGTGTTCCGTCAATGAATTGAAATTTGTGAGCTGTATAGCAACGAATTGACTATATTTTACCTCCTTAACTGGAAAAGACAGAAATTAATGTTTTTTCGTCTTTTCAGGGCCTTGTGAAAGTGAATTTGGATGCAAAAATATTCCGTAAACATCGTGGAAAAATAAAAGAAATTATAGGACTTCTGAAAAATGCTGAATATCTCAACGCATCGAGTGAGTGCGATGATGAAACTTTACAAATTATCTCCAAATGTTGTCCAGAACTTAAAGAACTGGACCTGAGAATTGCGTTTCAAGTTACCGACAAAGGACTAAGAAGCCTCTGTGAGTCTTCGGGCACAGTTGAGTCTTCGGGCACGCTTAATCTTCGTGTCTTGCGTTTGGACAGCGCAGTGATTAAGGAAGAAACAGTTACATTCATTCTTCAAAGCATGCCATCGCTTGAAATTTTCAGTCATCGTTATGTGCCACGGGCTTTATGTTCTTTGCATAACGATGGACTCCACGAAAATGAAACGTTTTCCTTAACTGAGCTTGATTTACGTCTTTATGTCTCCGATCTTCTTGAAGTTCTAACTACCTGCACTCTTCTTTGCCCAAATATAGCAAAATTCTACTGTCTGGTAACTACACAAGAGCATGTAGATTTGTGCTGTAAATTTCCTAAACTCGAGGATTTAACTATACGCGGTTTAATACAAAGACCAATAAATTTAAATAACTTTTTGCAAATCAAGGGATGTAATTTAATTTCATTGGACGCTGAAAATATTTCAATTTCCATTCCAGTTTTGATAGAGAATTGCCAAAAGCTTCAAAAATTGCGTTTAAATAACGTGGCATTCCAACATACAAAAGATGACTGTATGTCAATTTTAAAGCATTTAAAAGAGTTTAGTAGCTATCCTGGTGCGTCCTCCTCTGGTGCGTCAAGTGCAGAAGCTTTGATTCTGATACTGAATACTAGTCCTAATATAGAAAGATTATCTGTATTACACACTGAATTTTCTGATCTTCAGTTAAGAAACGCTCTTCTGAAGTACTGTGAACTAAACTCTTTAAAGCGCTTAGAGTTCATTTATTCAGATGTTGATGTAAATTTCTTGGTGTTAATACTTCAATTATGTTCATCTCTTCAGAAACTGAAGATAGATTACTGTTACTGTATATCTTCTGAGGAAATTGCACTGTTGAATGAAATTTCATCTGCTTCGAGAAATGCACCTGAAATTATTTGGAATGACTTTAGAAAACCAAGACTACGATGTGACTGATCTCGAAATAGATGGAGTTCGTGATTTTTATTCTGATTCTTAAAATCGATTTATAATTAATTTATTTTTTATGTTACTTTTATCGCAGGTTTGACTATTAAAGATTAATTTTGCTTCAAAAAAGTACAATGCGTTTGTAAATCTTCTAAAACAGTATTTTCACTCACTGTGTTATTTAAATATTAATTTATGTAACCCATCAAATGAGTGTGTTTCTTTCCATATAAAGTTGAACATCTTTTTATATACTTTGAGTAGCGGTTTTATAAAATAATGTAATAAGATTGTAAGGTATATTTTGATTTTATAACAGTTATTTTGAAACCCTTTTCTGTCAATTCTTGTTTATACCAGAATGAGTGTTTAGAATCGCGTCGAATGTAAATTAGTTAGAAGTAGTATTTACGGAAGGTGCAGCTTACTTCGACAGAGAGTCCTTTAGAGTCCTTAGTAGTGCGCGTCTGCCTTCTGACTAAGTCATTCTTGAAGCTTTTACGCTCAGCCGTGTTATACATGCCTACTGATATCCGTGAAAGAGATGCATACAGTGGGGCAGTGTCTGGGTTTGGGTGGTATCTTTTTGGGTGGACGCACAGACCTCCATGGGGGTGGGCCTTCTGACGTGGGACCGAATGCTCAGGCCTATAGAAATGACATCCTCGATGCCTATGTGTGTTCTTATGCTCATGCAATAGGTGATAATTTCCTGCTAACTAACTTTTAATTTTTATAATCTAACTTTTAATTCGGTCTCCCGATTCTGACACTTATATCTGAAAAAGCTTTATACTCGTTATGAAAAAATCAAAATGCAAAACGTTTGACTCTCAAACCACAAAAACTTACAGGGATATTTAATTTCAAAATTTCTAATTTTTGGTGTTCTAATTTTCAACTTGCCTTGAGAAATCGGTTAATTAAGTTAGAATAATTTGAGGAAATAGGTGTAAATAATGTAATGTTAAAAGTCAACTTCGCAGTAAAAATGTATGTAAAGTAGGAGGGAAATCTAATTATCCGAATCAATTGGTACCGGAGCCCATTCGGATAATAAAAAATTCGGATAATTGAATTTTTTCCGAAGAAAGGGTCTAGGTAAACTTTAATTATTGTATGTACTGTATGTTGAAGATGAAAAAAAAAAAAAAAAAAAAAAACTATTTTCAAAGAAAAAGAGGTTTTCATTAATTACAATGAAAAGGGAACACTTTTACGTGCATTTTATATAGCTACTCTACCGTAATTACAAGTATTGAAAGTCATTGCTTCTTGAACATCTCAATCAATGTGGGGCCGTTTGACTGTCTTCATCCATTTTTGGACAGCCAAGTCGCGCATTCGCTTGACAATGTTCCATGTGGTCACCCTCGGGCTGACGCTCCATCCACTTCAACGCAGTTATAAAACCGGCAAACGCTTCATTAGCTGATGGTCTCGCGTCTGCTTCAACTTCGACATTAAGGTCATTTTCTTCCTCGACACTTTCCTATCTCACACCTTCAATAAGTTCACCATTAGAATTTGAATCCCAGGGTCTGACGAATCACACACTATCCATTCTGCTGTATCTTCAGCATTCACTTCTGAAAATCCAGGAATTTGCAAAGAATGTTTCTTTTAATTTCTCCAGTGACACATCATCCTCATCTCCTCCTGTCTCTTCCTTTTTCTTTTGAGCTTCTTTTTCCTTTTTCTTCTCTTCTGCAGTTGATTCTGAAACATTTTGAAATTCTGAAAGCGATTTGGATAATCAGCGATTCGGATAGTAGGAGTTCGGATAATTAGATAATCTTACTGTAATTGAAAAGGCATACTAAAAAGTCGTGGCCCCCAAATCAGAACTTTTTTCAGAGAGTGAAATGAGGGCTGCAAAAAATTGAGGTATTGCAAAATCCCTAACTGGTTTGATTTCACTGGTCCAGTCTTTCTTCGTTCCAGAAAGGATACTCAACAAAGATCATACATAGCCTTATTCACATGTTGAGCTAATACAGCACTTCATATCGAATTAATTATTGATATGTCGACGAAAAGTTTTATTTTGTCCTTAAGGCGATATTTGGCAAGAAGAGGGGATTGGAAGGTCATCATTTCTGATAATGCTAAGAGTTTTAAGACCACATACAGCATTTTTTAAGGTTTGATACATCGTATTGAGAATTTGTATGAACCACCTGGAGTAAAACTGATATCTATTTTTCGTAAATCGTTGGTACCTTCGAAGGTGGGGTAAGTAATGAGATTTAGTTTAGAGGAATTGTCGATAATAGTTTGTTTCAGTTTCGAAAAAGTAAAATGAAATTGTATTGTATAGTAGTAGTTTGTTTACGATTTCGTTCGGCAGTATAGAATTATCTTGTTTTAGCACTGTTATTATTAATGGCTAATGACTACTATGATGACTTTTAAGGGGACTCATACACCTTAAAACCGCAAGATCTTCTGATATGTGACTGTTGCAAGAATTGGAATAACTTATTTATTTTAAAAGCAATTACTTCCAACTTTTTACAGCTGACTACATAATATAGCTACTTTCTGAATTAGTAATCAGAAAGTTTGTGTTGAGACAAATATTTTTATAATTTAATCCGCTTTGAGACAAAATGTTTCGTCATGTTTCCACTTTGCGCGCACAGTTTAAAACATTCTTTTGCATAATTTAAATCCATATTTAATATATAACTTTCATAGCATTTGGAAACTACTGTGAACCAAAACTTCTAAGAATTTCATGTCAAATTTTTACTTTATTTGTAGTTGAGTTTATAAAATGTATTGTATTAAAAAATTCCGTAATGTTTTCGTGTATAAAATTTTTTATATTAAAATGTTCATCAGATTTTTGGTCCATTGCCCATATAAAGAATTCCATCAAATTTCAAATGTGTACCATTAGCCATTTTTAAAATATCATGCACGCAAGGTGGAAACATGGCGAAGTATTTTGTCACAAAAAGGATTAAATTACAAAAATATTTGTGGCAACACAAACGTTTTGGTTACTAGTTTCCAAATCAGCTATATTATGTAGTGAGCTGTAAAAGGTTGGAAGTAATTGCTTTCAAAATAAATAAAATATCCCAATTCTTGCAACAGTCGCATATTCGAAGATCATAAGGGGTTTATTGTGCATGAGCCCCCTTAAGAAGCAACGATGACTTAAGAGATATTATGATGACTTAAGAAGCTATTATGATAGTCTTAAGAAGCAACAGACCTACCATAGAGGACAGGTCACGAATTCAATATGAAAAATAGAAAATTGTATCTATGAACCACATGTAGAAACAGATGAAAGCCTTTTAGTTCAGTTACAAATCAAAGACGAAGAGCTCAAAACTATTGACAATAAAATCCAAGATCTTTCAGATGATGCAGAAAAGTAATCGAAAATAGATTAAGTAATTATATTTAACTCTGTAAAACTAAAAAATAAATTAAAATCGTTACAGTCCTCATTTGTACAAGAACCCGCATGTGTGCAACCCATAACAAAGTAGACCAAATAAAAGGCGAATTTACTAGTTTTTGCTTTACAATGGCTATTGTTGAAAATAAAACAAAAATGGAAGTTCTGAAGATGTGAAGTTTTTTTTTTTTTTTAATTTTTATTCGGACAACATTTTTTAAACAGAGGGCCACGAGCAGGCAGCCCGTTTGACCTGCCTTAGAGGCCTGCCTTAGAGAGGGTTCACTGTGTATCTTTCCAGCGTGATCTAATTATGTTCGAAATGAATATCAAACCAATAAAAATAAGCTCACTCAAATGGGAGAACGTTTCAGAGGCACATCTTCACACAAGAAAGCCAAGATCGAAATCGAGTCAATGGCTAGGCGGCAATTAGTAGCCAACCGCTACTTTAACCGTCTCTGTTGGTAAATTGCCCTAAGGCGTTGGTACTTAAGTTTTTAATTAAGGCGATTTACGCCGCGCCAACTAGGCGAAACTTGTCAAATTTTGTGAAATGTAGGTGGAGTGGAGGGAGATGATTGGCAGGAGCCTGTCACTTGGGTGGTCACCCACCCAAGTTCAGACTCCGAGCAAAGCAGCTTACGCGTGCAATGAGAAATATTGGATGTATTAATAATTATCAAGTTTTGGAACAGGATATCCAGATTGGAATAATTAAACTAATATCGCGATCTAAATGAAGACAAATGGCACAACTAAGTGCAACAGATTAGCTAAACAAAATATTCAAATTCATCCTTGCTGTAAAACACAGACTGGACAGTGGTAGTCACGTGGGGGTCACCCTCCCGTGAACTGTCCATAGCCAAAGCATCTTGAAATAGTAGATATCACAATTCAGTGAAGTTTTGGTCTGAGAAATTAAACACTAAAGTTCGAAGTTCAAGATGACAACTGTTTTCTTTAAGTGTAAATATTTTGCGCCACAGCAGCAAACAAACAAAAAATATGGGGGGGGGGGTATAAATGCAGATAAATTGAAATTAGTAGTGAGTATGATGGTGGGAAGGAAACAAACAGTCAGCATTTTTATTTTTTAACTCTATCTTCTCGTATTTGAAGCACTTCAGATCAGATCGTTTCACTTCGTGATTGGGTACGTGTTTGATAACGGATCACAGAAGCCGTTAAATGTATCAAAGACATATTGCGACGTATGTAGCAGGCGTGTATTGATACTGTGTCTACGCTATTCCGTAAGCGTTTGGTATTAAAGGTTAGTGAAAATATAAGGATTTTGCTTACTAATAAAACGCTTGATAATCTACCATACATAATATATAAATTGTATTTAGTATTGTATATTTAAACGAATTTTAAATATCGTCAAGTAAATATGAATTATTTTCTTCTGCTCTCTATCTAGGCGTGTATTGATACTGTGTCTATTTCGTAAGCGTTTAGTATTAAATGTAATTGAAAACATAAAGACTTTGTTTATTGGTAAAACGCTTGATAATCTACCATACCTGATATGTAAATTATATTTAGTATCGTATATTTAAACGAATTTTAAATATCGTCAAGTAAATATGAATTTTCTTCTGCTCTCTATCTATCTCCTTTTTCTTCTTATCCTAATAATTTAAGCTTCATTTCAAGAAATTTAATCTTAATCGAAAAATTAAACTCAATCTGTTTTATGACGCATATTAATTAAAAATAAGTTTGCTTTATTATCGCGTGTAGGAATATGTGATGAAAAATATTTATTGTTTTCTTTGTGTTGTTTTAATATTTATACAGTTTTGTTAATCAAACTGATTTTCAGTTTCCCTAACATTGTCACCATCAAATTATATGCTTCATTGTGTTTTCCATTTCTGAGTAAATTTATTCGCTAGCGTCAAATCGGTTTTGTGTCATGCAAAATATCTCTTAAAATTTGAAACTTTTATAATAAAAGCTGATTATTACCAAACTTTAAAAATAGCTCTTAAAATTTGAAAATGTTCTAATAAAAGTTAATTATTTCTAAGCTTAAAAATATCTCTTAAAATCTGCAAATTTTATAATGAAAGTTAATTATTTCTAAGTTTTAAAAATTATTACTTAAAATTTGAAAATTTTCTAATAAAAAATAATTCTTTTAAAATTTATCTCTTAAAATTTGAAAGTTTTCTAATAAAAGATAATAATTTTAAGATTTAAAATATATCTCTCAAAACATAAAAATTTTCTAATAAAAAGATAATTAGTTCCAAGAGTCAAAAATATCTTTAAAAATTTGAAAAATTTTCTAATAAAGATAATTATTTTTCAGTTTTAAAACCTAGCTCTTAAAATCTGAAAATTTTCTAATAACTGTTAATTATTTCCAAGCTTTAAAAATTGTCTCTTAAAATTTGAAAATTTTTTAATAAAAGATAATTATTTCAAAAATGTCTTAAAATTTGAAAATTTTCCAACAAAAGATAATTATATCTTTTAAAAAATATCTCTTAAAATTTGAAAATTTTTTAATAAAGGATAATATTTCCAAGTTTTAAAAGAGAGTTAAATCAATTCATAAAAGTTGAAATAATATTTTAGTAAATGTCATTAGTTATATTAAAGTTATATTATTAAAATTTTATATCAAAATAATTCAATTGAACAAATTAGGTACTTCACAACATCCTGTACCTATGAATAACATGTTATAAACACACGCTACATGTAAACACATTTCTATGTTCTGCATTTAATAATGGCTGTTTTATGAAAGTTGATAATTTAAAAATATATATTGATAAGAAATAGTTTAGCAGATTGCATTTTTTTCTTCTCCGGAAATTTAATAGTCGCTATTTATTATTTTCTTTTTGTAAACTGGCTCAATACCATTTCATAAAAAATCAGAAAAAATGACTACGGATGTTCTTTTTTTTTTTTTTTTTTTTTTTTTTTTTTTTTTTTTTTTTTTTTTTTTTTTTTGTAACCTAACTGATGTGAATACGAATTTTATGGAAACAACTTTAAGTGTTCTCAATTTGAAATTACAAGTTTGTTATTAAAATTCCAAAATTAGAATTTTATTTACATTTGCAGTTTTAGATGCAGTAATTTTTTTATTCTCTTACAATAATTACTTTTTTTCATTGAAATTTTGATTTAACTTTAATATTTTTGTTTGATTTCTGTATACATTATATGTTTGTTTGAATAATGAATGCAATATTTCATTATTGCATTCATTATTAACAAATGCAATAATGAATTTAAATGTATTAATGATAGCCATATGTATCAAATTCTTAAATAATAATCTACACTGACTATCAATAAATATTTGGACACCTATGCAAGTGACGATATCTACGGTCCTAAGGTACGTCACGGACTCCGCCTTTATATATCGTGTAGGAAACAGCATCGGCTTTAGTCACAAGCAAGATGACTCGGAATTCGGAGCTCTCTGATTTCGAGAAAGGTATAATTATCGTGTATCACAAATGTGGCCGATCATTAAGGGACATATCTAGCGATCTGAAGTACCCAAAATCGACAGTGGAATATGTGATTAAGAAGTGGAAGGTGAGCGGTGATTGTCGGAATGTGCCCCCGAGTCGGCAGACCAGCGAAACTGGGAGATAGAGACCGATGAGTGCTGTCCAGAGAAATTCGGAAGAACCGCACCCAACCAATGGCCCTCATCCGCGAGGAGTTTCAACAGGCATCCGGGAGTATTGTTTCAATGTATTGTATCCGGGAGGATTGTTTTTCTGTTTCAATGAATACCATCCGTAAGGAAGCATATCTGCTTGGTTTTCATGGTCGTGCTGCTGCCCATAAGCCTTTGATCACAAAGTCCAACCGCGCTGCTCGGTTAATGTGGTGCAAAGCACATCGAAATTGGACCGTAGATCAGTGGAAACGGGTTCTTTGGAGTGACGAATCAAGGTTCACCCTTTTACCGTTCAGATGGCAGGGTCTGGTCTGGCGTCTACCTGGAGAACGTCTCCTGCCAGAATGCATTGTGCCAACAGTCAAGTTCGGCGGAGGTGGAATTATGGTCTGGGGGTGTTTCTTCTGGAATGGGCTGGGACTTTTCGTCCCCATTCATGGTAAGCTCAACTCCGATGCCTACTGCACTATTTTGGATGACAATGTGCTTCCTACGTTGTGGCAGTTTTACAGGTAGGACCCCTGTTACTTTCAGGACGACAATGCCAGTTGTCATATTTCGACGTTAACCAAGGCTTGGTATGGTGCCAATGGAGTTCATCGAATGGACTGTCCTGCCCACAGTCCAGACCTGAACCCTATCGAGAACCTCTGGGACGAGTTGCATCGCCGAATTCAGGGGTGCACTACCCGTGCAAAATCGGTGAAGAAACTTCTATGTCTTCTCCAAGCCGAGTGGAAGAAAATACCACTAGCTGTCATATAAAGACTTGTGGAAAGTATGGCCCAGAGGGTCCACGCTGTAATTACCTCTCGTGGAGGCTCTACCAACTATTGATTTTGAGTAAAGTTAGTTTTGCTTTTCTATCACAGGTGTCCAAATACTTATTGGTAGTCAGTGTATTTTAATGGATACACCGCATACTTTACAAAAATTATAAGAAATATAGAAAACAAATTTATAGTCTAATTGTATCTAAATTCCTTTATCGAAAAATATTAAAAACAATATTCTTTCACCGTTGCCACGCAACGAAATCGAAAAGTATCTATTCAGATCGGAGTAGCTCTTAGATTAAATGTAGTATTACTCGTAAATATAGATATAGTATTACTTAATTTATAAAATGAAATTACAGTTTTCGATGTAATTGACTCTATAACTACCTTTTGGAAAAGGGAAATCAAGCGATCATAGATATTTTTTCTATTATCTATTAATATTATTATTTCGGAATAAATCGAATTGTAATGAATTTCTATCCAAAATTTCTGTTGAAAATATATATTAAATTGCATTAGTCTAGGTAATCTACCTATGTCCTAATATCACCTAATATCACTTTTCTAGAAATGTATATGGTGAATAATGAAATCAACTAAAATTTTAAATACTTAAATTTCTGAACCGGATGGATTTTGAAAGGAGAAAACAACCCGGAAGTACAGTCAGATGGTCTTCCACACTTCTCCTACCACAACCTCTCGAGAGGATTTCGGCTCACCTGCATTTTGATTGCCTCCTTGCCGCGCAGATAGTAGATGCTTACAAATATCCATATCTTCTCCATAGTTCGAACCCGTGCTCTTCGGTATAGTCTTCTGGCCCTTCTGTTTAGTAATCGTCACTTATCACTGTTCCATACTGGGTAATTTTCTTCTCTCAAAGATCAGAATTACAGCTACATTGACTACATTTTATAATGATAAAGAAATATGCATTTAAATTTGCGCTGAAGTGTCAGTCATGAGCATTAGCTGCCTAGGATATAAGGCTGCAATAGCTGTTGAAGAAATATGTATTTAGAAGAAAAGTAGGGTTGGGCCTATGAACATTCTTTAGCATTAACGTTAACGTTACTTAATTTACACGCTTCGTAGAAGTAACTGAGAAAAATATGACAGGTGCATTGCGAGAGATAAAGAATTTAATGCAATATCATTTTAAATCTCGAAATGCATATAGCATCCATAGCTTGAAACTGATTTTCACCCCACTTAATATTCACCAATACGGACAAACGGTTATACACCAAATTTTACAACATGCCTCGAATTTGCAATACATATCTGAATTATGTGAAATTAATTAAATAATTTGTTTCTGAAATTTTCTTAACGCATTCACTTTTGTTTTCATTTTGGACACTGGAATGAAATATTTAAATTTAAAATAAGTTTTTTGCCCTTCCTTTGTGATGGCACCAGCGAAGTATTGCTGGCCACCCAAAATGCAACACCAAGAAAGACAAGAGATATCATAACAAAATTTATTTAGTAGATAACACGTTGACCAAGTATCAAATGATTAAATTTATAATTCTGGGAAGTGTGGTTCCTTCCAGAATCAGTAGCCAGAGTAGCCGCCATTGTTGGAGATCACCGCTGCCACACGCCTCGGCATTGATTCAAAGAGACTTTGGATGTGTTCTTGGGGTACAGCAGACCAAGCAGCTTTCACACGTTGCCAAAGTTGTTCTGGTGTGGCAGCTTGCGATGTAATCTGGGTAAATCGTTCAGCAACCATGGATCACATGTTTCCTACCGGCGAAAGATCCGGACAGCGAGCCGGCCAGGGAAGCAATTCAATCTGGCGATTGACGAAGAACC